GTTATCAATAGTAATTTACAATGTAAAAAAGATATTTATGTTGAAAGTGCTAATAGGTTTATATTTCCTAATTTTTTCAATAAATAATATTTTAATTGTAAATGTTCATAGCTCTGATATGGAATTAATATTTTAAATAAGTCACATAACTGCTGTTTATTTGAATTTATTCTATTTATAGATTTACAATAGAAAGGATCGAATAAAATTGTCAGTCTTATACACAATATTGATTTTAATAAATCTTGTATTTAATGAATATATTCTGGATATAATTCTCTTCTCAATATGCATAGTAATATCAAGTTTCATCATTCAAGAAAAGGAATTAAAGGTATTAGCTGAAAATTATTAATGCTTTTCACAATTTGAATCGAAAAATGCAAAACAAACATAGATCTTATAATATTTATTACCACAACACATAATAGGTAGGTTTTTTTCAACAGATATTACTACAACAGACAATTTCACTGATGTGTTTCAAAATTGCACTATTCTGTTTGCTGATATTGCTGGCTTTACAAAATACTCAAGTTCAGTAGAACCAGAATAAGTAGTAAATATGCTTAGAATATTATTCCAATAATTTGATGAGGCTTGCTAAAAATTTTAAGTCTACAAATTATACACAATTGGTGATTGTTATGTTTGTATGGGTATTATAGATGCTAATAACAGAGATCCTGTTGGTGAAGTATATTTATATATAATTATATAGGCAATAAATATGGTGCTTTTTGGATTGAAAATGATACAAATAATTTAATAGATAAATAAAGATCCTCAGTTTTAACATTTGAACATGCGTATTGGAGCGCATACAGGAAGAGTAATAGGAGGTGTTGTAGGAACAGATGTTGTTAGATATGATATTTATGGAGAAGATGTTACAACAGCCAATAAAATGGAATCGAAAGGACAAGAAGGTAAAATAATGGTAAGTTAAGCTACAAAGGATTTGATAGAAAGTGATGAAGAATCTATTGGCATTTTTGATTTTGAATTTGCTTAAGAAGTCTTTTTGTCTTAAAACAATACTACAATATCTACTTATTATGTACACTTTGATTAAATTGGTGATGATTAATGAATAATTTATATAAATTAAATTAAACTCAACTTTTATTTCATTTTATTTTTCTTAATAGATCACTAAGAGATTCTCTGGCTCTTAATAAGTTCCCATAATTCCACCACAAAAGGATGTAAATTTTTCAAGATTCTTCATTCCACATAAGCCTTGTTCGTGATAAATTGTGTGGTGAGTACTTTATAGCAAAATTTTAATGGAAAGCAAAAGCATTATCATGAATTGAAATTGACCTGAATTTAATAATTATTTAAACTTACCCAAGAGAAGTTTTATAAGAATATTAGTTAGCCATTTAATTGTTCATAATCAAAAGAAAAGAATAAATTCCGATGGATTATAATAGAAAATAAGGTTGCAATTAAAGGCACCACTTGATCAAATGCATATGATGGATGAAATGTAATTCAACTTAATGTCTTTTGAGAAATGATGGATTCTATACAATTTAATGTATTATTAAGGATATGTACCAAGTCCTCTGTGAACACAATACCTATTTGATATTTTAATTATGTTGCATCATAGATAGCATGCAAAATTTTACTATAAGAATATAGCAATATCCATAATCACTTAAATTATAATAAATCAAGCTGATTCTAGATTAAACAACTTTAATTATAGATACTAGAAAATCAAGTCTATGATTGATCACTTAATATCATAATAGATATGAAATTTGTATGTAACTTTAGTATGGAAAGTTGCTTATTATTTTTTGAAAAAGTAATAATAGGATGAACAAGAAGGAGTAAAGTTAAATTTTTAATGCAAATAAAACGTTTAGAATTCCAACAATTCCATCAAATCAAAATCTAATGAAAATATCTATAGAGTTGAATGATTCTAGAATTAGTCAGATTTTGTACTTCTGCCTATTTTGATGAATATCAATAACCTTATATTTTAAAATTTCTGAGATAACTAAATACAAGATCGTCTATTAATATTGATTTATAATTTATATTGATTAAAATATTGGTATGGAATAGTATTAATATGTCTGTTAATAAAATATTTAACAAATTAGATTTCATTAATAGGATAAACTGCTACAGGTAAGAACTTTTTAATTTAATTTAGAACGATATTTTCCTAAAATAATGAGTTGGATAAAGAAACAAGATTAAGGAATTGATCAAAGAGTCGCTTTTGAGTCTATATAGTTGATGTTTAAATTTGTGGAAGAAGAACTTACTTATGAAACAGAAAACAATGAATTCTTAGAGTTGTTTGAGCAATAAGTAAGCATCAACTTTCTATTTTATAGGTCTTCAATCTCTGTCAAACTAAGTCAGAATCCGAATTATAAACATACTAAGCCATGATTAAATTCTTGAATGAAGATCTTAAAAATGATGTCAATTTCTTCAAAAACATGATCAAGGACAAAGAGAAGATGTTGGAATAAGATATCAAAGAAATTGAAAAAATAAAAAAATAAACCAAAGACAGGAGTAAAATAGAATAGAAGTTGAAAGACATAAGCTATCTTATTAAGGAGATAGACAAAAACTTGGAGATTGGTACTGCAGAAAAATTATATGGATTACTTGAAATTATAGAATCTAAGGCAGTTATTGGATTATTCCAATATTAAAATGAATATTAAGAAATTTAGTAGTACTTAAAAAATGTGGATTTGTTATTTAAATCGAGAAATTTTTAGTAAGATAAAGTAAGTTATGATAAATAATTTGTAGTTTGAAATTATCAACTTAATTTCTATGGTAAAAAATGTCCTTCTTGATTTACATCTAAATATTATCATCAAATTATAGGAGGATCAATTAGATGAATATGAAGCAATGTCTTTTTTTGAAAATAGTAAAGTCACTCATCAAATAGCAAGAGATTACTTTTAAAATGAACTCCAAACATTTTTATGTATTTTAAATAGATTTACTAGAAACTTTAATAAGCAAGTGGGAGAACATCATATTGATCTAAGAGAAAACCAATGAAAACTCAGAATCCTTTAGAAATCTAATTTAGCAACTCAAGAAATAAAATACTAAAATAATAGAAACAAATAATCACAGTTTATAAATAGTTAATTTCACTATAAAACATCTAGAATAAGACTTTTTGGAATAAAGAAAAAGACAATGAATAAATCTGATTTAGAGTTATATATATATAATAATAATTAATAATTTAAAATAAAATAAAATAACTTTAAATACATATTATGAAGTATTCAATAAATTTTGAAAATTTGAAGATTCACATAAATCCTCTCAGAATTAATCAAGTTGATCATTCCAATTCAATAGTTGATACTTTAAATTCATAAAATATTGAATTGGGGTATCCATATTTTTCTAGTTTTCTTCCGAAAATTGTTGAATTTAATTTTTTTCTAATTATAAGATCCTATCTATCAAAGTGCAATTCACAATTTTCATTCATTATCTTTTTAATTACTTATTTCCATTGTTAATCTTTCTAATTTCTAGGTTGAGGAAAAATCTTGAAATTCTTATTTCTTCCTTTTTATTCCTTTTTTCTTTATAAATAGATATTAAATACCAAATTATTAAAAGCTATTTAAATTATTTTATGTATGGTCTTTAATTTTGATTGATAAATAACATTAGATGTTGGAATCCTTTGCAATTTCATCAAAGGATAACAAAAAAATTTTGAAATGAGATCAGAATCATAAAAGACTATATAACAAACACCCAAATAAGTTTACTACTTAGCTATAGATTATAAATCTATCAATACTCTTTCAGTTCTTTTATTGAGAATTCAAATATTAATGTTTAATATCAGGTTCTAAATTAATAAGTTTCAATTCTAATTTGATTTAACTTTTCACTTCCAAACTTAATTAGATTTTCCCATTAGATATTAGGAATATAATCATGAATTTGAATTGCCTTATCGAAGAAATAATCTCTCTAGCTTGAATAACAATTAGTTAATGCAATACTAAAGGATAGTTAAAAATATAAAGATGTGCAAAAGTAAATAAATGCTTAAATGATAGAATTAATAAATTTGTTTATAGAAAATATTGTTTAAAATAAATTATATTTCCATATATAAATCATTCAAATATTTAGTTATAAAAAATGACAATTTCGACTAATATAATGAGTAAGCAATAATAAATAATTAACAAATGGACGATAGCAGATCTGAAAAGCATTCACATAAAATGGTGAGAATTTATAATTTACATTAGAATATCGACCATATTAAAGACGAAAATATATTCTGCTTAATTTGCGAAGAGCAAGATTATTCAGAGCAAAACTAAATAATATTTTGTGATGGATGTGATGTTACTGTTCATTAAGAGTGTTATCATGTTGTAAATTTGGGAGCAAAATGGTATTGTTAAAAATGTTTGGCATTGAATGATGATAGAGATTAACAGATCAGTTGTTAATTTTGTCCAGAATAATTCTAAATTCTTGAATTAGTGTAAATAAATGGATAGCAATAATGGGTAACTAAAATAATCGAATGAATTTTAGGCTCATTCGAGTTGTTTGAAGTGGAACCCATTTTTAATTCAAAATTCTCAAAGTTATAATTTATACACTTGCGAGACAGATCTTCAAACAGGTTACAAGTGTCGTTATTGTCAAAAGACTGACGGTTTTCAATTGGAATGTCACTATATGGAATGTTAAGAGGCGTTTCATATAGGGTGTTTGAAGGTGAATGGAGGCATAATGAATAAGGAGGCTATGGAATGTTTATACACTTATATGAAACCACATTTGAAAATTCAGGATTAGAAACTATTATTTTGTGCAGAGCATGTATAGGAATTATTGACTAAGTTGGATGAGAATTAGAAGAACCTTATAGAAGAGAGTAATATAGAGATTGATTCATTTTAGAGTATTTGAAAATGAGAAGCGAAAGATTGAATTCTTATTACATCTACAATAGGAACAATAAATAAGTAGTTGAGAATAAAAGTGAGACTAAGTAAACTAGAAAGCAAAGAAATTATGAAGACATGCTATTTGATGAGGTTGTTCAATTGAAGCAGTTGAAATAAGCCAAAATACCGATAAAGGATAAGAAGGTGAAATTGCAATTCAAGGAGTACATGACAAGGAAACTGAATGACCAATTGCATAAGTTGAGGGATGACTTCATGAAAAAAAATCATAATGATTTGAATGCTGATGAGGATACTTATATTTAAATAGATACTCAATTAAGTAAGAAACTATTTGATAAATTGGTGGACATCAACAATTTGGAAGAGTTTGATAAATATTTGGTGAGCTATTTCATTTTTAACAATATGATTAGAAAACCTAATAATCCTGAGATTTATATTCGAGATGTAATTATGTTTATTAATGATTAGGATAATAATAATTATTCATATTGGAAGAAGATGTTGGATGAGTTGGGAGTTAAAAATGGGGAATAATTCTCAAGGTTTTTGAATGTTCTCAGGTTGAAGAAGATGAATATTGTGAGTAGGAATAATGAGAAATTGCAATATGAATAGGATTTGCAATAGCAATTCGAGATCTAAAATAATGAGTTGATTGAATGATTAATATTTAAAAATAAAAATATCATTTTTAAAATAAATGGGCAGAACAGGAATTGCAGTCGGATTAAATAGAGGTTTCATAACATCCTCTTTAACAAAGAAGCAATTGAGAAGAAGACCATCATAAAGAAAAGGAACATTAGGTAAGAGAGTGCTTTCCGTCAGAAAAGTAATCTAAGAAGTAGCAGGATTGAGCCCATATGAAAAAAGAATTATTGAATTGTTCAAAACCAATCAACCCAAAGATTTAAAGAAGGCAGGAAAATTGGCAGCTAAGAGATTGGGTACAAATAGAAGAGGAAAAAGAAAGATTGAACTTGTCTAAAATCTTTACAGAGCCATGAGAAAGTAATAATAAACCAAACATTGATATATTACATACATTATACCAATATCATCAATCTTGCTTTCTTTTTCTCCCTTAGCAAAATAACCAATCATATTTTAATTAATAATATTCCCACAATCCCATACCTAATTCCTGTCTATTCATCCCTCTCTCTATGTTCCTTTTTAGATACTTGTGTCTGTCCTTCAAGATCTTTCCAATAATATCAGTAGTTGATATCCCTTCAGTTCTTTTAGTTGCCTATATTCATCTATGTATCTTTGTAATACCTTGAATTTTCCGAGTTTCTTGCACAAAGCATAAGCGTCATCCACATCTGCAGTGGTATATGGAATATCATCATGAGCAACATAATCAATCTGATGATCATTTAGAAATTTCTCGTCAACTATCCAGGGAGCAGGATAGATGACCTCATCAGCCCTTACAAAATAATAATATCCCCTTACCATTTACAATGCTTTACACTTTCAGTTCTTTAGTAACCATCCATCACAGATTTTCCTTTATATTTCTCAACATCCTCTTAAGAACACACTCCCACTATCAAATGAGTGTTTGGAAACAGCTTCTTGCATTGCTCTAATTAACGTGCATGTCCATAATGAAACATATCATAAACTCCATCTGCATAAACACGTACTTATTTTTCTTCTTTGTTCATTTAAATAAATAAAATATTAAAATAATGTAAATAAATGGCCGTTTGTAATTTGACTTAAAACTTGATGATAAAGATTATAAAATTAGTGGCAACATTTTCATGAAGGACAACATTTCTACAGACGTTGAGAAGGAAGCAGAAACAATTGCCAATAGAATCATCGAAAAAGTCCGATAAAAATCATTAAACAAATCAGTCAATAAATCTGTTTAACACAAGTATGAATCATAATCAGCCACCAAATTCAGTCAAACTGAACATTTCAAATCTATTGAATAAAACAATTCTCGATAAGAAACATTAAAAAATGACTATAAATAACCCTATATATCTGAATATTAAACCGAATTTAGATCCTCATGCAAATTGAATAATGTAGAACAACAATTAGATATTTGTGAATTAATCACTCCTTAAAAACATAAGCAAAGAAATACTAAATCGTAATAATGCATTAAAAAAGAGTAGCCAAGTCTTAAATAGTCTGCAACTATCTAATTGGCTGAGAGTTAATATTTTATCGAAAATAGTAGTAATTGCAATAAGAAAGATGGAAAGCAAATTATTTAATTGATGTATTCTTTTATTCAATTATTAATTTTAGAGATAATGCACATAATCTAATCAGAAAAAACTCATAAATTTTGAATAAGGTTTAACTCTAGTCTCCTCTTCAATCAGTCATCAATACAAAATCTCTCAATACATAAAACAATAAAAAGAAAGAAGATATTGTTACTCAACTATTAGGAAGTCTAAGGAATGCTAAAAAAATTAAAGATGAATATTAAAAAAGATTCTTTTGATTACTTATATTTATTAATACACAAAGTAATATCATTTCAAAATTTATTTAATTTCATATCTTAATTCTAAAAAATGTCTATATTCAATAAGATATTTTTAATTATGGGTTATTTAATCTAAATATTATAATAAATCATTTTGATTAAATGAAGGCAATAATCCATATTTATATAAAAGCTCATAATATTAGGATAATGTTTTCAAAATTTACAACTCTTTTGTATACTATATCACATTCTAAAGTTTTATTTTTGTATACAAATCATGATTCAACTCTTCAATACTCATTTTAATATAAGATAACAATCCTTCCTTTGTTAAATTTTTTATTAAACGAGAAAATTCTTAGTCGAATTTTACATTATCATTAGAAAACTCTGGGATAGAACTAACTTTAATCAATTGACTTTAAAATAATTCTTAAATTTTAATGTTATCTTAACAGACTTATTCTAATCCTTACTACCTTATTTTATTATCTCCAGTATTTGATTCAGATGTGAATAAATTATAAAGTGCTGCTGATAGAATAGTCAAATGTTTGGCTGATAATATGCATAGTTTTTCTTTTAACCAAGGTGAAATCAATTTGTAATTATCAGATAAAATAAATTTAATTACACTAAAATAATTCTAGTATCCTTGTATTGTATTATCAACAATGATAAATTAATCGGAATCATTTTTTGTAATTTTTGGAATAACAGGGGCAGCTAATCTATCAACTTTCACAGTTTTAAAAGTAGTTTTATTTTGTTGTTTAACAAATAATTTATTATTAAGGATATCAGCTATGCTGGATCTATAATTTACATCAAAGACCAAACAATTTTATATTAATTATTTGACATGACTCGGGATTTCTGGTGCATCTGGAAAGGTGACTTAATTTCTTGTTATTTCATAAATTAGATCTCTCTCATTCTGAGCACTCCAAGGAGGGATTCCAAATAGTATTTCATAGGCCATCACACCGAAACTCCAAATATCACTTTTTAAATGATATTAATTTCTGATCAAAGTTTCAGGACTCATGTATAAAGGAGTTCCAACGTTCATCTCAGATGATAATTTAGACATTTCTTTTGCAAATCCAAAATCGGCTATTCTTATAGTATTGTCTGAAATAAGAATGTTTTAGGGTTTCAAATCTCTATGGATTATGTCTTATTATAATAAATATGATGTACTTTCTTATTACATGGATACAATTCCATATATAATTTAAATAATAATTTGTATTGCAATATTTGAATTTAATTTACCATATTTCTTTATATATGATTGTAAATCACCCTATTTGCATAATTCAGTTATTATATAAATATTATTTTTAGTGTAAAAGTAATCGTGGAGTTTGAGTATAAAATTTCCTTTGAGTTTTGAAAGCACTGTAATTTCATTTTAAATTAGTGGTATTTGATCACTTATTTATCTTTAAATAACCTGATTTACTTATAGAATGTACCTTAATGGCTACTTCTTCTTAAGTAAGATCGTTAATGCCTTTGTAAACTATGGAACTGAACCCACGGCCAACAATGTCTCCAACAGAGTATGAATAATTCATAATTCCTCTTCTTTAGAAATGCATATTGTATTTAACAATTAATTAAATAATATTATATCAATATTCAGTTTGAACAAATAATGGCCACTCCTCTGATAATCCAAAATTCAGGTGACTCATTTGTTTTCAATGGGATATCCATTATCTTCTTATTTCTTTTCTTCGTACTATAAACAGGGATTTGCAAATATTCTTGATATTATTAAATTTGTGTGGTTAGGTTAATCGATATGAGAGGAACCTATGAATACAACACATTAATTTGCGGCTCTACAATATTTTATTATTCTTCATCCCATTGGCATTAATCAAAAAGCAGGCCTTCGATCAGATAGCCTTCAAAGTTATGATTACAAATTTTGAATTCGAAATTCAATGAATCTACAGGAATAGAGTTCTTTCTAGCATAATCTTGTTTCACACCTGTCAAAAATGTTTGAGGATAGAAAAAATAAGAAATGTTTATCAATTCTGGAATTCCATTTTCAATCCATTTCTAAAAATATTTGATTCTTTCCTATAAATTTTAGACAAAATTAATTAGATTGCTGGTTGTCAAATAGGATTTCGATAACCAGCTAGTTGGAATCACTCCCTACAGAAGATGATAACATATTTGTTCCATTTCTTAATTCATGACTTCTAATCCATCAAGTGATTTCAGTATGAACTCTAAATCGCTTTTAATTTGAATTATTAATTTGTTGAATCTACAACACTCCTATATCAGTATTGTATTTAAAGGAGTACCATATTGATGTTCTAGATGGTCATATTATAGGACACTCAAAGAGATAGAGGAGATCAGCAATTTAAGCTATTCCTCTTAATCATTGATATTTAAAACACTACTAATATTGCATAGCTTTCCATTCAATTCATTTGTCTCATTAATCTTCTAATTTATTTAAGCATTTAAGTGTAAACCAAACAGTCGATTATCATCTTAATAGGATAACTCATTTATCTATTCCATATAGTCATTTAGCATCATTGGATATTCAGACTCTTCACCCACTAAATACTTATCTAACAATATCTTAAGTAATTATCTGTCATTATTATCGATCACTCTGCCTCCATAATTAAGTTCACTAATTAGATACTTCAATCCTTCTGTATCATAATCTAATAATTATTTTTGTGATATTTCCAAATCAGCTTGAGAAAAATCATAATTGAAATTCCATCCTATATTTCCAAACTTTCTTCTTTCCAAAACAATAGCATGAAACTATGCCAAACCAAATAGTTGATTTTTGAATTATAAGGGTTTATCATTATATTTCTTCTCTTCAATAGATGAATATATTCTTAATAAATTATTCTTATATCCCTTTGGATATTCAAATGTGAATTTTTCTGATTTTTACAATAACTTAATCGAAAATGTATCAATTGGACTTGTAGTTAAAAATAATCTGAATTTTGAGTCCCTTTATACTTACTGTAATTCATTTTCATATATCTATTCGATTGATCTGATGAAACTCTTGGCTAAATGTAAATTCTATAGAATAATCCATTAATTTTCTTCTATTGCTTTTTTTATACCTAACTCAGCTATTTGGTTTTAGCCTTGTCCCAATGATAAAGATTGCAATTTGATTTTTTCTGATGCAGCTTCTCTTAAAATGAAGTTTAAAGGATCAGATCCAGAAGACAATATAAATAAAATTGGAGTATTTGGCTAAATAGATAAAGGTTCAATGCTAAATTATGGAATGATTGTAAAATGTGATCCAACATAATACTCAATTGTTTAATGGAGTTGAAATATGAATTAATATGGTTTGATGATTTTAGTTATTATGAGTAGATGAAATGGTTTAAGTTCTAAATCATAGTTGTTGTTTAAAAATTCATAATAGTGATTTGTCAATTGTTATACTATTTTATCATTTTTGAATTAAAAGGCATAATCATTTAATTAATTCCACTATTACTATGTTAGATATTCAGGACATGTAGTTGAACTCTAAATTAGAGTGTAATTAGAATGCTAATTGAGTAAGAAACTAATTTCCTCTTGAGTAATAATGTTTTCAATCAATAAGATTTTGAGGAAGAGCATGGTTGTAAATGTTAACTTATCCTTTTCTAAGAGTGATTAACAAATGTAAGAGTAAAGCAATTTTGTAAAATGCTGGAACAGAAATTTATTCTTTTCTACCTATTGATTTTGAGAAGCAGATTTAAATGCTTTAATTGATTAATCAAAAAGTTGAATGAATTTTTCTAAGGACCAAACATACACAAATTCCAATTTCTATAAATCTCTAATAACAAGATAAATAATAGAAATCTTCTTTGTAATAGTCTTGTATTGACTTGAGATCTTTTAAAAGGTTTCTTTGTCGTTTTCTGCTTTTTTTAATTTATCCTCTATTTCTATTTACTCATTTTTTGATTTCTATAAAGTGAGAATCAAGGTTTCATCCTCTAAAATATTGCCATGAGTTCCATGTAATAATTTTAGGATTGAATCCTCGGTTTGTTGTTGTCTGTTTTTATTTTCATAATAATCTCTGATGTTCTTTTATCTTATCTCTTCCTTTTAAGGCTCCTCCACACCTACAATGTAATTTAATAAGAAATCTTCCAATCCTTCCTGAGTTACTTCAAAATTAATAAATTTCAAGTGAATGCAAATCTCAGGACTGTATAAGGGGTTCTTGCTCTAAATGAACAGCCTAAAATCAGGATGCATTTCGATCTTCTTATCATTTAATTTTGCATATGTACCACAGGGGAATGGAATCTGACTTTCATCGGGTTCTTGCAATAAAACTGGATGGCCTATCTGCATACAATTCTCAAAGTTGAATTTAGAATTTAATTTTTCATTCCACATCAATAACCATTAAGATCCTTGATTTTAAGGATCAATTAGTAGAATCCATTTAGTAGAATTTTAAATGATTATAGCATTATCAATAGATAATTGATCATTTGGCAATTTCATTTAATTAATCCATTATCCAACGATTATTTGATTGCAGAGGGTGTTCAATAAAGAGAAATTCTAACTAAAAGAAACATTCTGCAATTCAATTTTAAGTTATTCTAAAATGGATTCTCTAAGTCCAAGAGGAAATGGTCCAAAAAATGTAATAATAGCACTTGATAATATGCAATCACCCTGCAAAAATTGTTTATTTTATTTGTATTGATTAGCCTTATGTCTCCAACTATCCTTCTCTTGTATCAATCCACTGATTAATTTCTCGGCTCTCTCCAGTTATACTTAACACTTATTAACATCCTCTTATAATTAGTCTTTCTCTAATTTAGCTTGATTGTAATCGTTTTGGAGTAAATTTAAAAATCTTAAGATCTCCTTCAAAGCATCTATCTTTTCCTTTAATGCTAATTCAGTTACTTACAATTATTAAATAGCATTTTTTAATAGAACTTATTTGGGATCAACAATCAAATAGGCTTCGAATGTATCAACCACAGCCTTAATCCATAAACTCAAATTTCCTGCAGCCTTGGAAGCATTAAATACCTTATCATCAAATTGAAGTCCCTTTATCTTCTGAATTCTAGCTGGAGTGATGGCTTTTATTTATTCCTCCTTGAAATCTCTGACTCTCTTAATCAATTTATCATTAAGTAAATTCTTTTTGGCATGTTCCCAAAAGTCTTAGATCTTTTCTTAAGAACCAGGTTCCTTCTATTTCCACTTTACCTATTCATCAAATATGTAACACATTCCTTCCATGACTAATGAGACAGCTAAAGGTGGTTTCTAAAAGGATTTCAATTAAATCATATCTTCATTTGTGATTTTCTCCAAAGCTGATGTAGCTGCTGCTAGTATTGGCAACACCTTGTCTAATTCATCTTGACATTCCTGTTTTAATTGATCAGCTTTCAATTTTTCTTAAGTGCATTCATATTCTTCCTATTCACATTATTGTTTCTTTAGGTCTGCCTCTTTTTGTTTTTTCTATAAATTTATTAGTAAATGAGAATTTTCAAGAGTCAATTTATGTAATTTTGGATGAAGCTCTTGCAAAGTTGCTTTCATCAATGTAACATCTGATTCAGTTTGTAAGATCTTATCCACTCCATGTGTATATCTTTAAATAAATTTGTCAGTTTCTTTCTATTTTTAAGAATATAAGACTTTATATTGCTTCAAGAATTCCAAGAAGTATGGCTAATAGATTTGAAGGTAATGTTACTGGTTTTTCATTTGCTTACAATATTGTTGACTTTCCTTCTTTATTATGCTAAATACATTTAAGACATCTATGTCATATTATTATTAGGTTTCTATTAATGCTTCTTATGGCCATTCAGCAAACCAATCAATAGTTGTGTTATTTATTAAAGTTGGAAATAATCGAATGCGATTTCTAAACTATTCACCGTTTGGATTGATACTTAAAATAAAATGCAAATTTTGATGGGTCTATTTAACAAATTGAGGATAGTTCATATGGTATTCATTTAAATCTTCAATCAATTTCATTTTGTCTTCAGCTGTATATAGATTTTGCATTTCACCAAAATTAATTAGATTACAAATTTGTTCTAAATTAAAATCATTGATTTGATTGCAATTAGCATAAATTATTGTATTTCTCAATTCCATTCCTGCCTATCTTAGAATAGATTGCAATTCATCTTTATCATTAGTGTAATTATACATCTCTTTACCATCCATTATATACGAACTCAAATTCGCCAGGGATTATCTGCCACTACCAGTCAATCCAATTAAAAGCATATTTCCAAATTCTAATCCTCTGATAATTCTGACAATGTGATTGATGGCATATTCAAATAACACTATGTTATTTTCCTAAATAATCTTTTAAAATTCATCTAGTTTAGAATTCAAATATTCTCTCAAAACTTTTTGTTCAACACATGTATAAATCTTTGAATAACTCTGGTTTTCAATTGTAGTAGGGATTATGTTGGTATAATATAATTGCTTAAACTCATAATTCTTTTTCATGTTTTATGAGATAAGATCTAATAAAATTTGATTGAATTTTTCACTCTCAATCATCCTATCTGAGAATACTCTCTGACATTCATTCTGCCATAGATTAACCAAATCTCTATCTCTCTATATTGTCCTAATATCTCCCAAATATATCCCTTTAAATACCTTCCATACATCTCTTAAATTAAAAATGTAATGGCATTTGGAAGGTGTTGCTAAATACTCTTACTTAACAATATTAAATAATTATATTGTACTATTAACAATTATATTACTCATTTTTATTATGGCATTATTCACTAATTGTTTTTAACCCCATTGATTCAATATCCATTAATTTAAAGCATTAAATATTTTTATTAATGATTCATGAGAATACTGTGGAACATAAAGTAACATGAAATGTCTCATAAATCTTTGGTTGACTTACTTTTAAGTGGCACAAATATACATTGTATCTTCTAGATGTTTGAATTCTTTAGTCTCAATATCATACCATCCATTAGTATCAATATGTTATCGGATCAATTCATTTGGCTATTCATTCATAGATAAATCATCTATAAAAACCGAGCAAACTGCCTTATTTTCTTCAGGACCATAATGCCCTTTACATCGTCTCTAACTAACCTTATTTTCAATCAATTATTATATGTAATTGATCTAAGTTTGTCCACTAAATGTCAATTATAATTAAGCATGGTTCTAAAAGAGTTGCCTTGTCTATTAAATTTAAATTGTCTTGCCAGATCCAGTTTATCCAATCAAAATTAAATTGATTTTTTATGAAAGATTTTAAGTAATCCAAAATTGAGTTTTTATTGTGTCAATGCATTTAATATAAAGACTATCGAAGGATTTTGTCTAATTAATTTATGATTATTGAGGGTCAACATTCCAAAAAAGCCAACAATTTTTATTGACATCAAAATAGAAATCGTACAAATTAGGTTTATTTACAGGTTCCATAAATCTTAAATGCAATGCTTGCGGCTCATATTAATATTTGTTTTTAATTGAGAATTATTAAATTACATCATTCGAAGCTGTAATTAATTTCATTATCATAACATTTAAACTTTTTCTTTGATTTTCATCGCATATTCCTCCAATGACCCATAAAATACAAAATAACAACACATTTATTTGTTGATCCTCATTCTTGTAATTGAAAGTTCTCATCATATTTAAAGATTATTACACTAATTGGGCATCTGTACATGGCACATAAAACTTACCTTACAAAAATCCTAATGTACAATCAAACAACCATAATGCTTTCTTTTAAAAAGTGTCATTAAAATTTTAATTGTCCAAAATTACTTTCCATTACAATTACTCCATAAATAGCATTCCACATCTAGTAACAGTTGCTGGAGATGCTTACTATAAATCAGAAGTCTCGAAAATGATCTATGTTCTTTCAAACAATCTAATGATTTCTCCAGATGATAAACACAATTTTTTATTGTCATCCAAAACTGTATTCAAATTCTCTACCCATTGTGTATCAACCGGCCCGTCAAATACTATGAGTTAATTAATCTACTATCTAAATATGATGGGTATAACCCCGTCATAAAATTACTTAGTGTTTCTATCCAATTTTCCAAATAATTAGTCTATTTATAGAGCCTTAGGATTTATCTTATGGACAACGTAATTTTGTTTATATGCTAATGCATTTATCAACTTTGATTTTCCACTCATTGTTTCTCCAATAATCATAATTCCATGCCTAACATCCATCAATTATTCCATCTAAATACACTTCTTAATAAAAACTGGGTTTGCTTCAAGTTTTAAACTTTAGCAAACGTCGGAAAATCCTTAGGTTTCATATTACTATTCAATATTGCTATTAGGGAATAAATCTTAAATAATTGAGTTGAATAGCTAAACATCCTTATTTATTAATTTTCCTAAGTTTACGTTGATTAATGCTTAAATGCATTTAACTTCTTCATCTTCATTATCAATTTGCGAAATAGTCAATAAGACAGACTTCAAAGCCCTCATCCCGAAATCGTAATGATCTTAAGTTGATAATTATTCTTATGATAATTGTAATGCTATAATTATCTTATTTGAAAAATAATTAGCTTATTAAAATCCTATCGAATATAAAAAGATTTCAGTGATCAATTAATAATCTGGTTAGATCATTGCACATGGTCTAAAGAGTATTTTGAGATTGTCTGGCAACTCATATCTGCCTACATATCCTGGATTCATGGTGATATTGATTTAGCATGATTTATTTAAAAAGTATTCATCAGTCTCAAAATATATCATTTTTTTCTATTCTTTTATACCTTATTATATTAGAATGATTTATTGAGCAACAACTGATAACACTTCTAAATCAATTCTATTGAATTCATCAAAACAACACCAAGCTCCACAACATATCAAGCCTTTAAAGAATTTGCTCATGGATATAACATTTAAGCCTTCTGAGCAATTAAAGACTATACATTGAATTCCTAAGCATTTTGCTAAATCTTTGACTGTCTCTGTTTTACCAGTTCCTGCAGGACCTTCAGGGGCACCTCCATAATTGTTTTAAAATGCCATAATGAGAGTCCTATAACATCTATCAGTCAAAGGTGTAATTACTAGTCTCTATGTTAAACCATAATATTCAAATCCATATTGAATGTTGCATGACAACAATGAAACTCTGAGAATCTTTTCATCATAGTACCTCAAATTGATTAACCAATTAAAATCAGTCTCTTTTAAGGATTCAATTTTGCATAAATTTTCAGTTTATGTTCTATTATGGACTAAAAGTAAGATTATTTAACTAATTTATATTCTCTAATAAATATTAAGATTTTTCTGTTGTAATATTTAAACTAGATTTTTAATTTGTTGCTTAATTTGATGCAATACATTTTCTAAAGATATTTAGGAAATTAAAGCTTATTCAATTGATGAAGTCCATTTAACTTATGTCATTGTTTGTACACATTATGATGGCCATTTCAAATACCACTATTTATCAGTATCTTATGCACACTCTTTCATTGTTCTCTTCATAGTCTCTACAATAATTTGATCAGCCTCCTGCAGCCATTTTTCAACATTGCCTTGCTTATCATTTTCAATCACATTGCAAAATTTGTATAAAGAAATGATGTCTTTTTCTGGAGAGATGATATTCAAAATGTTTTCATTATTCTCATCGAATTGCAATTCATAAATTCCTTCATAACACTTTTGAATATGTCTATTAATAAGTAAAGGTTCTTTAGTCTAAGCTAAGATTTCAAGGAGTCCATCATCAGACAAAAAAAAGAATCGAGGGAACACCTTTCTTTTCTACTCTAAGTAATTACTAAGTCCTTTCAAAATATAATCTAATAAGTCGTTGCAATGTTTGCTTTCTTATTTATATCTTTCATTTTCAATATTTTCCCATACCAAGGGATCCTTCAAAAAGTTTTCAGTAATCTACCTCCAAAATCTATCTATAAAATCAAATTTGTTTTTTTCTTACGGCAATTTTTTCCTTATGTCTTCTGATTAGAATATAGGCTAAAGGTAGATGTATCCTCTCTAAGTGGTTCTCCAATTCTCCAAGGTGTCTTAGATTAGAATGATCTTCTTCTCAACTCCTATTGCTTTTTCCATTACAACATACGGACTTTATTTCAATAAGAGAATAGTATTCAATTATTCATCCAACAATATTTAGGCTTCATCAATTTTCATAATATTGGTGTTTCTAACGAATTCAATTTTGATTTCCTTACACTTATCAACAACTGCATTCAATCTTTTCTCAATATCATATGTATAAGTGGCTTTCTTAGATATGTCTTCTATTTAAATCTTAAATTGCAAATAGTTATGCTCCAATAATTGAATGAGTGTAATATCATCTCCAACATATCCACAAACAGAATAGATTTCATCCCAAATCTTTGGCTTCTTTTGTATGGCTTCACAATTCAAAAATTCAATAAGCCACATGACTTCCTTAAATTTGTCCAAATCCTTCTTCAAATCAGTCAATAACCTCAAAGCTTTATCATTTGATTAATCCTAAAAGAACTTTAATAACACAAGAGTCTCTTTCTAATAATATTATATCATTTTCCTTTCCACTTGAGAGTACTGAAGTTTCATGAATTAACCCTAATACCATTCTTACTTATCTATATCAAATTCTATGGCTAAATCCCAAATCTTATAGAAGGGCTCAAAATCCTATTTGATCTTGATCAAGTCATCATAATCGCTAAGAGGTTGTTTGAATAAACTCTCTCGATCATTGAATGATCTTACCTTATCTTAATAATTGTTTATTTTCTCTTTTAATCCCATAACAATTTATGCATAAGTTTTCACCTAAGAATAATCTTCATAAAATTTTATCTCTTCAACTTAATTCTCCAACACTAACAATTCTCTAATGAACAACTCCTTCTCTTAATCCAATTTCTCCGTGAATTTTGTCTCTTTCAAATGGACATTCCTTTATCCTTCAACTAAGGCTATTCTTATCTCTGCTGGCCATTGTTTCAAAAACCACAGATTTTCAATTTCTTTATTATCAAATTAATATTAGTATTAATGCAACAAGTCCAATGTTTAGAATAACATATTAACCTCATTTGCCAATTTAGCTAGATTCACTTCAGTTTCAGCAATGAAATTCTTTAATTAAACCATCTCATGCTCTTCTTTTGGTTCTTCCAATATTCTTTCACACATATCCTAATATAATTTACCAATTCTCTAAATATTGTCTGTTAAGACTTCACTTAATCTATTCAAAATTGCATTTATAATTTCTTGAGACTTTTGAATCAAAGTTAGTTTGGCTAATTTTGTTTTCACTTAAAAAAATGAAAAATTCTTTTCATCTATACACAACCTTTCTATAGTAAATATAGTTTGTAAGTAATAAATCAACTTCTCTTTTATTTTATCCAACTCTATGTATGTAATCGCAGGCTTCTCCTTTGAATCCCCAAATAATCTTTTCATCAAATGGCTTTGACTCTTAGTATAGAGATATGAGAATTCGTTGAACTGATCCAGGATTAAGTTTTTTTATTTCAAGGCATTATCGATGAATGTTACAATCTATTCTATTGCTTTATCAAAGTGATGAGAAATTTACTCCATCTCAACAGACTATGCTTACCCAATATCTATTAAAGGCATAATATCATTTTCAACCTTCTTAACCTATGAGACAGTCTCTTTTATTAACTAAATAGGATTGACCAATGTCTATATTATTTACTATCTGGTTGGTTCAAAGATCATGTATCTATCTTCTCCAAATGTTGATTGCTTATGCAATACTGTTTTCTTACGAACTATTTACTATATAACAATATTGATTTATAGGAATGGTTCTTTACTTAGATGCTCAGAATCATCAGTAAAGGATTTTATGTGATTTATCCACTTAATTACATTCATTTCTACTAAATTTTTCATGTTTAGATAACTGAACTATTAGTCTATTCTTTTTAGGAGTAAACAAAGTTATGACCTTTGATAACCTACATCATCAGTTTAATAAAAATTAAATTATGTTCTTAGACTATCTTAAACATCTTAGATAACTTGAGTTCTCCAATTATTAAACATAGTTAATTTGAGTACATTATACATCTATTGATTATATGCCTCCAAATTTGATAAAACGAATGGAAGTTGTCCATAAGGATAGGTTGTTGGCAGCAATTCAAATGATGATTCTTTTATAGTTTGAATTTTTACAAAAGTTTATAGTATCTATTTATTATTTAAAATTGGAGATTATGAAATCTATTATTTAACTTACTGGAAATCCTTTTTTAAACTTTTCAACTTTGGAAACCTTTATAAAATGCCATTCATATTTCTCATTTTAATTCTATTTGTTATGAAATCCGTAATGAAATCACTCTAGTTCATTCTCTATAGAGTAAGGAATTTCTTCATAAATAATTTATATTCATATTCAATTTGATCAAACTCTACATTCTATTGTTTATTCAATTTTAACTTCTTCTTAATGTTTATCTTAGTTTAGACAGGCAAAGTAGTAATGAGCTAATCAGGTATGCTATTGACATATTTAAAGAATCGCAGTTCCTCTTCTGCCTATTTCTATAGTACTCTGCATTATTGAAGTCTCATATTGAATTCTGCCTCATTTTCAGTTTTCAACATCAAGGATAATCGACTCACATACTTGATTTGATCATTCTTCAAGATTTTAACCACGAATTTCTGCTGCTTCTAATCAAAATCTTAAATTTAGACTTCTGTCCAAACATATCCATTTCCCTCATAGAATGGGCATTTCGCATGATAAGATCTATCATTCTTGAATTATTGTATGATGTCTGATGGAGTTTGGGGATCATCCCAAGTTAAGTAATTTTTTAAAGTTTTATTAGTATTAAGACCTTGCAATTCAAAATTCATTTCTTCATCATTTGCTTTTTCATGAAATGACATATTTTTCCTATTTGACAAACGACTAAAATTCTCTTATATTTTTACAGGATTTCTAGCCGGCTTAGGTAAATTAGTTTTCAAGTTTTTCTTGCATAAATCATTCATCCATTAAAAATTTGAATCATCCCTTATAGTGATTATCATGGAATGCTAACCTCTATTCCTAGAATTTGATCTTGCTTATCGTGTAACTGGTTTCGTGATAATTCTTTATTAATTTCTAAAGGTTACTTCTATTGAAAAATCTCTCTGGTTGGCTCTAACTTTTATTTTATTGCCTAATAACTGATTTATTGATCCTAAAAAGATTAATTTACAGCTTCCTTGTTTTTTTCATTTATAATATTATTAACAAGCTCACTAAAATTTAAAATAGTTGCGTACCGGGAATCATGAAAATGCTATTGAGTTAGTAATAGTTCATCAACTAAAAGTTGCTCTTTCTTGGCCTAAGAGAAATTGATCTTAGGGAGTTGAGCCTTGAATATTGGAGCGATTGTCATTCTCTTTTGACTCATTCCTATATTAATTAAAATATATATATAAATTATATGGCAATTATTTTTGAAATAAATATTAATTTCCCTTTGATTATTTCGAAGATATTCAAACAAAAAAATTAATCTTATAGACTAACACTTTATTTTTCTATTTATCAATATTAATTTTTAAACTCTCATTAATTAATATATTTAATGTCCTAATAAAAATAAATAGTTTTCAATTATAATAATGAAGAAATGTAAGAGTTAAATTAAGAGGTGGGTGTTTAATGTTGTTGTATGATTCAGATTATGAGATTGATAAATTTAACTAAAAATCTTCAGGGAGAGACAAATTCAATTATAAAAACAACTCCTAAAATTCAATCTGTTCAACAATAGAATAATCACAATATTAAAAAAAATGATAATATTATATAATTAATCTAATTTCATAATGTAAAAAAGAACCATTTTGAAGAAGATGAAAATATTTAAGAAGATTGCCTATTCAAGGAGATAAGTAACTATTCTGAAAGCAAAAATCTTAATAAAAATATAACGACTAACTAGTTTTCAAGAGTGGCTTGGTTTAAGTTACAATAGTCGTTATTTCATATCTCTTAAATTTTTAGTGTTGGTTCTTTGTATATAATGATGTAATTAGGTCTCATATGAGTATAGATAGATATTTTAAAGTTACCGTTGGCATCTTTATTGTCTAATTTGTATTATTTGAGATTGTAATTTTGATTTATTAGCAATATCCCTTTGAAAAGTCTAGAATTATTAATACCATCAATAATGGTGAGTAAATGGTTAGATAATCTCAAGCGATTAATTTAGATTCTATTGTTTCTATGATATATACTTTATGTATTATTTTATTTTATAAAATGCTTCATTATTTAATAATTAGCATTTTGTCTCCAGTTCAAATTTTAGCACAATCCAACACTTTAACGTTGACATATGAAGTGAGTAAAAATTAGTCTTAGATTATTCTGACATTTTCAAAATAAATAAATGTGACATCAACGTAAATGGAATCAATTACTGCAATCTACTTTCCATAACAGAATAATTACACCTACAATATACATTCATAAGATAATACTACATATTACATAAATCTAAATTTTGTTAATCAATTCTATTATGCAAATTGTATAATCAGATTTTTAGCACCTTATTAGATTATTAATTTAAATACCAAAGAATATTTAAATAAAGATTAATAAACTGTAATCATTTTACTAGGTCCTTATATTTATTATAGTGATTTCTAATAAAACACAGTGTATGGGTTGGCAATCTCTATTTATATTTTATTTTTTCTATCATTCTTATCAATGATAGCTAACATAGCTTATAAATTAAAGAATAATCAAGTGAACATGTCCTTTAACATATTTATGTTTTGGCAATTGCTGGAAAATTTGCAAATTTGCGGTTTGTTTTATTATTTTAACACACAATTAACCATATAAATGAAGGATGTGTCATCCTATATACGCTATTTCAATTTTAATTTTGAGATGTTAACTATATTCAATTAATATTTGAGTGATTTCAATTACATCAATTAGACTTTTGTCTTATGGATATTTTATGTTTCATCAATTGTAATTATATTATTAATTTATTTAATCAAAAGAAAAATAAATATCCATTAATTGCTACTAAGATCAACATCCATCTGCTTATTACCGTTTTTATTATATGGATTTTTAGAAATTGAGTACATTTAGACATCCAGTGCAATTTAAATAATTAACACAACATTTGTTATAATAAGTTATGTAATTCTCATATATTATATTTTTCAATACTTGTAAGATTTATGTTAAACATAGTTATTTATTGAACTGTTCTTAAGTGCTAAGTTAATTCAATGGCTTATAAACGAAGGCATTCTTTAAACGAAACTTCAATCTATTTTAGGAATTGAAAAAGGTAGTGTTTACAAGTTGTATCATCTTATTGGATTATTAATAAAACTTATCTATAACTATTTTAGTGGTAACCTAAATAATAACAGTTACATTGCTAGCCACAAAATTACCATTCAAAGCCAGAATCATAAATTTTATTGTTCTATGGAGTGAGATTTTAATGACTCTATGCTTAACGTTGATGGCTGCTATTATCTTTTTGGATTATATTAGTCTAACTTACTTGGAAGAGAATACTAGAAATATTTTAGGCTGGTCGATCATCAGTTTATTTGTTGGATCCATTTTTATTCGAAGTGCAGGTTGTTTGATAGAATTGATATTAAATATATAAAAATTATGACTACAAAATTTGTTGAAATTATTCTTGAAATATTTGGTCTGTCCAGTATGGTAAAATGTATGAGGCGGTGAATATAAGCATATCTTCATCAATACATACATGGTTCCAGTGATACAAAGTTTAAGAATATTCAATCAAAAGTAATTTATGTGTTCTAGCATTTTTTAGAATGAATTATTATATGGAACTTTTATATTTAAGGAAAAAACCTGGATTGAAAATTATATGAATATTCATAATAGATTGAAGGTGAAATTGTAATTTTCTTTTAAATCTTGGATTGAATAAAAGATAAATTTAACTTTCTAATGAAAATAAACTTGCCATAGAACTCGACAATAGTAATATTCTTATGTATCCCTTGATTTTAATCAACAAAAATTAGTATAAAATAGAGATGTGTTATAAATTTATAATTTTTGTAAAACTAAGATTTCTATTTAAACACAACAAGGTAATATAATACTCTACTCAAATACATATAGCAATTTTGCAATATATTGTAAAAATTGTGATATAATTTACACTTTAAATATTCTTTTCTAAAAATAGCAATAAAAATTAAGTTAGACTATTTTAAACTATGTAATTCTTTAAAAATTTAGAAATATTATTGAATAATAGATGTTAACAATATATAAAAATATGAATTGTTAAATAATTTAAAAACCTTGTAAATTAATATATATCGTTGCTCATATTAATACGATTCTATGAAATATAAAATTTAATAATATAAAAAATAAATATGTCTGAGAAATTACCGAGACTGAGTTAGAAAAAGGCTAGGTCCTAATCGTTATATGAGAATCAAGTTGCCACTTAGAAACTTAAGGAATCACTTTACAATTTATAGTCAAGTCGTTATGGTTAGAGGCCTTAAAAAAATCCTGTTATTGAATCAATTGTTAAGGAGGCAGATGTAGTTTTGACTAACTAGCATTTGAAAGAGAACTTATTTAAATTAAAGGAGATGGGGTTATTAAAGAATTGTTAGCCAAAAATATTAACATAGTCGGGATTGAAGAAGAAAGATTATATATTAAATGATTATCATAACAAAAGCACATTAAATGGATATTCAAGGAATTACGGTGGATTGTTTTATAACAGATGACTATAATTACTAAATATTTTATATCTGTTATTTAAAATTTAATTTGGATTCGTTCCAAGTCATTCTATTTTACATATTCAAAAATAAATAACTTGCAAAAATACATAAATATATATAAATGATTAATATTAAATAAATAATATAAGCAATTAAAGGATGTATACAAATTTTAATATTAAAAGAAAATATCTAAGACTTAAGAAAGTTTAATCCTTCCCCCGAGTAAGAGTGCAGTAATTAGAAAATGAGATTAATACATTTAGCCGCGTCATATCCTAGTATTGAAATTTTAGAATTTTTTATTGAGAAATCTTAAAATTTAGAAATCACAGATTCTGTATAAAATTAAATTTATTTCTAAGATAGGAAGAACTCCTTTGCATTATGCTGTTAATAATGGATAATTAAAAAATGTTGAATTATTGATAAAAAAAGGAGCTAAGATAGAAGCGTAAACAATAGGCGGTGATACACCTTTGATAAAATCTGCATTATTAAAAAATCATTAATGCTATCATTATTTAATTGGCGAAGGCGCAAATAAATTACATTAAAACTGTATTGGGCAAAGTGCTGAATAAATATATTAATATAATTGAATAACTATAAAGAATCAATATTATACTAATAATAGTGTGGTTTTCTTAACATGTATCTATTATTATTCCATTCTTTGATTACCTTTAATTGGGTTGAGAGCAAGATGAAAATAAAATTAGAAAGATGTTTGATTAGTATAATTAATTAATATAAATAATATTAAAATGCAATATATTTAATACCATCCTTAAATTATTGAGGAGCTAAAAATGAATGAAACAAAAAGTTTGTTTTCACCAATTGAGGTTTCATTAATCAAATCATTTGAAGATAAGGATTTATTCAAAGAATTAATCTTACTTTACAATCATAAAAAAAAAAAATTGGTTTAATAACAAGTTCATTTTGGGTTAAATTCCTTATTCGTTGAAAATAAATATATCCTGCTATGCAAGTGTTATTACGAAATGAGATATACAAAATTAAAGTAAAACGAAGGTTTTTACATAATTATCCTTCACAATTCAAAAGGTAAGGAATTTTTAATTATCAGTAATTCAAATTAGTTTTCTAAGATTTAGGCTGTGATAAAAAGGTTTTGTGTAAGTAAAAGTTTTTTCAGTAAATATCAGTTGTTTGAATAAAAAAATTGTATACCTTTTGCTTAAAATTGTAAAGTAAAAAATATTTATTAATTAGAATCAAGATTTATTTTGTGTCCTGTAAATAGACAAGAAATAAATTATCACTGAATCAGATTAGGAATAATTCTATAATACTATAATTATAATGAATTATATCAGTGAATAAACGAGGATTGTTAAGATTTATGAGGAAAATTCGATGTATTTTTTATTTATGAAATACATGAAAATGTAATCATTGGAATCTTTGATACTTAATGATTTTGAATTTAGAGAGGCTCCTCTCGTTTGCATAATCTATCTTATTCTTTAAACAATACAAAAATATAAAAATCTTGGAATTTACCATGGGAATATTAGTTTAAAAACGATATTTATCAATATGTCAGGCGCCTTTTTATAAATCATTATATTGTTTCCAAAATACTAGGCCAACAATAATAAAGGCATCTCTTTAGACTTGTTAAATTTAGGTTAATTGCTTTATTAAATAACATTTTATGAAAAAAAGGATAAAATTAAATAATTTGTAGACTAAAAACTAATAACATAATAAAAACAATTATTATAAAATTTGAATACTGAAAATAAGCAATTTTTATTTTTATATCGAATTAGTTAGTTAGATTTACTGAATCAATTGTTAACACAAAGCATTACTATTGAAAATGCTTTAAAACATCAATGGTTCATAACTGTCAAGCAGAATCTGAAAGCTGAGTTTTTGAAGGAAACAAAAGAGCGATTGGATTTACATACAATTGTTGAATCAACCAATGAAATGAGTATGACTATTTCTATAGATAAAAGAGTTTAATCCAAGGAATTTGCTGAGTATGGTATATCAAATTAATTATAGGAAATTCAGAAATTGAAGATGAATTTCCTGTGAAATGTTCAATTTTAAATCCTTTCTAAATGAATCCCTCAAAACAAAAGCATGATAATTCTGTTCCAAAATCAAAAAGTTGTTCGAATTTTGATTTACGTTTTGACAATAAAGAAAAGTACTTTGGAAATGAATAATCTCTTTTTATCTAATGAGACATACACTTTTCGCTTGAAATTATAATTAAAAATCAATAATTCGTAAAATTAATTAAAAATTTGTCCATATTTCATAAAGTTTCTTGTTATTTAATAAATAAAATGTTTTCAGATTTATTTTATTTTCTCCTTGTAATTTAATAGATCGTTTATAAAATATATATAAATTTATAAAATTCTTTCTAATTGTATTAAATAAGCACACTTAATTATTCAATCTTGATTAAAAAAGAGAGCTATTATTTTAGGTTGTAAACTCTGATAAGTTGCACACAGAATAATTATATATAGTTGTAAAGGAGAGTGTCTAATAGTTGTAAGCCTTTTCAGATATCAAGTATATAGTTAGTCATTAATCAGAATATAATATAATTTTTAATTTAATCATCTTTTTCTACATTTTTTGCATTTCCAATCCATCTAATCGATTTCTTCTTGTGTTTTATTGAGGGGTATTCCTGCACAACTTTAATGATACCAACATTTTTTTTCACTGCATTCTATCCATTTTGTATCTGTGCCAGGACAGTTTGGATTTTCACATTTTTAATTAGTTTATTCTTCTCTATCAGATGTTTTTTCATCATTGCTCATAAACATACATTCATAATCGCTTCGCACTCTCTTTTCTGGGTTGTAAGCAATTAAATATGCTTTCTCAGTTTCAGACAAATATTTATCATCTTATTAGTCTATATTAGCTTTTCCAAATTTGATTTCATTTAAAAATTCTTCTTTTTTGAATTGAGAAATTGTTTAAGAATTTAACTTCTATTTCATTTATTCCAAAGTAGCTCCAGGTATCCAATATTACAGAGTTTTTTTGATATTTAATTATTCCTGTAATTAGAGATCCATATTAAAAATTATTGTATAATAATTATTATTTAAATTAATAATGAATAGCATAGCAAAAACAGAAGAAGATTCTCCAAAGAAACCTATCTGGGAATCTTTGATAGAGAGAGTATTCTAATTTATAAATCTAGGGATCATGCAAGAAGGAAGAAATCCAAAGAAAAATAGAGGAGAAGAAGGCCAAGGATAAAGAATTAGACCCTTAATGTACTTTTAAGCCTTTCCTAATCAATCAAGCTTGTTAATTATAAATATCATATTTTAGAACTTTAAATTAATAAGCCTTTTCATGAGAGGCAATAAAAATGGTTAGAAGACAGGAAACTAAAGATTAATGAAAAAAGAGAGGGTGTTAAAGATAAGAGTCTAGAAAAGTGCTCGTTTCAACCCCAATTAGGACCATAACCTTAAATACCTGAAGTAGACATTAGAAACACCAAGGGAATGGATTCCTTCATCTAGAGACAGGAAAAAGCAAGAAAATTAAGATAAGAAAAAGATTTGTTATTAAATAATCCATATTCTCACTTAAGTTCAGAAAAGAAAGCTGTTTTGACAGTATTTATTTTATTAATATCAACTAGAACCAATCATATTATAGTAGCAATCACCCTATTTCAAAAGAATATGAATCTATAAGAAAAGCAGAAAGAATAGAATTTTCAAAAGCTTTAGAGACGTCACAAGAAATTGAAACTTAATCATAAACTTAATAATAACAAAAAATGTAGTTGGGAATGGCTATGAAAATGCTACACAACCAATTATATAATATTCAATTTAACAGTGAATTTTGATATGTTTATACTTAGATTATTAGAAAATAATAATAATAATTATTATATTTACTGTGATGATATTTCAATATGTCTTTTTGATTCTCTCTGCATTTTTCGGAGAATCATAGATTGTAGGCGGTCTACGCATTTCATGTTAGAAGTGATTGTATTCAAAGGTTCTATTTGATCTTCTAGTGTAAGCTAATTCCATTAAGAAATCGAACATATCGTCCTATAATAGTGAATGTTTAGTACTGTGCATGCATATGCAGCTTCATAATACATGGCATAGCAAGGATATACTTTGGCTCTTTTCAAGTAATCTGCTTCTGTCTTATCCATTTTAAAGTGTTCAGCCTAGTCACAATCAAACCATTTCTAAAATCTTAGAGCACACAATGTAAAATAATCTTATTATGATTAATAAGTAGGATAGGGAACATACACTTTCTACTTGGGAGGTAATCCAACTTAAAAGCAATTTGTTCTACCAGTAGGTGTTGTGCCTCTGAATGGAAATAGACAATCTTCCAATGCCCCTATAAACTTTGAGATGAATGTTTTACATCCTTCGAATAATATTGTATAGACATCATCAGGCTCCATTAATGAATATTTGTTAGCTGTAGTATCAAAATAGAAGCACTATTTATGAAATTGAGAGTACTTTTGTATACAATCTGAACCAATCTTTCAATTATTCCTTTTCCCAAACAGCATCAGTTCTCAATATAAAATCCTTTTCGTAATCTTTCCAGTTGATTCCTGTAAGAATACCATAGCAAACTACCTTTGTGAGAGAAATCATAATTTGGAGGCATTTTGTGGAAGTCTTTGGGCAGTGACTCTAATAAAGATTGTGTAGCCATTTTATGTCGATATTTTAATTATTTATATAAAAATGTATTGTAATAGATTTAAATTATATTTCTATAAATAGACTCTTTGAGTCCTTAGTAGAACTAGTGATTGAAATCTTATATGCATTCCTATTCTAAACGAAAATTAAAGATATTGCAATATTAAATAAATTGTAAAATTATAATTAATAAATATTTACATGGATCCTGAAGATGATTAAGACATAATTGATTCTATTGTTAATGGTATAATGGTTAGTAATTGTTAAAGCTCTGGAAAGTGACGAAGAAAGGTCGTTTTCTCCTTCCCAAACAAGATCAGATTCAAATAGAACTTATTCTCCATAAATCAAGAGATTGACATAACCCTAGTATTCAATAAATAATAAATAGATATTCGATTAAAAAAATTTAGAGTCCTATTATTGGCTTTAAATTAGATTGTTGGACAATTTAACCATTCAGTCTTGATGATGACTCATATTTGGATGGAGATTTAGTATATAATAATTGTAATATAGATCCTCAAATGTAAGGATTAAACCAATAGCAGAAAAATATAAGGTTTGTTTGAAAAAGGAAGTGATGAACAAAGAGAATTTATATTTTAAAAATTATTACCCGGGATTGTAACACTTGCAAATGATATCTTCGGAAACTATGTTGTTTAAAGAATCTTGGAGTAAGGTAATCAACAATAGAGGGAGTTGATTTTTGAACACCTCTCACAGTAAATACTGGTTTTAAGTTACAATACATATGGATGCAGAGTGGCTCAGAAATTGTTGGAGATATCATACAACACTCAGAAGTTTGACTAGATTTTCAAATTAATATCAATGCAAGTCAGGAATTTGGTTATTGATACTAATGGTAATCATGTGATTTAGAAAATTGCTGAATTGGTTAAATCCCAAAGGAGTGACTGGCTTATTGATGGTGTTTTGGGGTAGATTCAGAAATTATCTAATGACTCTCATGGATGCAGATTAATCTAACAGATATTGGAAGTATCTTCTGCATCATAAGTAATCATATAGATTAACAAAGTTGAATGACATTTATATGGAATTATTATCCATTTAGGAGGAATTATGCTTATCATAATATGGGAATTATATCATTTAGATATTGTTATAGAGGGGGCCGACTGATCTGATTTATAAAATTTAAAATGCAATTATTAAGAATTTGGAGAAGTTGAGTTGTGATAAGTTTGGAAGGTATTCAATCATAGTTAAATAGTAATGTGGTTGATAAAAGTGTAAATATTTCAGTTTATATGAGAAAATAAATCTTGAAGGTATTCATGCATAACATGAATATCTTTTATAGATTATCTAATAATTGTTATGGTAATTATGTAATATAGAATTTCTGTAAATAACTTGAATATAATTAATTAATAAAATTATCATATGATTCAAGTTAATTTAATACTCAATTTGGTTAACATGTCTATTAAGCCTTATAAAAATTGAAAAATTGAATTGATTATTAAGATAATATTTAAAATTCAAAATGAAGATTAATATAAATTTTGGATTTTAAATATTATTTTGTATATATTGTAAATATAAAATCTTGATATAAATAATATTTATATTATCTAAATTTTTACGATGGGCCGAGATATTGAGAAGGTGAAGGAATAGCATGTATATCATTTGATCTTGACTGTAGGCTTCTTCAAGCAAGACGAACAAGAAGGAGAAAAAGGAGAAGAAGGAAAAACATAAAAAAAAGGAGAAGAAATAGAAAAAAGAGGGCAAAAAACAAAAATAATAAAAGAAAAATTAATGGGGAAGGTATGGCACAATAAGGTTATATAATATCATTATTAAAGCATTACAGACATGTATTTAAAACGTGAGGAGTTTTTGATGTGGCTCTCCGAAGTGAAGATGCTTAATATAGAAGCGATCACTCCTTAAGAAGAAAAAAAGTTTTTTGAAGAATATGTTGAATGTTATAACACTGCAACATTTCCATCAAAAAAGTTTTACAATTTCAAAGTGTGGTTTGAGAAGGAACAACTCAAGGGTCATTTGCAACAAGCAGAAATTGAAATGCTCACTTTCGATGATGAAAAGGAAAAACAGTATTCTTATTATTTTTTAAATTTTTAATAGAAAGGAACAACAAGAGTAGAAGGAATTGATTAAAAAGCAAAAATTATAAAGAGAATATTAACATCTTCACGAATTTTAGAATATTGTAATAAATTGGTTATTTATTAAGGCACAAGACATGCAAAAATAGAAACAACTTTAAGAACTCTTGAGACATCATTTTCAGATGGGTAATCATGAGGCTGCTATCAAAATTCAAAAGTAACTCAATCCTATTCATACTATTGACATGAATCAAATCTAATAATAACCTCCAATTGACTATGACTATGATTATGAAAATTTCTGATCCTATAACATGAATATTAACAACAAAATATTCAATTTATAAAATATATGTTAAAGAGTATAATAAAATTAAAATGTTTAGCTGTTAATTTATATAAATAATTTGAATATCAAATGGCAAAAATAATAGATAATTACATATTAATAGAAGGAATAGGACAAGGAACATTTGGCGAAATACACAAAGGCAGAAATTTGATATCTAAAGAAGCTGTGGCTGTGAAAACAATTAAGTTGGACAGATTTTTAAATGATTCAATATTGAAGGATATGATAATTAACGAAATCTAAGCATTGAAAAAATTAGAGGATTAACATATCGTACGAATGATCAAAATGCTAAAATCAGCGAACAACATTTATTTAGTTTATGAACACTTAAATGGGGGATCGTTAGCAAATTATTTATACGAAAAAGGTCGTCTAACAGAATAAGAGGGAAGATAAATTATGTCCAATGTATTTAAGTAATCTTTTATCCTTAATATCTAGAGGATTCAAGACCTTAAATCATGAAAAAATCATTCATAGAAATATCAATCCAAACAACCTATTTTTTAATGATGGGGTAATCAAAATTAAAAATTTCTTTTGTTGCAAGTCCCCTGCAAGTTAGAAATTATTCGATCCTGGTATTTCAAATATCTTATATCTAGAAAACTTCATATACTCTGCCCCTGAAATCCTATTAAAGACACAATAACCATAATATGAAGACAAATGCGATATATTCTCTTTGGGATTGGTGTTTTATAAGATGTTTTTTGGATAATTGCCTTTCCCAGAAAATCTAACTTAGGATCAACTAATCGATTTGTATAAAAATTAATAATTCAATCCAATTGTTGAAGATTTATCTGAGAACACTGCCTATCTTTTAAATGGAATGCTATAAATTGATTAAGCAAGAAGAATAGAATGGCAAACATTGTTTCATGAAGATCAAGTACCTACTATGTCAGGCTTAGTAAATTCCACAAATACAAATTTCGCTTCTAATTATTAAATTAATTCTCAGGTATAACAATTTGAGACTGGAGGATAAAACTTTTATATTTCTCAGCAATCTTTATAAAATCATATTACAACCAGTCCAAATGAATTAGTTAAAAGAAAAACTAATGTTTCTGATAAGGAAAATATCAAAGCTAACAAAGAAAATGATTCTGCATAAATCTTTGCTAAAACAACAGAAAAAGAACAAAGTATATCGTAATAATAATCCCAACAATAAGTCTTATAAATTTAATAGACTAATAATAACAATAGTTCATAGCCTAGTGTTGTTAAATAAATTCAACATTAACTAAGCGAATTAAGACACAAGTTCAACATTATTATTTAAGGAACTTGTAAGATTGAATAATTAGAAAATTGGTCAGCTAAGATAAAAACTGAAATTTGCATGATATTCTTATTAAAAAAAGCAATTAAATGCATTAATGAAATGTTAGACATATGCTAGAATACTGATAGATAATGGGGAATTTCTAAAAATAGATCAGAAATAATCAAGATTTTATAAAAAGATTATGATGATTTGATTTCAAATTACAAACATGTTAAATAAATGGTATGATCTTAATGTATCAACTTTATAGAACACCTGTCCTCATGAAGAATTGAATACTCACGAAATGATAGATGAACAATATGTGGACAATGTATTAATTATGATAGCAAAATAAATTGCTATGGATTTGGGATAAATTCGATCTAGCATGAGAAGTAATTCTTAAATTAAAAGCAGTGTAATTGTTATATTTTATGCAATTAGTCATTTAATTATGAATAAACTAGTTAGAGAAATGGTAGCTTTATTGAATCAAAATAAAGTACTTCAAACTAATACATATTTGCAATCTTTTTAATAGATTTAGTTAAAGGAATGAATTTTGAAGACTAAAAACCATATTTTAAAAAGTTGGAAGAATCAAAATTACCTGAGTTATTAGACTTCAAACTCAAATCTATTTGATTGTATTTTATAATAAACATAATAATAAAATTAATTTAATGATCTAAAAAACTGAGTACTCAACTGATGATGCCAAAGAAAGGGAATATAGAATTTAAAGTAAGGCTGGTTTATATTAATCAAGGAATGGAAAAATAATTGATTGAAAATTAATTTATCAAGCAAACATATCCCAAAAAATATGATTATACTCATTCAAAAAATAATTATTCAGTCCCGATAAATCAATTGGATTATAAGTCATTTTATCAGTCCTACCTGCCTTTAGAATAATAATAATAGATGCGTTCTCAGAATTTATAATTTTCTTCAAATAAAACCTCCTCATTCAAGTTAAGTTATGATAACAATGATAAGGATACAACTCCTAATAAAAAGCAATAATAATTATAATATAGAGACATTTTATAAAAATAAGTTGAAGAAAAGCAAAATTTATTAAAATAACAAAAGACAAAGCATGAATGCACTGATATCTTTACTAATAATTAATACAGCACTCCAAATAATAAAAAAAGCAGTTTAAGTAAGGCTGAATATTAGAATTATTTATAATTGTAAATTTAAGAAAAATAAAGTAGTAATAAAATATTTATTACACCTATTAAAAATTAGTAAAAAGTAGAGGAATAGAATAAGGAAAAGGATAAGGATAAAGATAAAAATGCCAAAGAATCAACGGAATTTTAGATAATTCAAAAACAATTAAAATAATATTAGGAAGAAAAATAATAAAAAGATCGAAAGCTTTTACTGCAGTAGAAATTTGAAGAGTCGACCTCAATTTATGAGAAAAATAAGGATAAATCATTTTCTCCTGAGTATCATAATAAAAAGAAAAATTTAGTACAAGAAGATGAAGATGAAAAAGCTAGAACTCAATAACAGAAAAGTGTTGTTTCAAAAATTCTTACAGAATAAATTTAGGAGAAATAAAAAAAAAGAGATGAAGAGAAGAAGCAATAAGAGACAGAAGATAAATTGGCCGAAGAGAGGTGGAAAAATGAGGTTTAAACGATGAAGGAGGAGAAAAAAAGGGAAGAAGAATTGAAAAAGGAATAACAAGGAAGTAATTGAATTATGCTTAATGAATTATTTAGAAATTTAATAGGAAAATATACGAATGCATTAAATGAAGCTTAAGCAACAATAAGGGAGAAATAGAAGCAAATCAAATACATTATAATAATCAAAGATTGAGGAAGAATTTAAAGAAGAGTTGGAAATGATATAATAAGAAATAGAAGAAGAGTAATAATCAATTGAACAAATTGAATAATAGGAAGAAATATAGTTTTAGTAATAATAATAATAACAATAAGAATAATTAAATATTAAACCTAATCAAGTTTTAAGTTACGTTGATTAATACAATCTAGAATTAGATAAGATTAAGCAATAAATGATCTCATAATAATAATAATTGGAAAGACAAATTCATGCTGCTTTTAATTTGGCTTAAATAGGTTTATTAGAGGGAAAGAATAAAATTGAAAAAGAATTAATTTTGGAAAAAAATAAAAATAATAAACATTTTAATGAAGATTATGCCATGGCTTTACTAAATAAAAATCAAAGTAAGTATGAATATGAATTACCCTTTCTGTTTAATTAAAAAATCTAGCAAGATTAAATATACAGAGATAATCTATTAGATAAGGTTCAATTAAACACCCAGTCTAAATTGATTCCTTTATCCACTTAGCATAACAAGAATATGTCAACTCATTTGGCAACTCCATAGTAACGACAGATCTAAGCTCGATCGAAATCAATATCTCAACACTCAAAACAAAATTATCATTAATAATTAATAGACTTTAAAAAAAGTAAATAAAATGATGCTTTGAGCTAATTACTTTAAGAATATCATGAATGAATTCATAAATATCAACTAATATTAGCAATAAATTCTATGTAATCGTGTATTTTAATAAACTGATAACTCATACAAGTGATATGATTCAATCAAGACATGCAACATTAACTATCTTGTTCGCCTCCTTTTTTATTTTATGTTTATTATTGTGGTGAATTCTATTACAGCTTCATCCCTACTTTACTTTTTTGATTTCTAAAAATTATGAGACCAAATTCTTTACTAGTTTGGTTTCCCAACTCTTTGTATGATTTGCCTAGTAATTAAACTAAAGCAATTTTCAATGTTGATGTTAGTTTTAGCTGAAGTCTCGATATAAGAAATGCTGTATGATTTAGCTTGAATGATAAAATTGTATACCCAAAGCTTCTGCTTCATCTGTTGAGACTCTTCTTTAAGAACTATCTATTTTATTTCCAACTAATATTTTATTCACTGATTCCGCTGCAAATTTATCAATCTCTTGCATCCATTATCTAATTTAGTTGAATGATTCTCTATCTGTAACATCGAAGACTATAATGATTCCTTAAGCTCCTCTGAAATTTGATTGTATAAGTAAAATACCTATAATAACTGCTTGTAATAGTTCTAAATCTATCCTAACCTGCGGTGTCCCACTAAAATATTAGAATTATGGATGTTTACTATTTACAATTTGACAGTAGATTTATCAATTTAAAACACTTTAATTTTCTAATGAGATTTAAGCATAAATATTTACAAAATCAACTCCAATAGTATTATAAAAATGATTGGTAAATTAGTTTTCCTATATTTTTTAATTTTTAATTTGTTACGCTAAATCTCATTAACATGCATGATTTACCAACTCCACTATTCCCAATTAATAAGACCTTAAATAAGTAATCGCTAATTATGTATTGAAGCATTACCATTCTGAACTTTGTTATACATAATAATCTGACATAGTTTATCAGAATATAAAAATTAGAATTTAAGATAATTAATTATATATATATAGTATAATATGAATCAAAGGACAATGTCATATTTCGACCTTGTAACCTTACGATTTTGAATTCTTAGTCTATTTAAAGGAGTACTCTCTTCATATTCAGCTAATTCAGCCATTTCATTTTCAAGTTAAGCTATTTTTATCTATTACAATTAATTTTAAAATGTATTTCTTCTAAGCACACTTCGTTTTAAAGTGATAGAGTCTTATTTTTATAGAGAATTCTTTCTCTTCTTCCCACTACTTTAATTACTAATCGTGTCTTTAAAGCTCATTCTGCATTCATCATCATAAAGCATTCTGTTGATAATGTTCTATGGATCTGCAAACGATAATCTTAAATTTGAGACTTCATTATCTTCCTCTCCACTGCTACTACTGCTATAATTATCTTCAATAAAGATTCCTAATCGTTTTATCTCATGACTCTTAATGACACTTTTTTCAATTACATTGATATCTACATCAAATCTTTTAATTCTATAGAACAAAATATACAATAAACCTTTAATATTTAATATAATGTTACCTTCAAACTTTATATACAATGGTAAAGTTCTTCTTTATTTAGCATTTAACTATTTAATCTAATAATTATTTGAATTTGGAGATATGAACTCTGCAATTCTAGCTAAAGCTTCTATAAACTCAATAAATTGCATTTCAAAGTGTCTCTTTTAGGTGATTTCATCTACTTACATCATGATTGATTGTAAATAAATAAAGTAGAGTTATTATTCATTTATTAAGTTAGGGTAAAAATCAGAATTTTGAAGCAATACCTTTAAATCTTAAAAGGAAATAAATTTCTCCTTAGCATATGGCTTATTTGAAAAGTTTGATGTATATGAAAATAGTTATTTTAGAAATGGCAATTTTAATCTAATTGTCATATCCATAATTTAGGTCCAATATCTTTCATCTCTCCATTATTGAGCACATCCATAATCCAAAATAAACCCAAATTATCCTGTTTAGGCTTGCATCATCTTCTCAAATCCTTAAGCTATGCTTGAACAATTTCCTTATTTCACATAGGTTTTCCTTTGCTAATCTTATCAATAACTCTAAAAATTGATGTCTAACTAATGCTCTTTCTTAAATAAATTAAGATTTAAAGTCTTTGATAACTATAGTACTAATTAAACAGATTTCCCAGTCTACTTATTTAATGAGTTGATTATTTTTAGATTAATAATAAAAACCTTAGATTGTTTAGATATTTAATCTTGGAAAATCAGTTTCGCATTGCTAGGAGGCTAAATATTTATAACATGAAATGATGTATTTATAATACTTCTTTAATTATTCCTAAAATAAATAAACTGAATATACTTTCAAAGGGATAATTTCATTATGGTTGATTAGATGTCTAATTATTTTACTGTTTTCTAAATCTGCTTCCAAGCATTATTCTAAATGCACTTCTGTATCTTCATCGAAATCCTTGAAAATTGAGTTATCTAAAGTCCATTTTCTCTTTTTAGCCAATTCTACATCAAATTCAACGATTTTCTCTTATTCTCTTGGCTTACATTGAATATTGGCTAAATAATGTTTCTTTTTATCAAAAATTGGAGCTGACTATTATGTTTGAATCATATTGACAGTATGTAAAGGTTAGCTTTATAATACTTTGCCATTAGAATATTCCATTTATACTCCAAAATTTCTCAATTGAGAATGAGTCTACGTTTAAATAGTCTTTTGATCTTTAGCATAAACTTAGACATTTTGTACTGGATTGCTGAAAAAATATCTGATTGTTTGATTGGGTGGACACATTCTGTAAAGATTAAAGTTGCCATCAGAGGTTTTTTACATAAGTGATGGTTAATAATCTTCAAATTCAAGATGGATGAATATTGGATCTTGTTCTAAGAGTCCTGATTTATGTGGTTTCCATTGAAAAAGCACTTCAATCCATCCTTAACAAATCCAGCAATTCTCCAACTATAAATTGACTATATCTACACTCTATATTCGAATGAATTCATTCTTTTTCTTTTGAGTTTGTTATTCTATCTATTACATTTGTATTTCAAGCTGTTTTTTATCTTATTCTTCTATATTGATATCATCTTATTGTGATTCAGTCACTATTTTTTTATTTTTTTATTCTTTGAGATATCCTTTATGATTTATTTGATAATTCGAATTGCCTTCAAAATGAAATCCATAAATTATTTTATTGAACTCTAATTCATTTGCTATTTTTTAAGAATCATTATCTTTGAAATCATTGTGTGATAAATCCAAATGGATCAATTCAGGATGTGGTCTGGCAATCAAATTACATATTTCATTAGTGCAATCCTTATTGCCTCCTAACTTATTAAATGAAATATCCAAGACTTTCAACACAGCATTTTTGCTTAATCCTTTGAATAAGAATATGCCTCCTTTAAATGTTATTTTATTATAATGCAAATATAATTCCTAAATGATATTATTCTATTATTATTTATATTGAATACTTTTTTCATCATTTTCCCAAATGGCTCCATAACTTGATCTTAAATTTAATTATGAGATAAATTAAGGATTCTCAGACATTTGTTATTTTACAATGAATCAATCAAGTGCTTTAGGCCTTAGTCTCCAATTTGATTGTTTTCCAAGTTAAGCTCAATGACAAATTAGTGTTGTCTAATTAGCAACTTCTATAAGAATAAGCATCCATTTTTAGAAATTTTATTATTTTTTAAATCCAAACTTTAAACGGACTTTGGTAATTGATCCAAGATAGTTTCCAAATCATCATTATTAAGATTGTTTGAATTCAAACTCAGTCTCTCTAATTGATTGAATGTTGATGATCCTAGTCCTGCAGCAAACATCTTGATGTATTAAGGACTACTCAATTGACCAGCTACACTTATATCTTTTTTATTGTGGTTGTCTATAATTTGCATTTTTCTTGGCATACATTATTGTTATTCCATAGCTTTATTCAAATTTACATAAATGTTGTTTGGAGTTTCGTTGAATGATTGTATGTCCATACACTTTTTTGAATGCTTATAAAATCTGTAATAATCTTGAGAATTTGGAGCGTTGACTATTTCTTATCCTAGTTTCTAATAATCAATTGATTGACTTTTTTACAAGGATTATGTGGAGGGGAATGATATGACTGAGTAGTTTTCTTTAAAGAGTTTCTTTTTTATAATCTGTTCTCTTGAGATTTCTTACACTAAATGGTACCTGGAATTCAAGGGAGGTAGTTTGTTTTCTGATAAAATAGGTTTGGAGGGGAAGAAATGTTTAGTTTGTTATTGATTGGTTAAGGTAGTGTCTTTCAGTTAAATACTTAATGGTGTGTTTGAATCAGATGTTTAAAATTCTGTTAGATCAAAAAATAGATGGTCGTCATTCTATTTCAGATTCCTAATATCCTGCTCTTTTTTGGTGTTGAGGGAGGATTTAGTGTTAATAGATGTTCCTGAAATATTTAATTTCATTTTTATTAAAAAAGTAGTTAATTTAACAAATAATTATTTTATTAAAGTATAATAAATAATTTATTTTAAATTCTTCCTCCAAAATGAATTAAAATAAAGAGAATGAATATGTCTCAGATGTCCAAGGTTATTTCACCAACAAATGCATGACATCAACAAGGAGTACTTCACTACATGAGGAGAATACAATGAAGTTTAGTCGAAGCAATAATTTATTTGAATAAAAACAACAAGAAAATGAAAAAGTATAACTATTTACTAGTAAAATCAGGAATTAAAAAGGAAATGGTCTGATATTGCTAAGGATTGGTAGAGGAATAAAAGGGATGTGAAAGTATTCCAATTAGCTGAGTTTGGTATCCCAATAAGTGCCAGAAAATAAATTTGGCCTCTCATTGTTGGCAATAAGCTATAAATTACAAAAGAACTTTATAATATTTTACAAACTCAAAGTAAGACTTTTAAATTTGATTAACGAAAGCCTTTGGGAAGAATGTCTTCATTCAATCACATCAAATAAGACTTAGGAAGAACCTTCAAAAATGAAAGTATGCACATATTATTCAATATCTTTGTAAGGTCTACAAAAAATATTTCATCCAGGAGGTCCCCTCAGTGAGAATTTATAATCCATTCTTGAAGTGTTTTGCCTATATCGACCTGATATTGGTTATGTATAGGGTATGACTTATGTGGGATCAATCCTCCTAACATACTTTGATGACTATTAGGCATTTGTAATTTTTAGTAGTTTGATAACGCATCCTCAATTGATATCCATATTCATGCTTGATGAATAGAATCTCTAAATCATATTTCAATAATTTGAAAAACTCATTAAACTCAACATTCCCCAAGTTCATAAACTATTTAAATAATATAATATCAATTGTACTAATTATTTGCTCGATTGGATCTTGACTCTCTTTGCAAAGCCTTTAAACCCCGATATTGTAGGCAGAATTTGGGACAGAATGCTCTTTAATGGCACACACATTCTATGGAAATGTGGAATTGCTATATTGAAGATATTATATCCAAAATTCAAGGATTAGGAGAAGACATTATAGAGTTTAAAAAATCCTGATATCAAAGATGATGAATTGTTGTAAGAGATGAAGAGTATAAATTATCCCTTTGAAGTTTAAGAGGTTTTAGGTAATATTGAATTATGATATACTTCATATGGATATAATTATTCTCTTGGTGATATTCACATTTGATCAAATAGTTTATATAACTCTGCCCATCCTATTCTTTTGTCTTGATCATATTCTAACATTGAGTTTATAATGAACTATGTTTTTTAAGAGGTTGTGTTGCCATGATGAGTGATTTCTCTTTATAAAGTTTATTGTACTTTTATTTTTTGTTTCATACAAATAGATTTAATGATTCTAATCTGAGAAAGGTAATTCTCCATAAATCATCAAGTAGAACAAACATCCCAAACTAAAGATATCAGCTGTATTTTAGTATTATTTAGATTGAACAACCTCTGGAGCCATGTAACCAAGCATGCCAATAGTCAAGGTCATAGGATTCTCGTTGTTATACTAAATGCATAAATTTACGTTTAGACTTACTGAACCCTAGATCGCCTAACTTGATTTAATCATTATGCAAAAGGATATTCTTCATCTTGATATCTCGATGCATCACACTATATTTCTGTAGATCTTGTATTCCTCTGAGTATTTGTTTCACATACACAATGGCTTATTCTTCGCTAAAATGTTTATTTTGATCCAACCACGGTTTCTCAATGTCACCCTCTACAATAAGTGATTTATCATTACGGTTACAATACTCCATTACAATGTACGAGTATTTATTTTATTGGAAATCCTCGATGAATCTAACAACGTAGTTACTATTAACTAGTTTCATGTTCTATTTTTCTGTTTCATGCAGTTAACCAACCAATCCTCCGTGATTCTTGAAAGTTGACATCGCAACAGCCTTGATTGCTACATTCTCATAAGTTTAGATATTAACAGCCTTTAATAAATGGCAGATGTACATGATAGACTTTGCAATATCCCCCTGATCCAATTAGCTTCACTATTTCGTAGTGTTTTAATCTCTTACCAGGGATGTGCAATTGCTTTTATTACATGACAATTTAATGAAATTATATATATATATCTTTAATAATTCATCATCAGGATTGTTTCAATACAAAATAGTAGCCTAATTCTTCTGTTCTGAACATCCTTTGGAGAATGTGCACATTCTACACCATCTATTGGAACTCAATCAGTTCATTAAAGCAGAACAAGATCTTGTATTAATTCGAAAATTCTTACAACAACATCATGATATTGCGTAATGCCAAACCCTTTAGAATCCCATACAAAGTAGTTTTATTTGGCATCGGAATTGCCAAGAGATTAGGATATCATGAAATCCTTATACAATTCTCCATATTACTGCATGTAGAACTTGAAAGTCTTGTTGTTGACTCCAAATGCTTGAAACACTGGCAGGTATACCTATCCTGAATTGTGTTTCACAATGAAATGCTTGATTTGAGTGTATTTGTCTAAACATTTTGGAGTGTTTGGGTTGTTTTGAAGATTCGACAATAGTGTTTATTGTAGATTGTTTGAATTGAATTTCTGGATCAAGACTTGGGCTGCCTCTTTGCATTACTCGAACATGTCCAAAGAGTTGTCATCTGAAATCATTACGATTCCGATTGGTTTTTCAAAGAAATTTATGTAAGCATACACAAACCCCATGGCTGATAAGCCTGGCAAACATATGGGTATCCAGTTTTCTCCCTTCTTCAACTAGCCTTGTCCTTGAATCATGCTTTAGATAATCAAGATGTCAGAGGTCTTGAACTCCATATTCTTCTATCTCCAAATGTCGATTACGAAGGTTTCCGTCAACAACAAAGAAGCTATGATGTTGGGCAATTTGATTTCCTTTAAATTATTGTGAATGAACTATCTCAATGAGACAGCCATTGGCAAAGTACAGATTGAATTGAATGCTATGCAGGGAGAATATAATCCATTTTTAACAGCCAGTGTTAATAGATTTCGGGATCCTCCCACAGAAAATGCCAAGTCGTAATTAGGTTTTTGTGTTAAATGAACATTCGCTTAATCTGTTACTATGGATATCAATTAAGTATTGAGAAAATCCAACATTTGATAGATGATGAATTCAGAATCCTATCATAAACTGGTGAGAATACTTGGAGGGAATTCGTTGTACAAATGTAAGTGATTTAATTTCTTTGTAGAATGTAAATATTGCATTTATCATGTGAAATCCTGAATAAGGTTTGTTTTTCTTTGTCTTCAAAAAAGAATAAAAGAAACTTTTAGAAGATTGCATTGATAGTTGCTAAAAAGATGGATGACTATTGAAATCTTTATCATCAAAAATATACCTTTATTTCATTACCATATCTCACATAAATGGGTCTTCCTGTATTGGTCATAATAAATACATGCCTTTTATGAGTAAAGAATTCTGGGATGTCAGGTGAAATTTCTGAATAAGAAACATTGATGACATGAGACTTGTATTAGTAGGGATCAGTACTCATTTATATATATTAATTTTCTTATTTAATGTGAACATACATTCAATACTATGGCTAAAAGACTGCATTGTATCTGGCAATGGATGGGCCTCTTTCGAAATACTCTTATCTAGTGTGATAGACCTTCTCAAATTGTGGCTAGAATCTAGATACACTAATATACTTATAATGCCATCAAACTTCCTCCTTACCAAACAGCATATCTTTGGAAGGGGTTCTGAGTAACATTGACTTTGATGGATGCAGGCTTGAATATAATGAGATAGATAATACTTTGAATCCAGACCTGACTTCATATTTTTAGAGTCTGGAATCAATTCTCAGTTAGACTTGTTGCTCCAATCTTTGAGCAAAGCCATCAAACAAAGTGGATCCACCTGATAAGATGATATTTTGATATAGTTTCTTTCTGCAATCGACAGGGGAAGTCTAGATGGATTTGTCAATGATTTCATCAATGGGAGATCTCCATTTGCCATCTAAAAACTCTGGATGGAAGAACATTTCAGGACCTAAGAATCTTTCGTAACCAATATCGATAGTGTATTTCTCTTTGGTAACTGAGCTCTTTCCATAATAGGTTTTGAATTTGTTCTTCTCTCCTCTGTCATAGGCTTGGAATTCCTTGATTAGATCTCCATCTCCAATGCAATAGCCATATTTCTCTTTAACTTCCCTTGCTACTTTTTTAATGTCTTCTGCTGGTATATTTTCTCCTCTTTCCTTCAATAAATTTTAGATAAATTGGGTGATGTCTCTTCCTGCCAATGGTATGTGTTTGATACACGATCCTATCACATAACCATCGGAGACAGGAATGCAATGTGTCACACCGTCTCCTGAGTCCAAGACCATACCTGTTAATCCGGCTGTTTTTTGATATTCATTGACAGGAGCAAAGGCACTGGAGAAAAGGGACAGGACTGCCTAAACTGAAATGTGTAATCCTTTGGCATTGAAGGTTTCAAAAAAGATTTCTGCAATGTTCTCTCTGTTTTCAGGAGGATTCTATATATGAATATTGCGAGTTTACCATAGGTGGTTCAGTCAAAATGAAGGTTGTTTCATCGGGTTCAGCTCTGAGGTAATCAAATATACTTCTGTGCCAAAACTTCTCCATGAGATCCCAATTTTCTACGATTCCACTCTTCATTGGATAGAAGATATTGTGAGACTTGGTGTAGTCATACGCTTCGTATCCGATGTAGTAATCCAAATTCTCATTGGTATTCTTGCTCATTTGAACTTTTTACTAATATCGATGTGTCGAATTACTTTCTCTTGATGATCTGCCACAACAGTAGGGATATCGAATTATGGTTCAGTGTTTCCAGCCCACCCCATCTTCGTAAAGCCAGTACCTACGATGCACCTCAATCAAATACCATTGTCGATGACGCAAACCTTGCTTTGATAAAACCCTTTGTCAATTGTCTATTGCATAGGATACTCTATATATATTTTATATTAATTATTATTAATTATTCATTAATCTTATGATTATTAATATAGTTATAAGAATGTTCATCCTTTTCTTTTAAGAGTATGAAAAAAGTTGTCAACTCTTCTCCATTTATCATTAATCGATGTAATTATTTCCTGTCTGAATTTCATGGTTGCCTCTTGTTCTGAGAGATTCAAAGCCAATCTGTCCTGTAAATACCTCACATCTTCTGCATTTTACAATTCCGGTATCCCAGCAGTCAAGTTCATCAAGAATAAATCAACCAACCATCTCCCATGTTTTCTAATCAAATTATAGGCATCCAAACAATGCTTCTCGAATTACCTGAATGTTTCACTGTCCTAACCACCCATCACTGTCAACATCTCTGGAGTTAAAACAAACTTGGCTCTTTCTATAATGTTATTAACTTTTACCTCTATTGATTCCAAACTTGATCTTGAAATTGCCCAGGAAATGTCCAAAATCAATATGAAAAATGTGTCCACTTGATTTGATCATGATATTGCCACTGTGTCTATCGCCAATCCCCAGAACATAAGTGGCAACACAATAGCCAGCACAAGATCTAAGGAAAATGTCTTTGGATCTGTTTAAATCTTCAGCATTCTGATTCTGTTGATGGAGATAATTGATGAGTGCTTTTTCATCAAATGCTCCAAATGCCCCAATCTTATCGTGGATTTCAGAAATGTTCAATGAATCCAATACCACTTCAATCATTCCAACCTAATCATCAGTGGCTATCACTTTGTAGGGTTTCATCTTAAAATCCAATCCTGAATCCAACCATATCGTATCAATGATCTTGATAATCTGCAGAGTCAACATGTCTTATTTCAGATCATCTCCATTCTTAAATATGACCTGCAGTTGATTGATCTATTGATTGATCGATTTTTAATAGGATTTCAAATACAATTTGAGTGGCAGTTTCTTTGAATTCAACACCTTGCATTGATCGATGTCAAAACTGGCAATCTGCATACGAGCATCAATTGGAAATGTAAATGGCTGAACCACATTCTAAGTGATATACTGTAACTCTTTCTTCAAAGCATCGGTCTTCTATTGCATCTCCGTCCCCACCTACTTGCTCTTTATCTTGAGAGAGGACTCAATTAACAGATTGTTCAATCTCACTTCCTTGACGATTGTCTCTCTGAATTACCCACATATCATTATCAATTGCTCCAGCCATATGAAATACCTCAGAAATGATGGTTTCAAATTCAATTGCGATTTCAAAAGCCAGAAAAATTCTTATCCAATCTGAAAAGGATTTGCGGATGCTCTCTCTAGAAGTAGTTCTCCCAATGGATTGTAGATGTTCTTCTCAAATTGCAAAGCCTGACTTAGTTGCAACAAGTAGAGACTCAACTCGTCATCAGATAGGAGACTTATTCTATCCACTGCATACAAGCGAACAATCTCATCTGGGAAATGGGAGTCCATCAAAATCAGTGCTATTTGTGGTGGCAATGGAATCCACTCCTTGATCATTTGATGGGCTTCTCGTACTTGTTTGGGGTCAGCCCAATTAACAGCCTTCAGGAATAATTACAAGGCATAAGGCAATGTTTTGTAATGGTGTCGACATATCATCAATAGAAATTTGTCCAATTGCGAGTAATGCACTCTGTCCAGTGAGGTAGCTGATAATAGTGTTTATAAGTAGGCTAGATCCTCTGTTTTTGGAGTTTAATCAATATCTTTGTAGGGATAAGCCAGACCTAATCTATCGCTATTTTCTTTATAATAATTAGAAGTCAATCTATTTGATATAAAATATTGTAAAAAGTTGTTTAGTGAATTTCTAGCTAATTATGAGAAATTACTTGATCTTTAGCTATCTATATTCTGAAGGATGCTGATTCCCTTCCTCTTATTTTAAGACATGATGGACCCTGTGGTTTTATCTAGGTCGAATTGGATCCTCTGATCCTTGACGTAATGATAATTCTTCTTAGTTTCAATCTGCTTTTGCAATTGGGGATCCGATCTCACCAAATCTGCATAATGTTTAACATTCAAACAATCCTTCAGACTCCCCTGATGAAATTGTTGGAACTTCTGATCCCTCAAGGACCATTTCAATTGAGAACTGAAGCAATCCATCTTAATCGACAAGTAGCTGTAACACTTGGGTCTGCATCTCTTGTAGATGTTGTCTAAATTGATTTCTCCCTTGAAATCCTGGAAGCATCCGATCTTCGGGTTGATGTCATAGAATGGCCACAAATTGAGGGTTTGCAGTCCTTGTTTGAACTTTGAATTCTGATCGAACAAGTACATGCTGGTGCTGCCCACAATTTGGGATTCTCCGTGACAGGAATAGATCAACACCCTAAAACATAATTTAACTTCCAACGGCAACATGGAGTATTTGATTTGACTAAATTTAATGGATGCATTGAAGGTGGGAGTGAATGAAAAAGGAATGAGTTATGATTCGATCACCGATGAATTGGTTAATAACTTGTCACCATAATACAGGGAGGCCTCAATCGATATAAGGAAGGGTTCGAAGTTGAGATTGAATAGGGACTGTATCTACTTGATGTAATTTCGGTTCTCGACTCCTCCAAATGACAAGTATCTGATGGGGATGTAGGGTTCGTCCTGTTGAGTCTCTTTCCTGTGGAACATAAGGATGTCCTTGTTTTTGTTGATTTTGGAGGGCTGATTTTTGGTGATGTTGTTCAATTTGGTTGTTCCATTGTAGGTGGATCTCTTTTTGCCCAATCTGTCAAAGTCAGATTCGAACAGATTCTTGAGGTGGTCTATTTTGATTATTTTGAAACTGAAGTAGAAATCGCATTGTCCTGAGTAAATGAAGTCCAAATCATTTACAATTCTATTCTATGATATAAGTCTATATTACTTGCTTTAGGATGCTGATCTGCTGATTGACTATCTTCTATTTCGGATACCATATGAATACAGGGATTTCTAGATACTTTTTCCAGTCCCCAATCAAATCGTAATTATCCTTGGCTCTCAAGTAAATGGGGGGGTAATCGAAATTGCTGGAAGGCAAATAATCAATCAAAATGGTGTTTAAGACTTGGCTGTCTCTGATAATGTTTCGAATTCGAGTGAATTGCAACAGAGGCTGTTCTCCATAGATGTACTCCTGATATCCGTCCACTTGCAAAATGTACTGAGGAGGATTGGACTATTGATTTTGTAGTTATTTCAGTATCATCTGGATGGCTTCGTCGGCACTCGTCATCAAATTGAATTCGATTTTGGTCTCTTTCCCATTCAAGAGGTCGTTCTGGCATTGGCAGATGATGTTGAATTTAATAGTGTAGATGTTACTAAATGAGAATCCCATATTGGATTCCACCAAATACCTCCGATATTGTTGTTGTTGCGGGTGCAAAAGATACGAAGGGATGTTTCTCCTTCTGTATTATTCTACTTCGCTCGAATCCTGTAACCAATGTGCTACATTCTCATGATTATACAGAATGTAATCCATATCCTGCAGAGCGTTCTCGCATTTCTGTTTGTACTGAGGATCCACATGGGTTTCTATGATGATGATGTCTCCGTTGGTGGAATAAATTTAACGACTATCAGGATCTAGACATATAATCCAATTTGTATATTATTAAAATTATTTCATAAATAATAATTATGTTATTAATCTCTACATCCCAATATGTTTTTCCTATTTTCACACTAAATCATTCATCTCCTGCACTTCCCACACTCCAAATCCCATTGCCCTTCCCTCCTCGACGCACAATTACCTCCTTCCTATTTTCACACACCCTAAAATACGACCTATTCAACTATACAACAGAAGATAGTTACTCTAAATTTTACAGAACATAATAAAATCCTTAGATTTTTTAGTATATATATCCCTGGATTGCCACTCCCCACATTCTCCAATTATTAAGATCATTTATGATTGAGAGAGGACAAACAGTGTACACCAACTTCTACTAGATCCAAATCAACCCCAACAGTCACATCTACAGATATCAAGTAACCCATCCCTCTTAATTCTCCCCTAGTTGTCATTTTAACCCTTCCTATCTCCTGAACAGCAGATTGCCAAATGGAGAGAAATCTTCAAGGTTGCCAAGGCTGGTCTCCAAGAGAACCTCAAAGTCTTCATCACCAATAACTAAATCCTCTATTCGCCAGTGAGAGCTTAGACCATGGGCCTGCTCTTGGGAGTCTTCGAAGAGGAAGGAACCAGTCATTCCATTTCTATTGAAGAGAAGGCTGTGCTCAAGCCTGGAGAACCAGAGTACACAGGGTTGATCGGAAGATTCTTCAAGATGCTATTAAAACAATAGAAATTGTTACAGATTGGAAGAAAGTACTTTAACACCAAAAATTTAATTAATTTTGATTAATTCGGATTGAAAGTATATTATATTTTAATTATCCCAAGGTTTTACCAGGAGTAAGTTGCAGTCTCATAAAACAAGAAGAACAAGGCAAATATTACATCAATATCGACTCCTCATTTAAAATGTTGAGAAGCACCACTATGTACGAGGAGTTGAGGAATTCAAGAGACTTCTCCTAATTGGAAGGAGCCATCATCATGACTGTCTACAATTACAAATTCTATAAAGTGAATAAAATCAGCAGAGAAATGAATCCAAAGAGTGAATTTGAAAATTTGAAAGGAGAAAAGATGAGTTACATGCAATATTACTAAGATAAGTATGAATAGAATAATAACACATAATAGATACAAGATAGCCATCAAGGATGTTACCCAACCATTGATTGAAGTCTTAGAGAAATCAAGAAAGAAACAAGAAGAGAAGATCATCTATTTAATACCAGAATTGTGTGTGATGACTGGATTATCTAATGAAATGAGAAACAATTTCTAAACTATGAAATAACTATCCACAGTCACTAAACCCAGAGGAGTAGATAGAGTGAGATAGGCAGATCAATTTATCCAGTGTTTTCATAATAAGGAGAGTGAAGAATTAATCAAGAAATGGAATATTCAATTGGAACCAAAATGCTTGTAGATTCAGAGTTCCAAAATCAAACCAGGAAATATCATGATGGGCAACAACACCTCCATCAATATAGAAACAGGCAATTTAGATAGAGATACACAAACTGCCATGTTGAGAGGAGTGGGCTTGGAGAATTGGGGAATCTTGTATAGTGATAGAGACAGCAGATAAGCAGAAGACTTTATGAGTTGTTTGAGAGAGAGCATAGAATATTGTAAGTTTTAATGCAAAGCTCCTCGTACTTTTGTACTTCATTCAAATAGAATTGAAGATTGGATTAAGTAAATAGATTAAATTGTTCAACAATCATAAGGACCACAAAAGGTAACCTTGCTCTTATTGATATTGAATGGTCCAAAGAAGAGTGCTCCACTCTACACAGACATCAAAAGATATTTGATTAATGATTGTCCAATAGCCTCGTAGGTTATATTGAGTTCCACTTTAAATTAACCCAAAGGCAAAGTGAAGACTATTTGCAATAAGTTATTGGTTCAAATTTGTGCTAAGGTTGGTGGAACACCTTGGGGAGTGTCAGAATTACCATTCACTGATCAACCAACCATGATATGTGGTATGGATGTGTATCATTCCACTGGCAAAGCAAAGAAGTCTATGTTATCATTTGTATCTACAGAGGATGAATTCTTTAGCAAATACATGACCTAATCAGTAGAAATGGAAACTGGAGTGGAATTCTCATTCAGCTTATGTCCAGTCTTAGTCAAATCCTTGCAATCTTTTTGTGGAGATAGGAATGGTCCTTTGCCATCCAGAATCATTATATTTAGAGATGGTGTTTCTAACTCTTAAGCTAAAACTGTCATTGAAACAGAAGTAGCCCAATTCAGATAAGCCATAGAGCAAGTCAAAACTGAAAAGAATTCTGACAAACCAATCAAATTGATAGTATTATCAGTCAATAAAAAAGTAGGGGCTAAATTTTATGCTGGAGAGAGGTTAATTATTATCATTATTATTACCATAGAAACTTAGATAACCCTCCTTAGGGTACTTTGATTGATACTGAGATTAGCAATGGAAAAGACGACTATTATCTGATATCACAAAGAACAACCTAAGGAACTGTGTAGCCAACTCATTATCATGTCTTAGTGAATGATTTATTCGATGAACCCAATATCCTGAAGAAATTGTAGGCCTTGTCTTATAAGTTGTGCTACATGTATTACAATTTCAGTGGAGCCATCAAAGTAATTGTTATTGTTTTAGTAGATACCTGCACCAATCCAATATGCTCATGTTTGCTCAAATTTTATAGGAGATAGATTCGATCCCAGAAAACCCCAGTCCTTGATTAAGCCAAACCCCATATTGAATCAGAGAAGATCACTCTTCTTCATATGAACATTATTAAATCAAAATAAATAAATTAGAACATTTAATCATTATTATTATTATTATTATTATTATTATTACTATTACTCGTATAGTTTTTGAACATTTTACTAATTTAGATGATTTCCTTCTACACCTTTGACTCTTCTAAAGATCTTTGCCTATTAATATAATTTTGAGACATCCTCCTCATCTTCATCCTCATCATCTTCCTCATCCACTATTTATTTTTTAATTTATGCTTTTTTTGACAATTTTAAGTATTTGTTCACTGTATCTTATGAACTTTAACCTGCTTATATGACTTAAGCTCCCTGCTCTGATCGGAATCTATCCAATCTCTCATAGCACAATGGGGCCAAATTATATCTGCCACTCTCATCCATTTCATCAAGAATATCAATGGGAATATTTCTTTATTATCATTGAATCGATTTACTTGCATTCAGTCTCTGTAACCTTGTACAGTATTTGCCTGTCTGGATAAGGAGAATGACCATAACGCTTTTTGTAATCTCTTTCCTTCTCCCTTATGAATTCTGGATCCTCTGGAAATGACTAATATCTCGATTATGTTCTCTCCTCAATCATTTGTGAGTTCCATCTCCACATTATCACAAACAACACCAAACTCACTACGTATAATTCTGGACTCCTCCTCATACTATGGAATAATGGGTTGTCCTCGATATATTTGTTCCTCTATCGTTGAAAGTCTTTCTCCTCGAAATCTTACGTCCTCCTTCGAAAATCGTAGTAATATTAAGCATTAGGATTTATTGGTCTCTATTGCTGCTGACTTTATTATTAAGAATATTAGGTTCTTGTTTCTTAATTCTGCTATCTCCCACTTGATTATTGCTATTATTCCATCAAAGTCCTATCGTACTTCTTTCTCTCATTCTCATCTGATAGAGTATTGTAAGCTGCTACTATTGATTTAAACAATTCCTATTATTTAAATTTATTTATACTTAGTCACTCTCTTTTGCATTTGGTGAATCAGGATGGTGCTGTTTGGCTAAAATGTGAAATTGTTTTTTTATTTCCTCATTAGTAGCTTCTTTGCGAACTCCCAGTAATTAATAAAAATTTTGAGTTGAGAATCTACATTTACTAAATATTCTTAACATAAAATTAATAAATAAATCATCAAATCAAAATCAAGAACTTTATGAAACTCAAAGTCATTTAAATGAAATTATCAACAATGTTATAGTCTAAAGATGTATTAAAAGATACATACAATTCATTTCAGTCAATTATGACATATATAAAATAGTAACTCTTAAGAAAATGGCAAGAGACACTGAGAATAATCAATGAAAAGATATTATTAGTCTAAGAGAATTATAAGAAGTTTTAATCTACCTCTGTATATTCAATTATTATATAATAAATTTATGAGATTGATTATATTTGATCTTAATTATCTTTTTTATAATTGATATTGATATTTAAGTTTATTTTATTTATATTGTATTGATTACTTTGAAAGGAAGCATTATGAGAAAATGAAAATTATAATATATATTAACTATGCGCTAATAGTGTTAATTAATATTCAAATATTTTATGGTTATGATTACCATTCCTTAAACTTAGGATTCTCGCACAATTTTTCAATATGGTATTTAGTTAGCTATTATTTATTTGATTCGAATTCAAGTAAAGACTATTTTATATAGCTTTCTTCATATATCGATCTTTGTTTAGCACTTTATCTTTATATATGACTACATACTTTACTTCGAAAACCATAGCAATATAAACAAACAAATTGATATAAAAACAAGGGTTCCAACAATAATCTCATTCTATTTATCTTCAAGGAGGAAAAAATATGACATCCAAAAATATTGAGGTTAGATGATTTAAATTTATTTAATAAATATAGGATCAAAATTTAGTTTTTCCCCTAAATAATTATTGAGTTTGGCGGGACTGGTATTTAAATTATTATATTGGTTTTATTGTTGATTAATAGATTTATTTAAATTTATTTTAATATTAAATTTGAGTGATGAGTAAATTATATTCTAGTATTTTATTAAAGGTTTAATAACAGGACAGAAATTCAGTAATTTGAATTATGATGGCAATCAAGAATTTGATAAAGTCTCTAATAAATTAGGTTCTAGTTCTAAATTCTTATAATTTATCGCTTTTTATATTAAAAGTATAATTTTACTATTTATTTAGCATTTATTCTAATCATGATCATAAGATCTATAGATGAATAGATTTATCATTAGAATAAGACTTTTTAATTATTTTGTGTCTTGGATTATTTTTTATTTACTATTCTATATTTTTCTAAGCGTTTTAGAATCAATTTAAGATTAAATATCTCCAATTCAGGATTTCCAACCTTATCAGTTGGTTTATCTTGAATTCCTAGAATGTTGAAAATCACATTAATATATGGTAATGTTTATAAAAAAAATGCAAAATTTGTATTGTAAAGTTCAAATCTCAATAAAAGTTGCGGAAATTTCATAATTAAATGAGTAAATTTGTTAACCACATATAACTATTTAAATGAAGATATGCACAAGCTAAAACAAGAGGGGTTGTAATGATATTGAGCATATCAAAAGTCTTTATGTCTTTAATTTTAACAAATGCTAAAAATGATCCAAAATAATTTCCCTTTGATCTCCTAGAATAAATTCCTTCTCTCTTTCTTTGTTTATTATGAGTATTGACAAAGAAACACAATTTCTAGTGGATTCAGGATTGTTCTTCAAAAATATTAGGATTATTGGCAACATCCAAATTATAAAAACCTTAAAATCCTTATTTTGAGTTCTTTCTTTTTTCTACTCATAATGCATATATATAGTTGAATAACTTTAAGTAGCAGCGATAGCTATGAAATCTAAATTTAGACAAATTACTTCGTTTGCATGAGAATCTATGAGCATCTTTAGTTAATCCATCATCTGAAGCATTTTTATATTGTAGCAATTGGAAAAACAATTACTTAATTTGATATTCTGAAAATAGATTGATAGAAGACTGATGTATTTTGAAACAGTTAGAATTATTAATGGCATCAGCTATAAAGGCTAATGGTTGTTATTTAAACAATGAAGGATGTAAAGATTAATGATAGTTTAATTGATTGTAAAAATTATTTGAGGAAATCATATAATACATCTTTAGTGAAAGTTATATAAAATAGTTCCAAATTTATCTAAACAAGTCCAAGTCAACTCAGCCATTCTTTTCCCTTGATTCTTTTTTACAAATAAGGCCATTATAATGAACCACAAGATCAGTATTCGGACTGCATTAAGAAATGGGCACATTTGTTATTTTAATTATGGGCCTTAAATTTCTAAAATTAGTTAAAAATAATAATTTTATGGACTGTTCGTAGTCTAATTTGTATACCAATCTATAAATCTTCTAGTCTAGATTAATATTATTAAAAATGAGTAAGAACACTCATTTCCTTCTAATTTCCAATAATAAAATATTTCTAGTTAAATATAAACTAAATAGAACCCAAAACAAACAAACATCTTATTTGAAGTATATTTAATAATCATAATAATTAGAAATTCTTGTTTTATTTGAATTAAACATTTTATAATAATGAAATAACATGCCAATAACTATTTTGTCATGAAGATAGCTAAGCCAATTTCATAAGTGAGTACTAATTCAGCAGTTACAAGATCAAATGAATTAAAGCCAGCATCCTATTTGACATTTACAAAGAGTAAACATAGAAGAAAGAATGAGACTGCAATAAAATTGCCAGAATTGCAGCCTAGCTCTGTTCGAGCCAAAACTGAATAAGATTAAACAGCATTAAATGAATTCAAAAGATCTCTTGTCATCATTAGTAGAAAACCAAGTGCTACATTTGGATCTCAAAGATTAAAGACTTCGCCATCTATTCAAATTTGGGAACCAGAATAGATATCATAGCCACCAGTAGAATAAGTCCAAGTAATAACTACTAAATTCTACGATGTTCTTTGTGAAGAGTTGCTATTAAATAAAAAGCAATCCTAAATAAAAGAGAAAAGAAAAATACTTTTCAAGACAAGATTAAATGAATATGATAAATTTCAAGAGAAGAGCTCAAGGATGGTCAGAAAGATTATTCAACTCCTTAAAACTCATAGAGAAGGAAATGAAGAAAAAGAAATGAAAAGTAGAACCATTATTGAAACCAAAATGGCTAAATCTAGCCTTTTCTTTCATGCTTAGACTTAGTGTTTGCCTGAATAACATCAATTTAATCAGAAAGAACTCCTCTTTCAATAATAACTGTCAGTCATACCAAAAAGACACACAAAATATAGCGCACAACTAACTTTAACTCAACAAGCTGAATCTTTAAAACCAATGAAGAGTTTAATTGAAGAAATTAAAGAAAAACAATAAGATCCAATCAGATAAGCTTCAATATGTCTTGTATCACCTAAACATCCAATAAACAATAGGAAAAAAATTAAATTAATTCTTGAGTGCGCAGAAGAGTAAAAATTTAGTAAATTTGAATTTTTTGTACCTGATTATATGGAATAAGATTAAGTAGTTTAGTTGTAATAATAAATTGATTAAGTTGAATCCAAAGATACTAAAAAGTCAAATATTTATTCTTTGGTTTCAAAAAATATGTTTAGCAAGTAATATATAGTAATAAATTAGAAAAACTAATTAAGTTTAGAATATTGGCGAATCTACTTTGGAAGAATTTAATACTGATAAAGCAACATAATTCACAAGATACTATCTCTAAAATTATACTTTAAAATGCATCAATTAGAAAAAAATCAAAGACAGAAAAGATGCAGAGTCTCTGCTGAACATACTTCATTAAGATTCAAAGCAAGAATAATAGATCTTTGTATCCAAACCTCTTCTTGATTGTTCTATTATAGTAATTATTATTCTTACTTAAGAAAGACTTATAGACTACCTAATTTCAAGAAATTAATAGCTTGATTTATAGATGCATTGAACCATATGATTCACAAGATTCTAGTATGATATCCGATAATAGTTTCCTAAGTGATAAGAGCTTGATTGACTAGTCTACAGATTAAGGAATAAAGCTCAAATTCCTAAATTCAACAAAATTGATTAATCCAAATATATTCAAAGACAAATTCATCAAATTTATCATATCCACTATCTCCGATGAATCTAAAAATAGTTTGCTTCATCAAGAAATAATGGCTTTTGCCAATCATATAGAAGAACTTATTCATATAGATTATGATCTACCATAATAACCACGTAAATTAAATGATTTAATTCTATAGATCTGGAAGCTCTAAACCGACTCTTCCTTAAAATTAATACAACTGATAGAAAGAAATTTCTTAAGTCTTTTTTTAAGAAATTTGAAATCATATGCATAGGATTATTTGAAGATAACTTTAAACATCATTTAAATAAACCAGAGAAAGTATTTGTTAGTTACTGTTTTCAATAATAAGGAAACAGTTTAACTGATAATACTTCAATCAAATATTCAAATATGTTGAAATCTAAACATCACCGTGAGACTACAACAGAAACTGTTCCAAAATAATAGACAAACCTAATGATATTATCTCTACCTCCTGCAACTATAAAAAGTAGATCATAATCTCCTTCTAATTTTGTATTTATTTTATTTATATTTTTAAGAGTGAACCCAGAACCTAGAAAAAGGGCCTTCAAAATTAATAAGTTCTATTGAAAAATGTATAAAGAAGTAAATAATATGTTTAATAAATTATTTAGAACAATCACAAAAATTTTTACAAATTTAAACTTCATCCAAATTTTAATTGCAACAATAAACCTCTAAAGTGTAATAAGTCTCATTAGGGTAGGATAAGGAATAATCATAAATAAAGAAGGTTAAATTGACTTAAATTTAAAATAATCTAAAATAATCATCTATGGATCCATAATCATTATTATATAGAAGTATGATGATAAAGAAAACAAAAAATGATGATAGAAGTTTATATGAAAGAATTTTTCTAATGGTTGAGGAACATCGGCTTTTGGATTTGAAAGAAATTCTAAAATTAGAGGCATCAATTGATGTCAATTACCAAAATGATGAAGGTGACACAATGCTTATTTCAGCATCAAAATGTGGAGCAGTTTTAATTGTAGAATTCTTACTAAAAAATAGGGCTGATGCCTCAATTTAAAATGTATAATTTATTTCTACTTTTTAGTATAATGGGTAAACAGCCATGGATGTGGCATTAAAAAACTATTAATTCTAAACAGCAGATATCATATTTAAGTCTCTTTATCTAGATAATAACAATGTATGAGCATATTGATTTTATGTAAATATATCACTTTGGAGTCAGATATTTAGCTTTAGAATATATCTTAATTGGTTATAAGAAAGACTGATATTATTAATGTTTAATTGTTCCACTAGCTATCAATGAAGTTAAAAGCTATTCTGAACGTGCACAGGTTAGTAATAACAAAGCATTCCTCACACTTTAATTACTTTATTTTTTCAATTTTAATATATCATTCAGTGCTAATTCCTCTTTCTCTTGAGTTTGATACCTCTTTTGTTTTTTTGGGAAAGTGAATTATTCATTTTATTACAACTTTTTATCACCAGAGCACACCTGGAAATAATCTATAGGTTTTAGAGTTAAACGTTCAATAGATTTGTTGTTTAGCTTTTTGATTGAATAATTGCTTTGTTTAACGTGTTCAGTATTATTACTACAACTTCCATCTTCAAATTTTCTATTTTCTGGAGCATATTAAGAATTTCTCAATTTATAATTTTTTCTCTGACCCTGAATTTCTATACTATTTTATAATTTATCGACTATTTGAGATTATTTCTCATCTTCTTTAAACTTATTATCTACTTGTTTTAGGATAGGTTTTTTTTATGCATGATAACTTTATTGTAAATTGATGTCAGCTTTAAAACTATCCTCAATTGTGTATTAAGTCAAAGATCTCAAATTTTATTGATCCTTGACTATTTTTGATTTAGAGTGTTTAAAATTATGTGAATCATCCTGTTATTCAGGAATAATTTCAGTTTTTCTAATGTCATTCACTTAATTGTAGATGAGAGTATTTAGATTTCTAATTCTATTTTTTAATTTCTACTATCTATCTGCAGCCCTTAATTTCTCATGTTCACAAAAAGAATCATTTTTGTTGAGTCTCTTTAATTATTATTAAAATGACTTATTCCTCTCACTATCATTAGAATTTAAACTATTCAGCAAGCTAATTTTATCACTCTCTATGTTTATCTAACTTAAATTTGGAGGTAGTTTTTATTGTTTGATTGTTTTCGTCTAATTTTCTTAGAAATTACATTCTCTTAGTTTTTGGATTTATAATTTAAATAAGTTTTTCAAAGTATTGTTTTGATCATAGTTTTCTTCAAATAATTATACATCTTAATAGTATGTTTTGATTGTTTATTAAATTGATAGATTTCGCTGCATTAATTTATTAAACTTATATTCAAAAGTACTGGATAAGGTATCATAATTGATTATTGGTTGTATTAATTGGGGATTGATCAATTGAAATTAGGGAACATCATGTATTGAAGAAATCGAAATTTCTCTGAAAGGTCTGGTGTTCATTTTCATTTCAAAATGCTTGAGATTGAGAATCTGGTAAGGTTGTTGATAATCAGGGTTTCTCTGGTTGAAATACTTTGATTGTAAAAGTGAAATGTAATCAAAGTCAAGTTTGCAATTGAATAATTTTGGCTACAGAGGTTCTTCAGAGAGTCGAGTAGAGAGAGAGGTGACTAATCGTAACTATTATAGGGATTCACTTCTACCCTTTATTATTTAAAGACTTCTTCGAGTGTTATTCCCCCAAAATTAATTTACTTTAAGCTTTGAGTAAACTTCAAGTGATCTCGAATTTGCAAAGCTGAATTAACAGGAAAATACATTTTATAATAGGCAAATGTCAAATTTACTATTTACACGAAAGAATTCTAGAAATAATCTAGATCTGATTAAGGCCATCTCTCCGTTTTTAAAATCCCATTTTCAACCTTCTAATTGCCTTAGTCTATTTCCAAAATTAGCTCATTTTAATCATTGAGTTACATCTTAGACATGAGAATTAAATGTTCTCTTTTGATGAACAGTGAAACAATCTTATTTTTCATTTGCTTATTTTTTGATTGTAAATTTTATATATAAATATAATTTATATAATCCACATTTACTCCATTTTCTGACTATTCATAGTAAATGGAAGTCACCCCTTAAAAAAGACGAGTCAGTACTATCTAAATAGATTATTCTGTTTATTTTGACCTGAGTTATGAATAGTTTTTATTTCCATGTTTTGATTTCCCATGAATTCATCTCTTATTATAAAAATATTTCATAGCATGTGTTGAAAATACTGTATGAAATTTTATTCGATATAAACCAGTTTTCTGGGCTATAAAATCAAGAAATAACCTTGATTTCTATTAGTTCTTAATCAAGGTTTATTTCTATCAAAACCTTAAATATTTATTTAACCAATTTTATTCAAAATAATCTAATAAAGTAAGATTGATTCCTTTTTTTGTAATAATTATTATGTGATTTCATAATTATTTATTTTCTATGGACAAAGTAATTGACTATGATGTTTCATGTATAGTAATTGAATTCTAATTGCATATATTTGATATATAATCAAGTTTGGTGTTTTTTCTCTTGCTTAAATATTACTAATTGTTTTAAGTAACATTTATAATGAAGTATAGTTTAAATAAATTTTATTAGAAGTGAACAAGTTTGCCTTCTTATTTTCTTATAATTGAAGCTGCTCTATTATGTAAAATTAAATTTTTTATTATAGAGAGATGCACTTTTACTTTAATTTTATTCCCCATATAATATTTATTATATGTATAATTGTATCTTATGGATTAAATATTTGTTTAAGTAAGTGTCTAGCTTTTCTTCAGCCTTCAAAAGTTAAAGATTCTGATTAAAATTATCAACTGATCCAGACTAAGAGATTTAAAATAATTGAAGGTTGAACTAAGGAATGAGAGTAAGATAAATATCATATCTAAATTTAGATTACGATACTGAATTGGTTACATAAGATTTAGAAAATATAAGTTCCTTCATAAAATTTGAAGATGTTGGAAAAATCTGAAAATGTTGGTATCTAAAATAATCCCATTGATCTAAGTCAAGCAAGAGAATTCATACAGAACATTCCTAAATTGAATCTAAATAATGTTGAAATACTCACAGAAGTAGGATTATAAGCTGCAGATATATTTCCAACCTAACTTGAAGATTATGAGAACTATGAACTGCTAGAAATAACCAGGATGAATTTTCGTTTTAGGTTAGATATTATTAAACACCTGAAAAGTTTTATATTCCTCAAATGAGATATAAATTCACACTTAACACTACAATTAAAATTATATTGCATTTATGAGAGATCTATAATTATAAAAATCACTAGATTCATCTATAGACTAATTTGAATCCCATTACTCGAATGAAGCTTTATCAATCAATTATTTCAGAAATAAGAAATAAGAAAATACTTTTCATGGATCCACGAGATTTTCTCTATATAAAATACACAAAATTTATTAATGAAGATACTATAATTGAAGTCAGTAAGTCATTTGAAAATCAAGACTTTTAGCTTTAGTAATTATATATTTAAATTTAGTGTTCAAACTACTAAATCAGCAACTAGGGCTATTTTGCTATTGAGTGGTAATTTGATTACATAAGTGGAACCAAACAAGATAGAAATATTAACGTTTTCTGAATGTAATATGAAATTGAAATTAAAACCAGCCATGACTAAAAAAGCTAGTAAAAATGAAATTAAGAAATTGATTTAAAGATACCAGGATCATTTCAATTATGTTTAATGACAATTAGCATCAATAACAACTTAATTATATTTCACTTAATAATAATAAACCATCTACCTAGGTATTACAAAAAATGATAAAAATGCTTAGAAAGATTTTATATCATGAGATTATTCTGATCAGCAAATCATAAATTTTTATTTTTATAATAATAACTTAATTAAATTTTTACTCGTTAAATGAACTTGGATTAAGCATTCACATTCGGATAGGATTGTTATAATCAAGATTTAATCAATCTGTCTAAGCATCCTAAAATAAGTAAAAAATCACCATTTTATTCAATTGTCAAACCAACCACGTATTTTTGTCACAATAAAAAAGATCATAAAAAAATTATAGAATCAAGGATACATCTGTTTAATAATTAACATAGACAATATAAAAAAATATGAATAAGGAGAATTATAATTCTCGTCAATGTAATGTTGCATTACCTAAACACACTCGAAATCCAACAGATCTGAATTTAATGAGATTTGACACATCCCCAAATTCTCAAATAGAAATATCCAACAATTCTAGAGGCAATAACTCACAATAAGACAATTAAAGAAAGCTATCATTCAATACACCCAATCAAACTATTAGAACTTCATTACCTCCTGTTAATAATAGTGAGAAATATAGAAAGTTAGCCTTATCAATGAAGGAACTCATTTAAAAGTAGAAATACAGTTATCAGATTGGAGATTATGAGGAATTGGAGGTTATTTTTGAAAAACTAGATTTACTTTGTGATTAACTTTGATATCTATATATTTTAATTAATTATTTTATAAAAAAAGAATGAGTAATGCATAATTTGCATAAAAATTATTGAGATATGAAGGAAGACTATATTCCTAGAATTTGGAAATGCAAATATAAACCTTGCAAGAAGTAAAGTAGGAATTCAATGGATAATATAATCATCAAAGTCTTATGAATATGTTAGCTAAATACTTTTCATATACAAGTAGTTTAGTTCAAAGAATCAAGATTATTGAAATTATATAACAAAAATTCCCTATTCTTGTAAATCAAGTTGAGGATTGGAAATAAATTGTTGAATATCTTTAATAAGAGTGTTTTAGTAGCAATCATTAAGTAAAATATGATTTGATTTTTAAGTTTAGAATGTTATCTCTCCATGCCTTAAATTCCATAGTCCCAGTCCTGAAAGAATAATATAGCACTTTTCATATAGGAATTTTTGATATTTTTATCAATGCCAGCTATTAGAAAGAACTATATATTGCTAGTCTCACATTACTAAATACAGTCAGACTCCATCATTCCTACTCATTTATGAATAAAATAGCTTAACTTCCTGAAATAAAGATATTCAAAACCAAAAAGCTCACAATACTTCTCAAATGTACATTAATGGCCAGGGCTTAATTTTGTAACACATTTTGATTTTATTGAATAGGTTTATTTGAATAACCAATCAGCGAATTGTTAGCAATTGTAAGACAACAGATAATTTCAGTACCTATGTCAAAAGAAGTGTTACATCTCTTATACAATTATCTTAAAATTGCTTCGCATTTCAAAGACTAAGAATCCTTCATTCTTAAAATTTTAACATCAGAAGAAACCATAAACTGTATTGGATAATGTTCTGAAAAGATTCAAGAACTTTTTAGGCTAAGTTACAAACACTATAAATTAGAATTTAAAACAGTGTATATAATTTATGGAGATCAATACTCAAAAAAAAATATAATAGAATCTATATTGTAATATGATAACTTATACAATTACACTCAAATTTTATCTACAGAAGACTTAATCTCCTTTCAGGACTTGCTTTTTTATTCCTATGACTTTGCTTGTAATGAAATTGTCAAAACAGTAAGTGTTTAAACTGAATAAAAATTAATTCAGGTCTTGATCAAATTAGACCATCTGATAGGATAATTATTCGAAAAATAGATTAACTTAAGCAAAAAACCTTTTTCCTCATCTCAGAAATGTTTGAACAAATTATTATTGCTTTCTGTTTAATTACTATCTGCTTAAATTACGTTCACTGAATTCAAAGGAACCAACAGTTTAACTTTTATTTTAAGTTTACTTATAAAAAATTAAAATACCTATCTGATGTTATAATCAATTAAGCTCTTACTTTCAATTAATTAAGTTGAATAAGCAACCTATTTGGCCTCTTAAATAAACAGCTAAAGTCCTTACACTTAAGTATTTTTGAGTTATCTAAAATCCTTATAAAACTCTGAAGAATTTACATATTGGAATGATTTCTAAATTAATTCAACCTAGCATTTGATTAGACAGGAAATTTATGATTATTATCAAGAATTTGATAAATGTTTACAAGAAATATAAGAAATTGAAATAGACTAAGCAATGGCTATGGAATTATTTTAAAAAATTACCTATCTGCTAAACAAAACCACAATTTTAAGTGCGAAAATTGAGTTCTTTTCGAATAGAGCCTATGCAGAAGATGCTACCTTCTTTTAGTTCATTATTTTAGATAAGATAAATCTCTGTTTGTAAAGGAATTATCTAGACTTAGAAATAGAGTCTTTAAATTACGAGAATTCTAATCTTATAATTCAGAAACTAATTGAATATAACAAAAGTTTTTTTATTAAAAAATTCTTACCTAATTTAAGAAAAGACAAATTAAAAGAGTTTATCAAACAAATGAGAAATTCTATTTACAATTATCCAAAGATTCTACTATAATTAATCTAAACACCAAACTTAGAGATTTAATGTTTTCAAGAAGATTAATAAGGATCGCATACTCTCTTAAGATTTTCAGCTCATCTAATCTCAAAAGAAAAAAAGGCAAACTGCAAATTGTTTTTGATTTACTCTATCAATAACTTTTAAGAAATCTAAGTTGAAATGATTATGAAAGAATAATCATGTAAATATTTGAATATTAAATATAGCTCTTTTGAAAATTGTTGTTGAGGGTAATTCGACTATTGCATATCAATTAATTTGCAAATATTAAGGCATTTTGGTTCTGCAAACAGAAGTTTAAAACATGACTATCAATTGTGTATAAAATTGAATATTTTATTATATCAAGAATTTTTTATTTTTGTTTTTAAGTAAAGTATTCTAAAATATCCTCATTATAAAGCATTTATTGAATAAGTTAATTGAGTATAGAGCTTCATTATAATACTTCTCTATTTATAGAAGCATTTTAGTTGCCACTAATTTCAAGTATTATCTTAGATTACTTTCATAAGGATATCCGTAAATGTGAAATTAGATAAATATCTTGAATTTGAAGCGTAAGTAATACAATTTACATATGATATTAATTTAGTTTATAAAATTTAGTTGTATTATTCAATAAATTATAAAATTAACGACTTATGAGTAATGCTGCAGAAAAAATAAGTGATCTATTCAATGTTTCATTAACAGAGCTTGAAACAAATATTGTTGCAAGTGCTGTCAAATTCAACGCATAACCTTAGCGTTTGCTCGATGTATAATTTCTAATGATGTTGTTTAGGAATTATAATAATCAGTGATGGATTTCAAGTCTAAATTCTATGAATCTCTACATAACTTATTACAGTTTATTGCTTAATTCAATAATGGCAAGGATATATTAAAAATAACTCAATAAGTTGAAACTCACATAACAAAATTCAAATAATAACAACTTCTTATTTAGATGAAAGTAGTGCTAAATAGCAAATTAAAAGCTTTACTAGAAACATTCTGCGGAGAAAATTAGCAAAAATTTGAAGTATCAAAATTTATAAATATTGTAGGTCTAAAATTAAATCAAGCATCTCAAGGATTCCTTGTTTAAGATAGAAACAACTCTCATGGAATAGTAATAGCTTACATCGACTCCATAATAACATTTCATAACTCCATATCCAAAAAAGAATTTCATAACAGCATCATCTTAAGATATCTTGACACCAAATTTGAGTGACGAGGCCGAAATGAGAGGAAGAGGTTTCTTTATAACCCCTGAAAATAGATAACAACAGCCAAGATAATTTGATCACTCTTAATAACAATTTTCTTCAAATGAAAGTTATTCTGTTTAACAGAACAAAACATTAAATTCTTTCGATAAAGAAAAATCAGAAGATAAAACTGATCTACAAAGTCCATTTTTTGGATTACAATAAGGGAATACCTAATAACCCAAGTTATTTTAAAATGAAACTATGAATGATTATTTGCAAAGAGTCCCTCTTGATGAAGGTCCCCAAGAATCCCAACTATTGGATGAATCTACTCAAAATTTTCATTAAGAATAAATAACTAAAACTATATAATAATTACAATAACAACAGTAACAATAATAATAATAATAATAATAATAATAATAATAGCAATAATAATAATAACAACAATCACAATAGTAACAATAATAACTATAACAATAGTAATAATTATAGCCATAATAATCTAATAAGAATCAATAAAAGGTACAGTCATAACCACAAAAATAATAGACCTAATGGTAAAATTTGCAATTACAGCAAACATTTTAACATTTAGATTCGTTATAAACAACGCGAACAGAATAATTGGAAACATAAGCAAGAGTATCGACTCCAAAAGATAATTAAGCCTAAACTCGAAATTAATCAGTTGAACCAAATATTAGAGATATTTCATAGTCGCCTAATGGAAAGAGACTAATATAAACTTCAAAATCAAAGGAACCATTTTCAAGATGCCGATCCTCACTGGAAACAACAAATCTACTCCAAAAATTAAACTCTGTTGAGGCTTCAAAGTCTAGCAATAAGCTTAATAAATCAAAATCCAATAAAGAAAATTAATCTTAACCTGTAGTTAAGTGTTCAAAACCAAGTAAGCCTCAAATTACTGTTTCAAAGCAAAAAAATTAAATCGCTACTAAACCCCAGTTATAGATCAACTTAGTTAAGAAATAAAAGTCAAATTGATTTATTCGTTAATTGTTTAGTATATTATAAAGCTTAAAATTATTTCGATAACTTTATATCAAGTATTTAATTTAATTAAACTTCTAATTGTTTTGGGAATCATTAAAAATACCTTCTAAATTGATAAAAAAGAAAAAAAAGAGAAAATGTTTAAAACAGAAGAACAGATATATAAATAAATAATAAGCCATATAATTTATTTATATTCTATTTTATGTATTTTATTGCTTAAGATTAAAATCTAAAATAATAAAAGTAAGAACCCTTTCTCAAAAATTTAGGAACTTATCTATAGCAGTGCTAATTCTCCAAAAAAGAGAAAATTAATTCACTACATTCTTATTTTCATATTTCTAAGGGATAATTATCATCTTCATATATTTAGCCTAATATTTACATAAACCTTTAATAAATTAATAACTGACTCCAAACAAATTGTTATTAAGTTTAAACTATAAGCAATTCTTGATTCAAAGAATATTTTTCTTCGGTTAATGCTTAATTTGTTAGTTTTAGTTTTCTTATTTGTTCATTTATACTTTCCTGTTATATATAATTAATTTATATGCTACCTAATTTAATTAAACCGGACATAAAACCAAGATCATTTTCCCTTAATGTAGATTAATACTGGTTAAAGCATAAAGCAAAAAGGAATAATTCCCACTACTCTTATAAAATAGTAGAAAAACTTCATTCTTAACCTACATCTAATGGGAATATAAATTTAGTTCCATAAAAGGAAATATCAGGGTCGTTAATAATTATTATAGCGAATGTCGAAGCCTTTTTAAAAGAAATAGCATCAAATCATAAATATTAATAGTTCTTAAAGTTCAAGGATTTTCTAAATGATAAATAGGTTACTTAATTTTTTCATTACATATCGAATTTTCTGATAAATTTGTAGTGCTCTATTTTTGAACATCACTATTGTACTTTCTCACAAAATAATAAGGCTATTGATATTGTAACAGCGGACAGTAAAACAGTTTATGAAGTTATTACAGAGTTTTTACATCGTCATCAAAAAAACCATGAAAACATATATATTTATGGGGGAGATTTTCAATTGATACATAAGTCAGAGTTTCGATAAATTATTTATATTTCTGGAACAAGGATTGAAAAATAAATTAATAAAGATGTCAAAATGAATGATAAAATATTCCGATTTAAAACTTAAATATAATGTTAATTAAACGATACTAATTCAGACGATGTTCTAATAGATCATAGAGTCTATCAAATTGGTATGCATAAGAAGAACAAAGAGATTAAATAGTATTTACAATAATAAAATAATGAGAAAAGAGAATTTGTTACAAAATAAGGTATGAATTTACTTAATATGAAGGGAAATCAAAAGAATTACAAATAAAGAAGATTAGTAGTAGTTAAAAAGAGAAAAAAATAGATTTGGCTTAAGAATTGCCATAAATTTGTGATTAAATTTATGAAAAGTTTAAAAGGCTATTTCACATAGAATATATTATTGTAGATAGAGATGTTTTCTCTTAATTTTTATTGCTTTGTGAGCTCAGTATCTACTATTCCAAAAATTTAACTCTATAATAATAAATTTCTAGATTGAATGACGACAATGAGAAATTCAGATTACTTATAAACAATGTGCTTTATTTTGAATTCAAGATTCTAAAGAGTATGAATCTAAACTTATAGAAATTGCAAAATAGTGTAACACAAACTTTATTGAAATTTATTAACCAAGATACAAAATGTTCAGATGCTTTAAACAAAATATACTGGAATGCATTTTTGAGATTCAAGACATTTTATATAGACTAAAAATGGACGAGCAGCGATTTTCGTTACTTTTTACTTCTACTTAACGAAGAATCTCCATTAACCTTATAGATATACTTGTAACTACCTCTAAGAGAATTATCCAAGACAATTTTCTCACTCAATGAAGACCTACTTTAATAAATAGTATGGCAAATTTTATATACTAAATAATGATAATTATAAATTCAAGTTAATTTTTACTACGCATTAAAATAATCATTAATAGCTTTCGTTTTATTATTTCAAATCTAACAATTAAATTATTCCGAATGATTTCTTCATCTCCTGGATTCAAATTAACAGCGATGACTCCTTTGAGTGTTCATCACAAAATAGAAATTATTGAAGACGAACCTTATGATTTAGAATTGGATCACTCTAAAATATCCTTTAATGAAAATATCGTCGTGTGTACATACAAACCAAGTTAGAGTGTTACAATGATTAAAAAGACAATTTTAAAGTTGAAAGGATAACCTAATACAGACTGGATAAATCCATGCCTTGGAACTGAAGAAATGAAGAGATAAATTTCTATATTGAGAGACTCCTAATCTTCAACCAGAATCTCTTCATTTTTCTTTTGAACTTCTTTATATATATTATCTATAAATTACTAAAAACACATTAGAAACAGAAACATAAATAGCGAACTCTATTATCTGGTTTAAGATAATTCTTACGCGTATAATTATTGAATAATCATCGTAAAACTACAAATAGTTTATTCGTTCCAATTAAATCAATTAACGCAATTGGTTATTGGAAGCAATTAGTGACTACAACACTTATATTCTATTTTCTAGTGAATCATATCATTTATTCTACTAGTTATTCTACTCCCTTTCCAATTTCTCTCTAAATTCTTTTTTGTAGTAAGTAAACCTACTTATGATTTATTCAGAATATTAAAACTTTTAAAGTATCGAGAATTATTGAAATTGTTCTAAGAGCATAAAGATTTTAATCAACTAATTGTTATTTTTTATTTACTGTAATACTTTTTCTAACCAGATTAAACAAATGTATTTAATAAACAATATTAGAAGAACTAATAATAATAACTAATTAAATTTTGGATTTTAATATTTTAATATTTTCATTAAATATTTAAAATTATTCATTTCGTTAATTATAACTAAGTATATCCTTCAGAAAATGAATACTGCTTAAACTTATTATCATAAACACAAAAGAATTTCACAGATTATCCACCTAGTTTTATATTTTCTAACATAATATTATGAAGAATCAATGAATATTTGTTATATTAGATCATAAGAACAATTTAAAGAGTATACTAAATTCGCATTAACTTTCTTCATTTAGAATTTGATCTTTACGTAAAGCATTAATAATTTAATTTTTATATAACTAATTGAGGTATGCATATTTTTTAATTGATTCATAAATAAATATTCTTTATCAAAATTTTAAGTAGCATGTTATGAGGACTAAATTTTGTAAATTAGTTGATAATAAGCTGAGATAGGTTGAAGATGCTTTTTAATAAATTTAACAATTTTTATATCAATATCTCATTTGCATTCCGGGGGGCATCATATTATAATTCATAGGTTAATAGGCACCTTGAGGAGGGAGGATCAACGTAGGTTAGGGCATGTATTAGGTCCTTGTGCCACTCAATCCTAAACTATCAATAGTTTCTACAAACGCAGGAGTTAGGAGACCTTAAAAGACTGAAGAGTGTGTAATGAGTAATCTTTTGATAGTGTCCTTAGAGATGAAGGTTGGGATGATATTTTTCTAAAAGGATGCTTTCAATTAATCTACTAAATCACTCATTACAGCTCTATAATAGTCTTCTCTAGCACTGATATGCTTTTTTCCGAGGGAGTGTTGTTTTCTTCCACTTGGAGATGAGTGAGTTAGATAAATTCCACAATATTCACAATAAAACTTAGGCATATTTAAAATAAATAATAAAAAATATATTTATTGTGTAGTGTATTAAAAAATAGTTATTAAAAGTAATTAATAATATATAACTTATGCAAGGTGCAAGGTTTGTGGAGACAAATTTGGTATAGAAAATGTTGAGAAATCAGAACTATGATTTCCACAAAAAGAAGTTAGATGAAATCTAGACGGAGTAATGATATTCTTGTATGGCTAATAGCAAAAAGGGAAGATTTGCATTTAAGGATCTGCCCGTCCTGAGTAAAACGCAACAGATCAAGGCATAATCTTCTAGGTTTTAGAAATCGGAATAAAGAAAAAGAATTGATGAATAGAATTAATATCTGAGTTCTCATATAATTGAAATATAGGAGGGTAAGAACTCTTAATTCAGATCGATATGGACAGTGTAGAACTTAAGAGAGAAAGCATATGTAAAGGATTTCAAGAGACTTTTTAGGCTGACACTTCTCAATGGTGTGAGAATGCCTTGGGTAAAAGACTTCATTCCCCTTTGAGGAGGAAACAGTAGCAGAAGATTGATGAAGAAAACCAGGAACTACAGAAAAGACTTGAATTAACCAAACAAATCTTATTAGAAAAGTAACAGGAACAAATCTCTAAATACGAAAAGCTTCGTGATCACATGACTCGTGTATAAAAGACTTATAAAGCTAGATAAAATCTAAGGGACCTAATTCTCCCATGATGAATACTCACTTTCCATCAGTAAAGAGCAAAAGCACTACTCATTTGATAAACAAGCCATTCTAATCTGATTCACTGATACAAAATAGCAAAATGAATGACTTGTTAAAGTCAGAAATCAATATCAGCAAAATATCCAAAATAGAATGAATTATATATCTATCCAATTATTAATATAATTTATTTACATATATCTTAGAGCATAACAAACAATGAGTGGATTCACACATTATAAGATAGAAACTACAGAATAGAGAGGAGATGGGTATCCTTCGTAGAGAAGTATATAATAATACGGGAACACATAAATCAAGTGAATAATTATAATATTTCCTAGGAATGAGGAGTACCGAATTTAAGTTACTTCTCCAGTCACAGAACAAATTGTGATAACCGATTAGTCCTCTTTTTAGAAAATAATTGAAGCAAAAGAAAGAGGTAAATGTATTCGTTATATTAAAGAAATAACAAATCTGAGGGAAAGTGTAAAATCGTTAAACAATCAAATATAAGACTAATTGAAGGAGTTGGAAATCTGGAAGAATAAATGCAGACAACTGCAATCTGATAAAGGGTTCAGTCGAATAACCACAACTGGTTAATAATCAAACGATTGGGAATTACTATAATTAAAAGAAGAAGTCAATAAATTAAGGTCGGAGAATAACGAATACAAATTTAAACTAGAGAGGAATGTTAGTGTGGTCTCAAATGATTATGAAGTGAATCAATTGAAACTGTAAATCAAATCTTTGGAAGAACAACTCAGATCCAAATCATCTGTTACTTAATACACATCATTCAATAATAATTCTCAAGAAGTCAATCAATTGAAGGATCAAATTAGAGTACTTACCTAAGAAAACGAAGACCTGATAAAGGCTAAGAACTTGCTCAATCAATAATTTCAGCAATCCTAAATCTAATGGCAACAAAGTGCTTTTAGAAGTACTTAAAATCAGGATTCCGAATAATCAAGAGCACTCTAAAATGAGAGGGATGATTTAAGAAGAAAAGTGAAGGTCTAAGAAGAAAGAATTGCCGAATTGTAATAAGAAGTTTAAAGGTTAAACTTTAATTGTGATTCTTACATTTAAGAAATACAGCAATCCTAATTTAGACTAAGTTCAAAGAATTAAAATTAAGAGATTGAGGGCTATTTGAAAAGGATATCAGCCTTATAACATGAAGTCTTGGTGTGGCAAGATCGTTACAAAGCCAAAGAAGTCTAGGAACTATCACATGCTCAAGAGTAGAAGGTAGCATAAAAGGACAATCAGATTCAGTTTTTATAAGAGAGAATAAAATAATATGAAGGCTAAATGGACTAATTGAGATTTGAAATTGACAAATAGAGAAAGGAATTCGATGGATAAAGAGCAACCTATGACAGTAGAAGAACAGATTAAGGAGAAGTGGAGAGTTTGAGAAGAAAGATTGCAGAAATGGAATCAGATATTTAGATTTTGATTGCTGATCTTCAAGAAAGAGATTAAAGAATAAGCATAACATAGAATGAATATGAGGAGGAAATTAGGATCTTGAAGAATTAAGGTTAAGTATAATACTAGACTGAAATCAATAAATTAAAAGAAGAAAGAGAAAAGTACAGACTAGACTATGAAAGATTGTCGAATGACTATACAAATATTTAGAGACAAAGCGAATAATATAAGAGCAATTCTTATGAAGTGGATTCATTAAAGTAGAGAATCATCGAGTTAGAATCGCAATTGAGAAATGCTTCAAATCAATATCAATCTCTACAAGGTTAATACTCTTAATTGTAAATTTAATACTAAAGCTCACAATAATCATAGTAATCTTAATTTTAATTAATAAGCATTCGAGAGGATTATTAAAAATTGTAATCCCAATTCAGTTAACTGTAATAAGAGAACATGTCATTGAAATAATAGAAATAATAAATAGAAAGCAATTCCTATTAATATAAGAATATTCAAAGCGATTATTAAGCTCTTCAAGACAGATACAATCAATCACTGAATGAAATCTAATAACTAAATGAGTAAATAAGGAAATATAGAAATGATTACGATTCATTGAATCAAAATTACATTCAATATTAAAGGGATAGTGAAATCAAGTTTACTCAAACAAGTAATAAGGAACTAGACATTATGAAATCTCGAATTTCGTAGTATGAGCAATAGATTTAACAATTAAGAAGTTAATTGTCTAACTAAGAAAGCTAATTGGAATAGTAATTTAAGGAGAGATTGAGAGTTGAAATGTATTAAATTGAACAGAAAGCAAGTAGTCAAAGTAATATGGAATTGCAATCATTATAAAATAAGTATAATTAATTGAAGACTTAATATGATTAATTGTAATTTAGATATCAGGAATAAAGTAATCAAATATTGGTGGTTAAGGAGAAGAGCACAAGGGAAAGTTAATTTGAAATTTAGAGTCTAAGAGATCAACTATAATAGTATAAATAGTCGAATATGCAATTGAATTAGGATATTTCGATTTTGAAAGAATAAATTACAAAGTATAGAATGGATGTGGAATAGTCGAATCAAAAGTATATTTTGATTTAGAGGGAAAGTGAAATGAACAAATAAAACATTGGAGAAGTTGAAAAGTTGATGGCTAGAATAAGAGAATTGGATTTTGAGTGTCAGTAGAAGAATCAGTAAATAAGTAAATTGTAGATGGATATGAGAAATTAAGAAATCGGGATAAGAAATGAATTGGAATAATAGTTTATTTCTAGATTGATGATTGAGAGACAAAATTTGGAGAGCAAATTGTCAACTTAAAGTTCAGCTGAGACTCAAAATTTATAATATCAATTGAAATCATTGCAGTAGGAATTGAGTTAATATAAATAAAGATACTCACAATTGGAGCAATAATTTAATTAATCTAAAATAGAGATTACTTAATTTAGATCTCAGTAGTCGAATGTGAATTTGGAGTAAGTTAAGCAATTGCAATTGAGGATAACTGAGTTAGAACATGAGAACCAGACTCTGAATGTAGAAATTGAGAGACAGAGGAACATCAGAAAGGAGCAAGAGAATAAAATTTAAGTGTTGATTACCAACATAACCAATTATGAATCAAAATTACATATTTTGGAATAAGAGAATGCCAGATTAGAAGCCAAGACTAAAAAATAAATAGTAATCGAGAAGCCCGTTGATTAGTACATTGTAAATCAACTGTTGGGATAACCAAGTTCTTAAATTAAGACTAATATCATTACCACTACTACTACAAATGTCTAAAATGTTTAAGGCAGTGGTATAGTAACTAGACAATCTGGGATGAATCAGATAAGTTAGGTTCCATCGACTTATAACTAGTATTATGATTAGCATAGATTGCAATCGCAGAATGAAACAAAGCAATCTCAATTTTCTTAGAGAATGTAAAGTCCACAACCTTAGGTTTCAAATTATTTGAGTCCAGACAAGAAGTAAAGTTTGTTTTATATAATTTATTAGTTTTTAAACTCAAAAGATTACGACTACAAAGAGTGTTAAATAAGCAATTATGTCATCAGCGAATTAATGAATGATGAATTTATAAAATCATATTTATTTTTAATAAAATGATTTTCATTGACTTAATGGTTCACTAAATTTATGCTTTAATAGGAAGTTAGAGTTGTATTTGTGCAGTGTAAAGAAAGAGTAAAATGAGTCGGTGGTTGATTGAGTTTTAGTCTTCTGTCCTTGAGATCTATTAGTGTTCGGAGGATCAATATGAAGGTATGCACAAATCTTCTAATTTGTGGGAATCTTTAATGAAGGCTTAACTAACTACTTATTTTTTATTTCTCTATTTGATTAATAACATGGTTTATTGAGCAATTTCCCAAGAGAATTTCTCTCTTTGAAATAAGGAGCAAAAACTTCTTCATTCCTTATTAAACTATTGATTGGATGTGAGGGCTGGTTGAGACTGTCTTAAATAACAGTCCTTCTGAATAGTTTGTTGTATTGATTGTGTGGTTTCTTGAGAAGGTGGGATTTACGATAGTAGATAGTTTCATTCTTCAATAAATCATTAATTTGTGAACTCATTATATTATATTAATATCAAGCATTCTTTTTATTTTAAGTGCCTGTATTTCCCAATTTGATAGAAGATCCAATAAATTGAGCAGCTTCTTCAGTTTGCTTTAATCCATTCACCAATTTGTGTTTACGAGGATTATATGGTTCCACAGGTTTAACATCTTCTGAAGGCTTTCTCATTTAAGTAGTTAAAGGTTTTCCGTCGATGCGGACTCCAGTTCCTGTGAAGACTGTTTATTATTTTTAAGCCTAAAGCTCTTCTTGTTAGACCAAAGAACTAGACTTCTTAACTAAATTGGGTGGAGCATCGTTGAAGTCCTATTCAAACTCTAAAATATAATACTAATGGTTTCATGAAATCAATTTCAACGTCTGCTTCATTAATGCAAACAGCCTTAAGATTGTTGGTAGGTTCAACCTTCACAATGTCTATTAAGTAATTGGTGTTATGGAAATTTATAGAAATAGTTTCTCCTTCTGTCAGGCAGATGAAATTTCTTAGATGATTCTCTAAAATAGCTCTTGGATCAGGTAAATCAATAAAAGCAGTTTCATGAGGCTAAATTCTAATTAACTTTCCTTAATCTAATTTTTTTTCATGAGAAATAATAATATTGCACCCGTCAAAAAACCCCATGCTCTCCAACATCCAATCTGGTACTACGCATGTACCTTCTTCTGCTGTGAATTCCAGAACACCTACATAAGTATATTTTTTATCATCCAAAGTAGATTAGAGTCTAAAAATCATTGGGCCTTGTTATTTCAAATGTAGCACTTATTATAATGCAGATGCAGGAAGCAGAATCTTATTTCCTTGATTAAGATTTTTTTTTTGGAAAGTGGAGGCAGAATAGACTTCTAACATATTTTGATAACCTCTAAAATTTCGATTCATTTTTTATAATTAATTATAATAAATAAATATCTTGATTCTTAAAGGGGTGAGAATTCGAAAGTATCAGTAGTTAATAATCATTCACATCATTTAACCCAGTGTTAAGAGAAAAGTCATATTCCTAGATTTATTTAATATTAATATCATAAAAACAAATTCAATATTGCTTAGATAATAATTATTACTAAAGAGCATAGTGTTTAATATTTAATTGATTATCTCTCTCCTGCAATTTATTTTAGTAATGGCCTCTAAGATCATCAGGCACGATGTCTTCCACTCCTTTACGATTCTCACCTTTAAAATATAATTCGCATCCAATACCTGTTAATAGATTGTAACCACAATTAGCTCTATTATCTAAGTTTTATGCTCTTACTAGCTATCTAACCTAAGTCATCTCATCTTGTCGTTTTAAGGCTTATCCCTACTCATTTTAAGCATACTCTAATGTCAAAGGGTTGTATGCTAATCCATTTAAATTTCTTTTGCCTTATGTAAATTACTCCTAATGGTATTGTCTTTTTAAATCATCCTGCTATTACTGATAATATATACTTTTTATTGATAAAGCTCATTTCTCTACCAAATCATGCCTTCTCTCTCTAAATTAGCCAATCTTCGCGATTCATATTATAACTGTTTTTATTTATTTTAATATTCCCTTTGCAATTTGTCGTGAGTAGCAAAATCCTTTAAAAATCGTTCTTATTCTACAAGATGAACTTGAAAATTACCCTATTAAAATAATGTAGTATTTGGAGCTGGACTATGTAATAGTGCTTTCATGTCTTCTTTTTATGGTGTGTCAAATTCTTCAAACTTTAAATAAGAGTTTACATCTTGATTGCATTATAGCTTATTATGAATTGACTTCCTTTAAATAGTCCTAAATCATTAACAACATCAATTACTCTTTCTGCCCTAGTTCTTGGTTATTGGTTATGATAGGCTTGCTGATTCTGAGGTTTGAATATTCCAGCCCCATAACTCTAAGAAGTAGGTTAGTAAATATCTCTAGGGTTGTAATCCTATTGTTAAGAGAAGAGCATAAGTTATTAAAATTAATATATAAAGTATTCATTTTTAATTAATCATCACAAAAATAAATTGTAAATATAAAATATTATCATTTCATATTAGGTTGATATGAAAAGGGTCTAACTATTTTATTACTATGGGTTAACATAGAGTGAACTATTTGTTTTTCTTAATTGAGTATGTTTCTTCTAATATTTGATGTTAATTTATTACTAATAAGTTCTATTATTTATGATTTATGAAGGATCATTCTTTATCAAATTAGGATCCATGTATGAGTAATAAACATAATACTCATTCTAAGATAGAGGTAAACTAAAATATTTCACACATAGTCTTATTATATAATTAAAGTTGCATCAAATAAGTATACTTTGTTGAGTATTAATCTTATCTTGAATATCACCTATTAATATAAATTGCCTCATTTATCATTTAGAAATCCAATTCAAATAAGTCTAAAAATTGGCTAATTGAGGCTTCCAATCAATTTCTTAATTTCATTGTCTCATAATTTCGACTATGATTTGCTTCTAGATTGAAGTATTAAATAGAGAAGTGATTTAGCCAATACAATATTTATAATATTAATAAGTGCCATTAAAATTTGAATAAAAAATAATAAACCCTCGAAATTTAACCTCAAATTTTAATCAATGTATTTATATAAGCATATCTCGAAAACACAACAAACAGCTTTCTATACCATACAAATTACGAATGGTGAATTTACATTGACCTCCATGCCTTTAAGATATTTAGATTCACCATGAGATTATCATTAAGGATAGAAGAGACGAAGAAGTCTAAAATTGAACTATATTTTCTTAATATATTTGTTGTCTCCAACGCAAACACCTTTAACCCTTCTGGTCTTTTCATACTAGATATTGCTTTATAACATGCGATATGATTTAAATGCCCTGAAATACCTTTGTTATCAAAAGTTATCACTCCCTTAATATTATTTTCTGCAATATATCTAAATTATAAGCCATCTATTCTTACTCTTCTACTATTTTTTATATTTTTTCTATTGGCCACATAACACTCATTGAGTCTTATAATTGTTCATCATTTATTATGGTTACCTACAAATCAATATTTAATAGATACTTTATTTATGCTTAGGTATTTACAACACTTTTCTAATTCTGCTTCTCTTATTTTCCCAATTTTATTAGCATTTCCATTCGATAAACATATTAAATGAGCTTCGTAATTGTTATCATTTAAATAAGTAATTGTAGGTAAAAAAAACATGGCTTCATCATCAGGATGAGCAGTGACTAATAAAACTGGTTTTTTTTCCTTATCTAATTACTATTACCATTACTTCTTTTTCATTTTACTATCTCCTTGATTTAATATATAGAAGTATAAAAATTGTAATGAAGTTCGATATTATTAATCCATATTTTAAAATAAACAGCAAATCATCATCAACTATCTCTTCAATTATATCAAAAAGTTCCATAAAGTTAAAAATTATTAAAATTAAAATAAGAAGAAAATATGCTTATTCACATACATCAGATAATATAAAAAGAAAATATGTCAATCTCTAATACTAGTTTTTTGTTAAAATTAAGAATATTTATTGTAACAAATATATATATTATTGATGTATAAACTCATTTTGTTTATTTATTTGTGTCATTTAGATTCTCAAGCATGCTTTTTATATTGTGTTAGCTTTTATCTAAGGTTATCTTGCTTGCGATATAGTCCTTTTTTAATTCTTTAATAAGTTCTATGGATTGTTCATTAAAATCAATAATCCTTGGATTTTTTGATAAATCAGTATATTCCTCTGAGAATTATACTTTGTTTTCATGCTAAAATGATTGATATTAATAATACTTCTTCTAGACGATTAAATACTATAGATGCTCTATCTCTTAATTCTTCAATATCTTAAATTAGACCCAATTCTTTAGCTGAATTTTTGTTAAGTTTTCTTTTAGAAATTGCATATTTTTCTAACAATTTATGAGCTTTAATTAATTCTTGGATGATGAGTTAATTTTTGTCTCTAATTTATTTTAATTACCCTCCCATTGATTATTCTAACTATTCAAAGATATATTAAAGTAATTACTTAAACAACATAGCCTTGAAACTCTCCAACATTTTAAACTTGGTTTGGTTTAGATTTATCTTAACCGGTTTTTTAAAATATGGCTTAAGTAAGGTGTGTTTTGTTTTATTCTAATTTACCTTTGAGTGCTTCCAATTCAGCAGATGTAGTGTTTTAATGTTATTTTAAAGTTTCATTGATCTGTTGCATCTAAAACACTTCTCCATAAATGAATTATAAGTTATTCTAAGTTGTATTCTGGGGTTGAAGTGTTTGTTATTAAAAACTCAACATTAAATAATATTAATAATAATTCAAATATTTAATTTTTGTAATGCTTTATTTATTATACTTCATGATCTATATCTCCTTTGAAAAGATAACATTACTCTTATTCCTAGGGGGTAGTTGATGAATCACCTATAACACTTTTGTGATTAAATTAAGTTTCAATTTTATAGATTTTTAAACCTTCATCTTTTTGGACTTATATTTGCGTGTTAATATTTCAAGTTTTTCTTCTCCTTGCAATTTATCATCTAAGCAAATTGACCAACCGATTACTTTCCTTCGCATTGATAAATCTTATTATTCTAAATTATTCTGTTTTTCAATGTATTCAAAGCGCTTAGATTACTTAAGTCACTAGATTGAACATGCTTAAAATTGGGTGGAAGCCTTTCTAAAACATTAACAATAATTTAACATTTAAGGTATATATTTCCAAGGCCATTAATAAGAATATTAATTCTTATTATTAATATAGTTTGATCAAGCATAATTATTATTTTAGAGGATTTATTTTTTTTCTATTTCATCGCTAAGCAATCATGTAATAGAATAATTAAATCCCTATATTAAGTGATCTTTTCAATTCATTATTTTCTTTAATTCAATCATCATGTATGAAATTAATCATAATCTTCTTATCCAATATATTTGATCAAAATTTCCAAATATTTTAAAAAATTCCATATTTACCTTTATATTACATAATTTGCTAAACAAAAATAGAATTGAAGGGTAGCCTAATATTATTTCCATTTTATCAAAAAGAAAATTAATATCAAATTTTATTATTATTTACTAAAGATATTTTATATTATATATCACAATAGCATAATGAATTCATATGCAATTAATGGCTACTTATATTCTGGTTTTTTCATTAATATTGCAATTTTATCTTTTGATTTCAAAACAATAGTTTTGTTGTTTACAATCCTTGTCCAAGTACCAAGAATAATCTAATAAATTGATTTGATTGTTACCTCATCATTATTTTTGGTCTATTCCTCATCCCTATAAATAAATATCCCATTTGGGCTTTTATTTTATAACTTAAAAATGTATTCATAATTATTATTTTCATCCCCAGGCTTTGCTTCTTCTTATTGTTAGGAATTATCAATGCAGGTGTAAAATATTCTAAAATAAGACTGATATATACTCTTGTTATTATGGTTAATGTTATTCTGTTGGTTTATCAATTTTAATTTTTTTTTATGGTACTTCGAAATTATCGCTATCAAATTTTTATTTTTATTTTCTAATGCATGTTATAGTTGCATGATCTCTAGAAATAGTTTACACCTGCTAAACTTCCATCTACAATTTTCTATAATATTCTCTGCCAAATTTAAACACTTCCAACTCATTACTTTCATTATTCGTAAATTGTAACTCAATTACTTCTATTGTATTTATGATATTCATTCTAAACTATTGTTTAATGTGGTCCTCTGCAATCAACTTTAATTAGATCTTTCCTTGGGATTGATTACCTAATTTTTATTTTTCTTCATACTTTGAACTATCTGATCATCATCAATCTACGTTTCTTCTACATGGGTTGTAACATTCTTTTATTTCTCAACTGTACTCGTCTAAGCAAGAGCCAAACTTGTTATTAAATGATTGTTCAATTGCTGACTAAGTCGATCCAAAGCCTATGATTTATCTTTGATATCATTGTAAACACTCCCAAAAGGCAATTTGGATAGAATTGTATTAATACTATATTTTATATTAAATTAATACTATGAGTTGCGTTCTGGTAATTTGGAGAGTAATTGAGAAGACTCTGTCAATTCCTTTTTAATCTAGCCTTGCAATTGGACATTGATTCTACAATATACGCAAACCATTACTGGAAATCCTTCTATTCTAATTTCTATAATTATTCTTAAAGAGATGACAATTTAAGTCTAAAGAATTTGACCTCTTCACCATTTTCTTCGTGTGCTTTAGCCAAATCAACAGCTGTCTACACCAACCCAAAGAGATCCATTTTCTGATTAATTAATTATATTTTAAATTCTCACTAAGAGTATTAGCTTATTGTGAAAGTGGTTCAATTTAATAATAATTCTTATTTTTCTTTTTTAAGTATTTTATCAGAATTATGACATTTTCCATCACCTTCTAATGTTTTCAATGATGTTAATCCTCCGAATTCATAATCAATCTAAAAACCTTTAAATCAATCACCATTCAAAAGAAATATCAAAAAAAGTTTATGTTAGACATAAATTTGAAGATAAATTCTGCTTCTTATTAAAATCAATTCAATTTTTGGAATGCAGGTTCAATAATATTAGAATATTAATAACAATATCCTAATTTTATAGACCCCCCTGAGTCTAAATTTTAGTTAAAATTATCTAAAAGAAATCTAGAATTCATAACTCATTGAATTAAGTCGGAAATTATAAAAAAAAGAAAGTATTTTAAGGTTTTAAAGTCAGATTAAAAATATAAATATTCATAAAATGAATTAGGTACAAGAGGGTCTCTAATTTGATTGATACGATTATTTACTCAAGTCTTAAAACAACAAGTATCTTTAGTGTTTTTCAAATAATTATATATGAAAATTTGTATTACAGAATATTAAGTTGTTTAAGAATTTATAAGATTATTGATCAGGATTATTGTATTGAAATATTAATTATTTATAATAAAATAAATGGATTAATAGCAATTTGACTCTGAATTGCAAACTTATTTTCTACATATTAAACATGAAATCAAATAGGAACATATAGAATATTTGAAAAAGCATCCAGAGTTAAATTAAATATTAAATGACTTCACAAGTTAGATAATATTAGAAAAAGTAACTCTTCCATTTTATTTCAGCCAGATAATGTTTATCAATATGCTAAAGAATATTTCAGTTTCTTCAATTAAGAAAAAGATCTGAAGACTTGTAAGCCATTACTATTTTCAGGAGCAAGTGGAGTTGGAAAAGTAATTAAGTTATAAATTTTACTTAATAGGGAACCTTATTATAGATGCTATTTAAATAATATCCACAATAATTTGTGTTTAGTGTGAGTTACACAACAAGAGCACCAAGACCAGGTGAAGTTCATGGATAACACTATTATTTTGTTAGCAAAGAAGAATTTTAGAAAGAAATCGAAAAGAAGGCTTTTTTGGAATATTGTGAAGTTCATGGTAATTATTATGGAACTCATTTGGCTCAAGTCTAAAAAGTTATGAAGCAAGGATAAGTTTGTGTTATTGAAATTGATGTCTAAGGAGCTGAAAAGATTAGTAAATCAATGCCTAATCAATGTAATTATATTTTCATTAATGCTCCCTCCAATGAAGAATTGAGAAAGAGATTGACTGGAAGGGGAACAGAAACAGAAGAAGTAATTGAAAAAAGAATGAAAAATGCTGAAAAAGAGATAGAGAAAGCTCATTCATTAGGATTCTATAATGAAATATTAAATGATGATGTACAAAAAGCATTTAAGAAACTCATTGACCTTCTCAAAACATTTTATGCCGATTTAAAATTATGATATGAAATATAGAATATTCAAAAAATATACAAAACAAAATGTTTATATTCTTTTATTTCTATTAAATTTTTATCTTTACATTAATATGTTTTTGGAAGGCTCATTTCTTTTCGAAGATAAATAAAGTAAATACTTGACATATATTATATAAAATATATTATTAAAAGAATATAATTTTGGTAACCAAATTGATATTTCCAAAGAAACAATAATAAATTAATACTAACTTAAACTATCTATTAAATTTAATAACAAACAACTAAATTTCACACATTTTTGATATCCAACTCTTCTATTTCATGAATATTTTAGCAACTTTTAGTTGAAATGTTTAGAACCTTATAATATCTTTCTAAAATTGAAATGAATCCACTAACATTTGTTTCATAAATTTGAAGTTGGAATATTTTCATTAATGTATTGATTTATAATTAAACTAAATGCAACTTATTCACAAAGTAGATGAACAAACACAAATAGATTAAAATAAACTTTTATTAAAGACTGATTAAGGAATTTAAGAATAATGACTAAAAGCAAATATTAAGAATCTTGATTATTTTCTGAAACTTGGATGTTTATTTTGTTGATATTTAATTTAACTCAAAACACACGGTTATTAAGTTCTCTTTTAAGATTATAAGGGAAACAGGAGATACTTGGAGTAGGTCTCACTATATCCATAAGGTGATTAGGTCTTAATTTATTTTTTGACATTACTTAAATGGTTCTTTACCTTTCACGAAATCTCTTCTTTATGTTGGTTTAAGAGGATCACCTTTATACTCTGGATACTTGCCTAAACAGCCAGTTTCTCCGCTTTTAGTAGGGTTAGATGGTTTGAATGGAGCTTCGTGCTTCATAATAATGGGTTGAAATTCCTTGACTTAAGTTGGCTATTGGAATTGTTAATAAAAGAACACTTACTTTGGGAAGGTTTGTTTCTCCATAAACCTACTTATCAGAGCTAAAATTATCAGTAGTAACAATTGTGCTTTTAAAGGGTTACTTATCTTTTAATAGTTTCTATTCATTAAATATTCTCTCTCTCTCAAATTATTGATATCTATTGTATTCATCCTTCTCATGCTTTGGAAATTGATCTAAGGCCTTGCTTGAAGGATTAGTTGTTATGTTTTTTGGTCCGATGTGTACCCTGTTATCAGGTCCCTTATGATTGTTTGGTCCTTTTGGTATTTCATAATCAGCCATATGACGATATGAGCTACCTATCACCTCTTTATATCCTGAAGGAGGGATGAAATTCTTTTTGTCGTCTGAAGAATATTTCCTTTTTTCTTCTAACTCTTGAATTCTGATCCTTCTTTCTGGATCTAGATATTTATCACCTATCGTTGTGAACCCTAGCAGACTAAAATATGACGACTTTATTTTCCCCTGTTTAGGAGCAGTTATTTTAATGTTTGAGGGAGAAGTAATCGGTTTCCCTTAATCATTTCTGGGGGCTATTTATATAATGTAATGTAAAACGTCTTGGTTTGTTATCATAACTATTATCACCCATCCCAAGTGGAACAGGGGAAGAAAACAATCCAAATCTTTATATTGAGGCTAATTTCTCAGTTTCTGCCAAGGCTTTTTTACCTAATTCTCTTAAAGTAGCTTCTTTGTCAGCCATAATAATTTTTATTCTTATAAATATTTTGATTAACTAGTATTGGATTAAATGAGACCGATTTAATATAAAGCGTTAGTGTTATTAAGAAATGATGTTTAAGAAACATTTATTGATGGTTACTAAAATTGTATAGCATCTTTGAATATATACTTATTTATTTAATTGATATCATATGTATACTAAACATATGAGAGAGATATCTTATTTAAATATTTACTTTATCCCTCTTAGCTTTAGAATATGATATAAATAATTTGAAGTTATCTTTGATTATAAAAATAACTAATATATGAATATTTATCTATGATATTATGTATACCTCTAATAAGATCGCATATAAAATCATATTACAATTGTTCTAATGCAAAGTTTATGTCTTTATAAATTGATTTTTACATATTTACAAAATGTTAAAGAATTAATTTATTACCTAAAATTTTAAAAAGAATTTTGTAAAATAAATCCTAGCAAATTAATGATAAAATGATTTGAAATACAAAATAATTGAGATTGATCTCCGAAACAATCATTACAAACAGATATAAGAGTACATCTTTAAGGTTTTATATAATTAAATTAACTCTTCCTAGTGTAATTATTTTTTGTTAGATAAGAAAAGTATAAGCTAATATGTTTTAGTATGATTAAATTAATAAATAAGAAGCAGATGTATAAGAAAACAATTATATTGATGCTCTAATAATTTCTCATAGAGGTTTTTTATAATTTCAATAATATCACTTAGGATTTCTTAAGATGTAAATCACGGAATCCCCTCTTAAAAACATCTTTGGAATAAATCTTTCTTTGTTTGTAGCATGAGCTTTCTTTCCCTTGTTTCCCTTGGGGATTTCTGTCCACATTTCAGTCACATTTTCAAGGATCTTTATTAATAATTAATATACCATATTCATATGTCGATCGAATGCTTTAACTCTTCCTAATAGTTTTCTATTATTTCTAAGCTCTATTAGCACTTGTGTATTGTGACTCACTGTAATTGTCAACAAACCAAAAGGTCCTTTTTCCAATGTTTCCTCTTATGCAGTTCGCTTCTACGTTTCAGCCATTTAAAATTAAATTAATTATAATAACAAAATTGGTTCATTCTGTATTAATAGATTATAGATTCACATCTATATTTACCATATGGAAACTTGAAAATCTGTTGATCTAAAGGCTATACTTCAATCCTAGGTCTTTGGAACACTCAGTTGACTTTTATGAATAATTATCCATTCATATATTTAATAATTATCAATTCAGTTTCTTAGAGTTGTAGGTATCGTCTCCTCCTCCATAACTCATACCATATATGTTAGGTTATGGAGGATTAGGGGTCTCTTAAATTTGAATTTGAGGCATTCTGAATCCTTCAGACCGTGAAGCATTTTATTCTGCAAATGTTTTAAGCGGAGATTTAACATTTAAATTGTATAACTCTGACCACTTGATCTTTGCAAAAAAAGGGTGATATTTTATTTCTTAGTATCCCTTAAAATATAGATCAATTCAAATTACCATTTCAGCTCCAATTCTTTCTTTAGGATTAGCCTTTAAGAGTCTTTAAACTAAATTTACTGCTTCATCACTCATTATTGGTGTATAAGCTGGCTGATTTTGTAATATTAATGATAGAATCTTCTAAGTATTTCTATCTGGAACAGTAAAAGGTGGATATCCATTAATCATTTCATATATTAAGATTCCTAGTGTCCATAGATCTACTTCGAAGGAATGTCCTTTTTTGTTAATGATCTCAGGAGCCAAATATTCAGGAGTTCCTGCTAACTATTCTAAGTATTAATGTATACAGTATAATTTTTCACATTTTCATCCTTTCTTAAAGTAGCTAAGCCAAAATCTGTTAATTTAACATGTCCTGTTGTCGTAAGTAAGATATTTTCTGGTTTCAAATCCCTATATATAACCTTTAATTAATTATTCAAATATTCTAACGCTAAAACCACTTCAGCTGCTACAAAGGCAACAATAGATTCTGGTAAGCCTTTTGTTTTTGTAAGAATCTTAAAGAATTCCCCTCCATTAATGTATTCCATCACTAAATATAATTTGGTTGGTGTTTAGAAGGAATATTTTAACTACACTATGAATGGGTGTTTGCTTTGTTTTAAGACATCCTTCTCTAGTAAAGCATTCGATTCTAATTTGCTATCGAAAATCAGCTTCTTATTGATGCATTTAATAGCATATATTTTTTGATTGTCCTTTTTTTTTACTTTGTATACTTTTCCAAAGGCACCCTTATAAGATTAATTTATACTTTGCCAACTGTTGCTAACATAATGAAATCTTCTAGTCCCACTCTCTTATGAGTTTATTCAGGCATAAATGATGTGGAGTTATCCAGAGTCTTACTCGATTTTAACGCCAATTCCTCTGAGTCTTAATAAACAGCATACATTCTTAAATCGGTTGCAAGGTAGTCTATTAATTTAGAGAACTTTGAAATTCCTGCTTTTCTGATTTCATGAAATCACATAAATTTCCCATTTTTCAATTTTTATTAATTATACAACTAAAGAATAAATTTACCAAAAATTTATTAAGAATTATGCCATTCCTTCTATTAAAGCAACGGGATTTCTAAATTTCATTTACTTTCTTATCATTTGAAAAGTTTAATTCTAAATGATTTTCTACATATTCTAGAAGGTTCGAAAATTCTTCTAGATTCTTATGCTTTTGTATTTATTTCATCAGAATTTGAATTGTTTATAGATACATTATGATTGCAGTGAAAAATGAAGATATAAATTATTCTGACAAATTATTAAATTTAAGTTTAAAGCATATTAAATTTATGCTATGAACTGTTGTGATGTACTTTATTCTTTTTTCTGTGTCAACTACTCATTACTTACACTTAGTCCTTTAAATTCTATATTTTAGAGAACTTATATCAATTATTAGAATATTATTTATCCTATGTATTGATATTTTCTGTTTAGCATTCTAAATAAGTGAAATGAGTAATTTTCTATTTTTATGTTTATGTGATTCTTTTTCTCTATTTTGAATCTTACCCTATCAGAATTTAAGTTAAAAACTAACTCATTTTGAGAATTTGAATAATAAGTATAAGCATTAGATTATTATGAAATGCAAATAATATGGAGCATAACTATACAATAGGAATAATGTCATATAAAATATTAATTGAAGATTTAAAATTATTATACATGAGAATATGATTTGTACAAATTTTAGTGATCCATATGTTTGAACAGGAATAAAATAATTATATCAAATGAATAAAAGATGAGGAAAATACAGAATTAGATTGTTGCAAGATCAAATAAATAAAATTTGAATGTTTTTTTTTATCAGATCAAAACGGAATATTAATTCATTTAATTTTTGACAATCTATAGATAGTATAGATAAATCGATCTAAATATTTATTCTATTATTGAGCAGTTTTTAAATTTATATAAAGATAATAAATATAATTAATTAATAAGTGATACATTGAATGAGGATTTCAAATAGCATTATTATTTCATCTTTTGCACTATATATATAATGCTAAAGTGTTGTATTAAATGTAGATAAATGGAATTCTTAATACCCTTTAGGCGATTTCAATTTGTTAAAAGTAATATGATGTTAAAATTAACGAATACCGATATTTAATTATTTAAGTAATGCTGATAGATCTGAAATTCTAACTGCTCAGATTCTATGACAGTCATGGAATTCTTAGAAAAATGAAGACCATAATAATATTGAAATTGATGTATAAATAAATAATATATAAAATTTAAATTTATCATTTTAACAATCAATGAAATTAGTTTGCCGTTTAAGACCATAGCCCAATAACACATCTTAAAGTACTGTAAACTCTAAAAAGGATGTGCGTACAAATATCTTTGCAGGTGTGCTATCTAATGAAAGTATGTTTTGAACCATAATAAGCACCCCAGACTCTTGTTGTAAGTTCGCGTAATGCAATATCACAGAAACTGATCTTTGAGTATTTAAAGAATGATTCGGATATAATGAAACAACGATAATAGATAATAGAGAATTCTGATCTCTTCCAATTTGATTAAGTATTTGGTGAAAAGGCCAATCAATAATTGATTTATGATTAAGTGCTGGCAACTAAAGTAAATAATCTGATCACTGGTTCATCGGGCTCCTTGATTCTATTGGGAGGACCTGAGAGTGGCAAAAAGTATACTCTCAAAGGCGAGGAGAGAGGCTAAGAGAAGGGTTTAGCTGTGTTCATAGTAGAAAACATACTCAATTTGATTGAGAGTTCAAAGTAGTTAAGAGGGAAGGGAAAATTAAACGTTTCAATATCATTGGTAAATAACCTCGAGACCATAGATTTAGTAGGTTCATCTAGAAGTTAAACAGTTAAATTTTCATAAATTAAGGGTGCAAGTGAATTCAAAAAAATGCTTAATTAGAGTTTATTTTAATATAAGTAATATGTCAAAGAACATCCAGAGACTAAAAGCAATCATATTTTTATTAAATATTTAATTGAGTAGGATAAATAGGAGGTAGCTTAATTACATTTGGTACTTTTCAACGAATTTCGTAGAGTTACTTAGGATGCTAAAGATTTTCAAGGGAAATTGAAATAATTGCTAGTATCTTAGTAGGATTTCTAAGAAAAAGAGTTGGATAGCAAATCGTTGCTGTAACTCTATTTATCTTTGAGAGAAACTAAATTCAATAACATCACTGTTTTATTTTGTGTTTCATAAGTTTAACAGGATCATATCACTGCTTATATGACCTTGTAATTTGCTGAAGATTTAAGATAGACAATAAAACCTTAAACTTAAAGAATAGCCTTGTCACAATTGGAGAATCAATCAATAAAGTCAAAATCACAATAGGGAAGAGAGAATTTGACTTAGTAATTTGGATCAAAAGGATCTCTGGAGGAAAAGTTTGATTAGCCATCAAGGATTGTAAGACCAGGAGGATCAGATTATTTAATTAGATTTGGATCTGATTAGAATTTGAGGCCAGGATCAGACTAAACTGTTTTGCATTAATCAAAAATATATAGTACAATAGACAGATAGCCGAGTAGATAAGAGGCGAATTTTTCGAAGCAATTCCAAGAACTCAAGGAGTTGTTAAAGGAGAAGGAAGTGATGGAAGATTGCAAGTAATTATAAATGAATATAGTTATTAGAGTGTAGAGGTTTGAGAAGGAACTAAAGAATTTGTACGAGGAGAATTCGAGATTGCAGAGTAAGGTTTATCAATAAGAGGATTCAATAAGATAGAGGGATCTGTTAATTTAATAGTTGGAATAACATATGGACGATAATAAAAAGCAGATGGAAGTCGAACATCAAATGTTTACTTAGGCAAAGTAGAAGGAGAATATATATGAGCAAAATCAAGAGGAATTGAATGAAGCAGTAGCACAATTGAATCAGTAATTGAGATATTGTAATGATGAATCCTAATTATAAAAATAAAAGATAAGGGTACTGGAGAATGATATTGAAATGTTGAAAGAACAAGAGTTTAAGAATGTGAAACATTATGAAAAGAGAGAAGATGAATTTATGGGTCTGATTTAGTAGGAATAGGAGCGTAACAAACAACTGTATCAAGAGTTGGATTATTTCGCTATTGAACTCAAGAATAGAGAATAATAATTGTCAGCCAGTGATGAAAATATTAAGACTTTGAATAAGGTGATTGAAGAATAATCCAAGAGGATAGAGGAGGAGAAGTAGAAGAACAAAGAGTTGTGTGAGAGCGTTAACAGTCATAAATAAAAATAAGAAGAGGCTGTTAGAGATATAAATTAAATTGAATAGAGATTCACTAGATTGAAGGCAAAATTGGAAACTGAGAATCAGCAATTAAAATAGGATAAGGAAAAATATCTATAAAAGTATAAGGAGAAATTAAAAAAATATAAAAGTCAGTTGAATTAGTTTGAATAAGAGAATGGATAAATGAAGATGGAAAGAGTGAAATTGTAGACAGAAAATGATTAATTGTATGGAATCTCGAAACAATTAGAGACATAATTGGGTAGAGTGCATAGTGAAACGACAGAGAGAATAGGTGGTTCATATGATGCATATGAATAGGATAAAATCAGACAACAAAATTTCCAGTTAAGTTCACAACTAAAATAAGCAGACTATGAAGTAAATCTAATTTAGTATATTTTTTAGATTAAATAATTATCACTTTAACTTAACAATGCTATTTAGTAGTTGGAACAAACTAATGTTGAATATGATCATGTTTTGCAGGAGAATTAGAAATTACAAAAATTATTGGATGACAAATAGTCTGAAGCCAAGAAAAATGAGTTTATGATTGAAAAAGTTGTGGAACTTAGTGATAAACAATTGGATGACTTAGAATCGAAGTTCAACAAGTTAACAGCTTAAATTAATTCATTACAACATGAGAAGAAATCATTATAATCTGAGAATCAGAATTTGAAGAATCAATTAGAATAGATGGATGGGAATGATCTAGTCTTGGAGAAGAGAATAGTGAAATTAAGAAAGGAGAATAAAGATCTAAGTAATTAAATCAAATAGTTAAACTAAAACATGAAAGAAATGATAGTTGAAAAACACTCTGAAATGAGAAATACATCCTTACGTTAAAGTAGATATAGTAACAAATTGTTAAGTCAGAATTAATCATATAGATCATAGAGATTAATGGATTATGAAGATGATGATGTTATTTGATTTACTTATGTTTTTATGTATCAATATATATGATAATTCAATAATTTCTACTTTATCCCACTCTTTGTTAGGATGTACGAACATCTTGATTTTATTTCTCCAATCTCTTTTGTTCTTCTTGTAAATCTTATAATTATCTTTATGATTATGAATAATCTCTTTCTAATTACTGGAATCTCTTCTACCAGGTTTCTATTTCATTCGAGTAATGGACTGTTCTTTCCTAGATTTGTATTTCAATTGATTCCTATTATTGGTGAATTTGATTCTCCAATTCAGAAATCTCTCTATCTCTATCCTAAATCATCTGTTGCAATTAGGCTTTCTTCGATTCCAATTCCCTTAATCTGGTATCATCAATAACTTCAATGGCATCTGGTTCAGTAGGGCCTGGTCCCTTTCTCAATTGAATTTGCAATTCCAAAATCTGTCTCTCTAGAGTTGCACACTTTAATCTCCAGGGAGCTTCGATTTCTATTGGAATAATTTAGATTGTTACCGTCCATATTTATGACTTAAGTGGGTTTCTCTTAATAGACAGTAGGTAACACATTGGGTTTCGTTTATATAGTTTAGGGCACATAATTGACTTGGGGTGGAAGTGGAAATTATGGTTAGAATTGCAATGGCTGTTAAACAATTGGTTAGGTTGGTGGTTGCATGGGATAAGCCTATCTTTGACCGATAACTGGCTAATTAGTATTGGGTAGTATGATATTATATTGATTTTGATTGGGTTGTTGGAAGAATGCTGGATTTCGATTATCGTTGATCATTTGAGAGTATTGGCTTAATATATTATTACAAATATATAATTAAATAAATCTTCTATGAGTATTCATTTTTAGTATATTTCATATATCCGCACAACAATTATTACACTAAGCCTTCTTTTGATTAGTTTAGTTTTGCTCGCCATAATATTCTATAAATTCTTCACTATTTGAATTATTCATCTATTAGTGCTGTTATTTGATTACCTTTTGTTAATTATATTTATTGGTTATGGCCTGTTGACTTACAATTTTACTAGTTGACATGGAACTGTTGGCATTATTTACATATTTGATGCCATATTATTCATTTACTAGTTTGGGGTCCTCCATGGCCATCTAGTAGATTTGATGAGCCAATTCCATGAATGCATTTTCTACATTGGATCCTTGCAAGGCTGAACATTCAGTATAGAGACATTCGTTTTCTTTGGCATATTGGGCTGCTTCGTAGGATTCTACTTCTCTATGACTCTGAAGGTCGGTCTTGTTGCCAATAAGTAGAAATTTCATCCTACTGTTGCCGTTGTCAAGTGCCTCACGATGCCAGTTACGGATGTTTTCAAAGGTCTCTCGTCTTGTAATGTCATAAACCATGATTGCACCTGCTGCTGCTCTGTAATACAAACGTGTCACACTCTTGAAACTCTCTTGTCCAGACTTTTCATTAAGGATCTTTTTACTGTATCCCACATCTGCAATTTAATGACATGATCATTCACTTAGATATATTTGATATTGAATTCAACTCCAATAGTCAAATTATAGTCATCACAAAAACGCTTCTCCACAAATTACTTAAGTAGCGATGTCTTACCAACAGCTACGAAATTCAGTGTATCATAAATACCAATATCTCCAATTAAAATAAATTTGAATAACAGACTTGCTTCATTCTCATCAATATTATTTTAAAACATTATTATTATTCAAACATTGAATTTGAATTATCACTCTCTATATTCAAAAGGTGTAGGTATAAATATATATAAATGTATAAAAGCTATCATTATTAAGGGTTAGGATCTGATGAAGGAGCTTGTTTGACAAAATTATTTAAAAATCCTTACTAAGCCAACCCTTATCCGAAGGCTTGAGTGGCAATTCCAAACTTGACTGATTGTTGATTTGCTTAAACGTCTTGGATCATCGATTTATACTGTTATTGCTATTAGTCTGTCAATTCAACTTGGAGTTATGGAAATACATTTTGCATAGGTTATGACATTTGAATGTTATTCTTTTGATCTAAATGAATAGATAGACAACTATATTTACATGAAGGAGGCTTTGGAGGAATCTTCATCAATTCCATATACTCTACTAATTAATCTGGCAATTCAGCCAACACTTCTTTAGATAAAAGAGCTGGATCATTTTTGAATTCATTAAATGGAACAAATTGCACTAAATCTCTTATGGCCTTGAACCCTTTGCTATTTACCATGCTCTTGTCATCATTGTCAAGAATGTTCATCTTCTTGAAATCTGCATTGCCTATCCCTACAATGATTATAGATAATGGTAAATGAGAAGATGCTACAACATCATCTATCGATGCTTGTAAGTCATCAGTTTGACCATCTGTTAGAATCATTAAAATCAAGTAGTTCTCACTACCTTTATCCTTAACTTCTTAAGCCATCTCCATAGCCTTTGCCAACACTGGATGAATGTATGTTGGACCATCTAATTGCATCTTCTAAACCGCATTCTTATAGACTTAGACTATGCCATCTAATCCATACACTCTAAAGGAATTAATAGAATAATTACTCTGGATCATCTGGGTTGTCATTCAAAGGAAAGATGTGCAACGTTTGATTTGTATTCAGTACATTGAATTTTGGCTTGCATCCAAAACCATACACTGGCACCTTCTTGTCGTAATCGTAATTAATTAAGATTTCCACTACACTTGTGATTGCTTATAAATATTAACTGGGATTCCCATTCTCTGTCATATAATGCAATGAATTCTTTTCTTTTGGGTTACCATTCGATGCTGTAAAATCAATAGCGAGTATCAAATTCAATTATTAGCCACCTTGACGATAATCTAAGAAAGTATGTTTCTATTTTAAAATGAAATTGTCGAAGTTTATTGTTCCTGCAGGGGAATTGTTCTTTTACTTATTTCTAAATTCCTTTAAAAAGGGTTTATTCTATAGGAAAGCATCTCTGAGTTCTTCAATGCAAAAGGAAGTTTCTCCCAAATATAGATGTTTTCCTGAGGTTCTATAATCCCAAAGTTCGACTTTGATGGGCATTTAATAATCTCCATTGCACAGTTTTTATGCTCTACAGGAGATTGGTTTCCAAGTAGGATTTGAGGAGTCTTTTATGAATTCGCTTTCATAAACCAAAACTGGATTGGTATCATCTTTTCTCAATCTGTAAAATCTCAAGAATGGATTAGCTCCATGCCAAAACCAAAATCTGGTGTCAGGTAAATTCTAACCAGAAACTGTGATTTCCACTTCATCATTGCATTGCTTGACTTAATCAGCCTTAACTATAATCTTGCCACTTTTTTTTTTTTATGAATTAAATAGATCTGCCATCAAAAGTTGGTCTTTTGATCCAGCTATTTCTGCCACAGTAGTTTCTGCAATTCCTATTATCTATAATTGTTATGTTTCGCAATACTTTTGATTGAGTTTGACTAACAAAATGATGCACTTCTAACTTAAGGTGTTATTGTGCTTCAAATTGATATTCAATTTAAAATGAAGTAGCAAAATTTGGATTTAAATTATTCCAAATTAATTCCGTTTAACCAATCTTAAGCCCTATATTATTATTTAAAGATCAATACATTTCTTTTAACTATTCAATAAATAAAGAACCACGAATGGATCACTCACACTAACTGTATCCAAGTCATCCAATTAACGACAACTAATAAATAATTCCAATTTCTAAATTGATTCCGAAAATTGACATTGCTCTAATTGTGTTGACATTTTAATTTAATTTATATTGAAAAATGAATTGATCAAATTTAATTTATACATTTTAATTAAATGGTAATAATCAGTATAATTTTATAAATAACTAAAACTGATTTCTATCATTATAAATATATACGAATTATATAAATATATACGAATTATATAAATAAATCTCAATTATATAAATATAATTAAATCTCACTTATATAAAAGTCTATTAAATACTCCACACTACATAAATTGAATTTTCATCTAATTGGTCTCAATTTGAATATGATATAAAAATAACTGAGGCATTTTATATATCTTAGAATTAGACTATATTAAGAGGTTGAATGAGGGTTCTATTAGATATAAATTAATCAGAAAATAAATTTAAATTAAATCCATCAGATTGTTTTCGGAATTCAATCATATATATAGAGATAATTCTAATTATTCTTTAATATATTAATAAACATGGCAATTCTCTTAACACTGACAATACTCTCGATAGCTTTTTCACAAAAGAAGACAGCAATTTGTGATATCGAATAATACTTTGAGTTTGAACAAAATGAAAATATTCTTGATCACACAAAAATAAATTAGACTGATATTATGCTTACTAATTCCAATATCTATCTATTGGATGAAAACCTGATGGTGCTTAATTCCATTAGAACCCCAGATATCCAAGATTATGAGTGCAATAGAGTGACTACTCATCCACTTCATTTAATATTTTTATTAGCTTGCCAATCTCAACAATAAGGTGTCAATCCTATCCTGTTTGCATATAAAGCAAATGGACTCAATAATTACGAGTAATTTGGAGATGCAATTTATTTGCCCTCGATAAAGGAGAAGTTTGAAAAGATGACGATTGTGGGTAATAGTTTGCTCATTCCACTGAGTGACAAAATACTTACTTTCACAACAGTTATTTCAAACACTACATGGTATTTAAAGACTACTTCATATACTATTGATGCGTAATTCTTGAATGTATCCACTCTAAACATCACAGGCTTTGATATATATTCATATGCCAAAGACTTCCAAACAAATTTTAGAATCTTAATTTCTGACTTTGAAAGTGGTGTTTATTGGATTGAAGCCATTCTGAAATCAAACAATATTGTACCATATAACAGTGGAAAATTCAATCTTAAAAATTTCTATATTCTAAATACTGCCAGATTCAGGTCAGTGGTAATTTTGAATGCTACTGACAGCAGTACACTTTTTGTTCTATAAACTTATGTTGACGGTAGTTTTATGTTTGAAAACTTATTTACAAATGGTTAAATTTATTTCTATTCCACATTAAACAAGTACAAAGATTGGAATCCAATTTCATCTATTAGAAACAATTAGAATGCCATTTTAATCCCATATCAAAATTATCAAAAGGTGGTTGTCATTAATTTATTCAACATAAGATCCTTGAAGGAGAATGAATTGATGGTTGAACCCAACGATTTGTTAATTTCAGCTTCAATTGATGACTTAATCTTATACTTTATTTCTGAAAATAGATTAGTCTTTAGAAGTGATGTGGATGCTTTGACAAGATGTACACTAATGAATTACTAAGAAGAGTGATTGTTATAATGTATAATAGCATTTTACAATTATCATTTCAATAAATTAATTTTATTATTATCCTTATTCTCATAGATCTATCTAAATAATTAACCTAGAAATCACTTCCTTAAGATTCATCTATAAATTACTACTATTCTGATGTATTCTGTTTGGTTTAATCAATTTATTTTTACTTTGTGTTCAATAATCATTCAAATTAATTTAATGTGAAAACTTTAAGATTTATGCCTCTGTTTGAAGAAATGCGTCATTCGGACTCTGATAAGTGTTTCCCTTTTAATATATATCTTTTTAATATAAATTAAATATGTAAATTTTAAAGAAGTTCACAAATACTAAGTCAACCAAGATAGGACTAATTGTGGCTTTGGGTTTGAGTGGAATTGCTTTGAGCTATCATTTTTATGATAAAAACAACCGATGTTGCAGATCTGCTATCCAAACCCCATCTCTTCCTTAAAATCCAATTGAAAATTAAAATGAGTTTGGATAGAACAGATTTTTAACATAGGCAGGGGCCATTCAAAGATGGCGTCAAATCAAGGAAGGAAGTATTTCATACAAAGTGGATTTATTATTGAAAAGAGGTATTCATATAATAATGATAATGTGTAGGTGAATCATATAGTGGGTTGGTCGCTTTAGATTTTGAAGTAATTGATAATTCGAAAGATTTGTATGTCGATTTCAAAGGAAGTAAAGTTGTTAGCTTGTATGTTAATGGAAATAAGATTAATGATTTGGATTGGAATGGATTGTTTATCAGAGTACCCAAAGAATTCTTGAATACATCTCAAAAGAATAGAGTGAACATCTAATTCGATTAGAATTATGCTAAAGATGGATGTGGATTACATGGCTTTATTGATAAGGATGGCAAACAATACTTGTATAGTTAATGTGAGTCTTACTTCACAAATAGATTGTATAAGAATGTATTAATAAATTAGTTTCCCTTGTATGGATCAACCAGATTTGAAGGCCAAATTGAGATTCACAGCAGTGTGTCCAAAGGAATGGGTAGTAATTTCAAATGAAAATGCTGACCAAAAGGAATAGTTTAATGTTGCTTAGGCAACCAATACCATTACTGCATATCATCCATAAGAAGTAGTGTAGAGTCAACTCCAAAATTTCGAGAATTCAGATTCATATAATTTTTGGGTGTTTGGTGAAACTATGACATTGCCAACCTATTTGTTTGCATTGGTGGCAGGGGAATATTGGTCTATAAAATTTTAAGGAGAGGAAGGTGATACACCATAAACTATCTATTGCAGAGAAAGCTTAAAAGAACACATGATGGGTTTAAAGGATTTCATTTTTGAAGTCACTAAGAAAAGTATGAAATTCTATGAGAATTTCTTTGGAGTCAAATATTAATTCAATAAATACGATTCAGTGTTTGTTAATGAGTACAATTGGGGAGCAATGGAAAATCCTGGATGTGTGACCTTTAATGATGTTTATGTTTTTAAAGAGAAGAAGCCAGCAACTAGTTATACATAATTTGCAAATACAATTGCTCATGAAATGGCACACCATTGGTTTGGAGACTTTGTAACAATGAAGTGGTGGAATGACTTGTGGTTAAATGAAAGTTATGCTGATTTCATTTCACACTTTTGTTTGCAAAACATTCAAATTGAATCAATCAAATTATCTAGTATTCCTGTTATGTTCAATTAAAGAAAGGGATGGGGATACAGAGAAGATTAAATGCTTACCACACATCCAATTGCAGGTGAAGTTATCAATACTGAAGTAGCTGAAAATATTTTTGATGGAATTACATATTCCAAAGGAGCTTCAGTTATGAAATAATTATTGTGCATTATGGGAGCAGCTAAATTCGGAGAGGCTTGTGGTAATTATTTTAGAAAATTCGGATGGAAGAATGCTGTTTTATAAGATTTAATTGATCATTTATAAGAGAAATTTGATAATCCAGAATTTACCTTGTCCTATTGGAAGTAACAATGGATTGAAACAGCTGGTATGAATGAAATTGAACCATAATGGGATTAAACAGATAGAACTCATCAAGCTAAATTAACTATATTTTAAAGACCTGCTTTAAGTTAATTCCCTGCATTGAGAATTCACAAAATTAAAATAGGATTATTCCATGATAATGGCCTTGATTCTATTGATGCAGTGCTCCAAGCAACAGAGGAGAACGTTATTACTTATGATGGCAGTAAGGGATATAGAGCAGTATTGTTGAATTTTGAAGATTAATCTTTTGTGAAGGTCCTCCTTGATCAAGAGTCCACAAAATACTTCAGTTAAAATTTACATGCAGTCTAAGATATCCTAACAAGAACCTTGATTTACAGAGCTCTTTTTGATAGTGTGAGAGACGGTAAAATATGCTCAGAGGAGTATGTTGATTTCCTATTGGCCTAATTACCCAGAGAGACTTCAGATGAAATTTTGAATACCCAATTGATGTTTTTATAAGGTGCAATCGGATCTATGACACCAAGAAAGTAATTTATTCTTATTATCATCATTATAGATTCAAGAAGATTCTTGGCAAGAGAGTCTTTTCATTCCTTATAGCTGAATTAGTCAAAATCAGTGGAGATGCACAATTAGAAAATAGATTGATTTTATTAAGAAACAATTTAGTAGCATTTGCATATGATAACTCCTGTGTTGATGAACTCGTAGATTGGTTCTAAGGCTAAAATAATAATCAATTATAATAAATTGAATGCACAAAGGATAATAAGTGGGCAATTGTTAAATTAGTTTATGGTTCTAAAAAATATGATGAATAACCTGAATTGAGAGAATAATTACTACAAAAGATGTTGGAACTTGATAATTCTGATGCAGCTACCAGAGCCCAATTGAAATGCCAGGCTCTTAAGGCAAATGAATAAGAGAGAGCAGCCCTTTGGTAAAGGTTCGTTGATCCAGAGAATAAGGAATCAGTGAAATTGATAGCAGAATCAATGGCTGGATTCAATAATGAAAGACGTTATCTTAGTTTGGAACCCTATTAGGAAAAGTTCTTTGAAGTCATCGTTCAAATCTTCCAAACTAGAAGCAACGATTTCAGTAAGACCTTCTTTGATTACCTGTTCCCAATCACTGATGATTTGGCCAGTCTTTGCAATGTATTATTTGTATTTACAATTTTAGAAAATAGAGAAGTTGAGAACTACTGTTCCTGAAAATTTGATCACCCTCAAAATGCAAGTGGATAAATCACTTGATTCAATTAAGAGATAAGTGAAATAGTTTGAGTGTTTCTGTAACCAAGCCAAATTAGCCACCCAATAGGTCTTAGAAAATGATGTATGAGATATAACAGATACAATAATATTAAAATATAATTAATATGAATACCTCGTTTGAATAAATAAACAAATCCCCATTGAATCATTCTGTTTCCAAATAGCTTTACTCTTTCCCAAAAGCCAATCGATTCAAAGAATTCAAGGATACAGCGTAATTCCCCATTACCATATATCTAGATGTCCAAACATTTACACACTCCCAAGTATGATGAGCAAACGTGGAGCTGGAATTGGATATGGATAAAAGTCAGACTTGATCTCAGAAAGCATTACACCAGGCCCAAATAATTATCAAATTAGGACTACTCTCAATACAAGCAATGGTTGGACTATGCCTGTCGGCAGAGATGTATTCATCATTTAACATTCCAAAGAAAAGCAATAAATATGAAGGTATCTTTCTTGGTTTAATTCAAAAAACCCCAGGACCAGGACAATATGAGTTCCATGAATCTAAGTCTCCAATCAAATACTCTATGAGAATGAGGACTGAAAGTCATAAGGAAAAAGATAGGAAACCTGGACCGTAAATATATTATTCTACTATTATAAGTGGAGAATACAATTTGCCAGAAGCACTAACTGAAAATGGAAAATATTAAATTAGCAAGTTTAGAGAGTAAATTTAATTTTAAAACCAATAGTTCTGGTGCAATCATTCTCTCTCCACCCAAAGCCTTGAGTTCTCGTTTCTCTCCTGCTCATTAACGCACTCCAGGCCCAGGATAATATCAACACAAAGGAGACATCGATCCCTAAGGACTTTATTATTGTTCCAAATTCGCAGACACAAAATCTACAGTCTTCACTAAGGCAAAAAGAGAACTAACTAAAATTAGAATGGAATCTCCTGGTCCAGGAGCCTATAAATTACCATCAGAATTCGGGTATTATTCATTATAAACTTAGTTTTTATGAAAAATCGATTAAATGAAACTTATATAAATAGTTAATATATATCAACATTATATATATTTTATATCTATTAAATCTACAAAATTCCAGATATAACTTCCAATCTTCCACGAAAATGTTAAAAATATGATCAGTAATCTAAATGTGAATTGGACAATCTCACTAGAAGAGGTATTAATTCAAATGAAAGAATCAATTAACAATGCAACTACATCATTTATAGGCAATTTCATTACAATAAGTATTTATTATTTAATCAAAATCTCTTTATTGTTACTTGCTGTTCTTTAAAATACGTATAATTTTGAAACTGATTTTAAGTTATTTCCTATCTAAGTAATAGTGATTTTTCTTTTATCAATTCATCTTATGAATCATGATCGGACGAAATCTCCCGAATAAAGTCTTCATCTGATTATTTCATTAATTTGAATGGAGAAGGCAACTGCTTCTCATGCAACCCTTTCCATGGGAATCCTGAAAACCATGGATGAGTTTAGATCTCTTCAATCCCACTATACCCTAAACGAGCCTGAGGTTTTCTCTGTAATAATTGATTAATGAAATCAGCTGCTTCCCATGACCAATTAGGAGGAACATCCTGCTTCTTGAGTGATACCTGTTTGGCAATAATAGCATCTCTAATATCTCTACGACTTTTGCCTAAGTATGGTCGTTTCCCCATCATAAATTCATAAGCCATAACTCCTAATGCGAAATGATCTACTCCAAAACTATGATTTTATCTAAACATCACTTCAGGTGCTATTTAATAATATATTATGTTAGTACCCATATATCCAGGAGTACCACTAGTCTCTTAAGAATTCTCGGGTTTCACTATCCTTGCAATACCAAAATCTGTCAATCTCGGATACCCTTTCTTATCTAGAACAATGTTCTCAGGTTTAATATCTCTATGAATAATCCCATTTCTATGTAGGTACTCTAAAGCCAATAGCATACTAGCAATCAGGAACTCTATCAATAATCAAATTATTTATCGTACTTGTATGTTATTCTGAAAACCTACGCATTTTTCCAATATGAAATCTAAGATCACCACCTGTTAATAAATCCATTACTAGATACAAATTTTCTCTATCTTGAAAAGCATAATGAATATTTGCAATAAAAGGATGTTTAAGTTACGACAGTAGATTACGTTCATTCATCACTGAATTGGCAGAATTTTTGGCCAAAACCCTATTAGTTAAAATGAACTTACTTGGCTTTACTCATCTCTTTCATAGCAAATAGCTTTTGTGATTTAATCATTTCCACCCTCCATACTTTCCCAAATCCACCTTTTCCAAGAACATAATGAAATTTAAAATTACTCCTTCCAATTTCCGCATCGGTAGTGGGCAATCTTAAAGAATATTAATCCTCAATAAGTCTTGAATTAGGTCTGGAATATATAGAGTTTCTAAAACTCCGTTTTTCTTGGGATTTTGGAGCTTGGAAAAGCTTCGGTTACTAATCTAACTATAATTGAAATGATTTGCGAGGCAGTTATCTTAATTGAGGACTAGCACTCTTCTTGTTGCTGGAGAACTCATCTGGTCTTTTTCGTGTTTAACTAAAAGAACCGTCCAATTGAAAGCAAAGATTTGTTTTCCACATTTTTGGTTATTCCTTGGGAGATGTTGGAGTTGAAATTGGAATCGGGTTATTAAATGAAGGTAATTTGGAATGGCGACAAGTAAGTATTGATTGATTCTGTTTTACTCGATAGAAACTTGTATCTACAGCGTAATTTTGTATAATATTTCTTTGGCCAATCGAATTCTTCATTTTAATTAATTTAATATATGCAATCACAACTATTCCATAGGAAATCACTTTGTTGAATCTATCAAGCATAAAATTCTGAAGAAGTTCCATGGCAGATTAAGAACACTGAGAATTATTAATAAATTTCAAGAAGGACGATATTTAATTATAATTTATGATTCCTTATTTAATATCTATATCTATTCAAAATTCACTGAGAATAGAAATGCTACAAGCTAGGAAAATAAGTTTCTTTTGTAATTTTAATACAGCAACCTAATTACTTCATAATGTTCTTTTATTTTAACTATCATGATATCAGTTTAAATAGCTAGTTTAATGTTCATCTATGATTATAGGACAGTGGTATCTATTATAGTTTCATTTGAATATAAAATTTGAAATTAGAGGTTTGAATAGTTTTTGTTTATATAAATAGAAATCATAAAAACTTTTTATAAATTTTTAACTCTTAAGGCATGGATCCAATACTTTAATCACTTTTTTCAATATTTTTCACATAATTACTTGAATTAGTGTATCTATTGACTTGTATTATGATGAGAACTAGTTTTTCTATGTTAGGATGGAGTCGAAAGTCCTATTATTTCCTGATGCAGTTTTTGCATCACTTTAATGGATTATATGAGTTCTCCCTCATTATCTCCTATTCTGGTTGTTAAGATTTTGAGTTTTTGATAGATGCTTTGAGGATCCACTTATTTATTGTTTACTGCTGCAATTACATCCTTTTCTAGCTTCAAAACATTCTTTTGAACCATCTTGAAGTAGGATTGAATAATCTACACAGAGGCTTATTCTTCAGTTTCTTGTATTAGACCTGTCGAACTTCTTTTGTGTCTGGAGTTGTCTGATATTTCCTTTGAAGTATTTGAACTATCTTTAGCAATGTCTTTTAATAACTAGTTCTCCTTTTCTTTAATAATTTCACTATATTTTGGAGTTGATAGTTTCTTTTCTTCTGGAAAATATTATTTATTCTCAAATATTTTGTCAGTTTTACTTTGCTATTACAACTATTATTAATATTATAGTTATTATTGTTATTATTATTGTTGCTAGACGAGTTGTGGTTAGACAGGTTTTTTGTTTTCAGTTTATTGAAAGAGTAACTGTGATGCATTTGTTGTTGGAGTTGCAACAGGTGTATTGGAATTGGGTTTAAAGAAATCATTAATTTTATTTTATTAAATATTTGATGTATTAGCTTAGGTTTTAGCCTTGCCTTTAAAATATTTAATTTAATACATTCAATTGCAATTTCTTATTAAGGTATTTAATAAGATTACTTTTTCTAATGATTTGATTAGGTAGGCTTAGACATTTGCTTACTGGGAGATATTCTCTCACTTCCTAAATTAGGTTTCTTTTTATTGAACTGAGAATGATTGAATGCATTTTAGGGATTGTTATGATTAGCTTACACAGAGAGCATTTCACCAATTTTTGAGGCATTCTTATTATTTGGTTCAGATACTTCTTAAAATTAATAAGCATTGGATTGTCTTCTTCCCAAGATTGCATCTTATTAATTCTTCTAGAGTGAGAATTGACTCTAGTTTGAATATGAAACTTACTTCGTTAAGTACTTCTTTTTCCATTTCACTTGAATCTGTAATTAGATATAATTCATTATTTTCAATCAATAAATTCTTGATATCATAAGTGTGTGTCAATTTACGACATTTTGGACATTGGATTCTAAATTTATTCTAGATTTGACTATTGTTTAGATTGAAATGAGATACCTTGTATTTTCTTGGATTTGTATATTGACTCCACATTTCATGCACATGGAATGTGAACATATCAATTGGATTGGATTTTAAGCAGTCATTTTGCATAGCTGACAAATAGTAGATGAGTTTGAACTTTTATTTAGCATTAACTGATTATTATATTTTAATATTAATATATTGTAATGTGATCATTATGACTTGGTGATTTCTGTTTTTAAGCCATCGAATGTATCAACAGGAACATGTTGAGCAAGTGTATAATATTTGCCTTTTCCATCATCTTCCTCCTTCTTCTTTCTTTGTAATCTGACTCTGATTCTTCTGGGAAGATTTCTGATTCCTCTAGCCCACACTGCCTCATTCAAAGATGGGTCAATTCTGACATCTTCTGTAAGCATATTCTTTCTTGCTGACAAATCAACTCATTTTCATACCGAAATTAACAATATATGAGACTGCTCTTGGGGCTTTTCTCTTAAATGTTTCCTTGTGAACACCCTTATGAAGATTGATTGTGTAATCTCTGCTCACTTCACCTAATGGATTTGGCTTTCCCTTCTCCTTCTTTACCATTTCAAATAAATAATTTATTTAATATCTTTAATCAAAAAAATATATGAAAAAAAAGTTAATTAATCTCACAATTGCTGCTTCACCCTTATAGGTCTCATATTACTATTCTTACGTGATTGCAATCTATAATATTCCAAACATATACTATAGATTCATACTATTGTTCTGACTCTGCAACTTCTACGTATCATCATCAATCCATCTATATCCTAGAAATATTTCTTGTTGTTCTTAATTTTGATGATGCGAATACCGTTCATCACTCTCATGACAGACCTTTCATACTCAGCAAACGTACCTTTTTTAGTACTGATTTCAAATATAAATTTCTACGTTTTAAATGCATTATTGCTTATAATTGATTCTAAGTATACGCCTTTATGTGTTATGGTTATCCTGGAATTCCATTCAATTTTATACGCAAATGGGCAATATTTACTGGTTATTGCACTTTTGCATTTCCAATAAATACTCTCTGGGATTACTCCATCTCAATATTATACTTGCTTGTCTCCTTTTTCTTATTTATTAACTAATTGCTGAAAACAAATTTTTGTTATATTGAATTTCGAAGTGGAGTAGTCTAATGAATTGAAGGATGCACTCTGAGTGGTGAAAGTTGAGGACTCTTTAAGTATACCTTCTTTAAACATAGCCTATCTGACGGCGAAGTTTTTGTAATGCTTGAAACCTAAGTGACTTGTTTTCTTTCACCATCATCAGAATCCATTGATTATTCAATATCCCAACCTTTAAGTTAATCATTCTATTTATACATATAATTATATTCTTAAATTATATTGAATGCAGATAATATTAATTGAATAACAAAAGTTTATAAATTGGATATTTTAAATAATAACAAGGGAGGGAATTAAAAAAGAATGACTACTAATAAAACATTTAGTATGGTATTAGCAATGACTCTCAATGGAGGCATAGGGTATTAGAATAGATTGCCTTGGAAATTAAAGGAAGATCTTCAGAGATTCAAGAAAATCACAACAGGCGGGATTGTGATAATGGGAAGAAAGACATTCGAATCGATGAACTCTAAACCTCTACCAAACAGAGTGAATGTAGTGATTTCAAAAAATATGAAATCATCTAATGAAGTTCAAGTGTTTCCTAGAATAGAAGATGCATTACAATTTTACAATACATCTCATCAGAAATTATATTTAATAGGAGGAAAGAGAATCTTTGAAGAAGGTTTAGCAACTGATAAATGTTCAGATGTTCATTTGACTAGAATAGGAGTAGAAACTAAGTGCGATGTGTATTTGAACAAAAATATTTTCTCTACATTTTAAGTGAATAAGACAAGTTAAACTAAAAGTGAAAATGGGATCAATTATGATTATCAACATTTAATTAATAAGAATTCTCACGAACAATCATATATAGATGAAGAACATTAAGAAAATCAATATTTAGATATGATAACAAAAATAATGAAGGAGGGAGTCTCAAAGGATGACAGAACTGGAGTAGGTACCATGTCTATTTTTGGGTAAACTATGAGATTTAATTTGGCCTAATCCTTTCCTTTATTAACAACAAAGAAAGTATTCTTTCGTGGAGTTGTTGAGGAATTGCTATGGTTTTTAAGAGGGAATACAAATGGTAAATTACTTTTGGATAAGGGAGTTAAGATATGGGAAGGAAATGGCACCCGAGAATATTTGGATACCATTGGTTTATAACATAGATAGGAACATGACTTAGGACCAGTCTATGGATTTCAATGGAGACATTTTGGAGCTAAATATAAGGATTGTTAGACTGATTATTCCAATTAAGGAGTGGATTAAGTGAAGGAGATTATACAATTACTGAAAAACAATCCAGATAGTAGAAGAATAATATTATCAGCTTGGAATCCAATTGATTTAAAATAAATGGCATTGCCACCATGTCATGTGATGTCATAATTCTTTGTGGCAAATGGCAAATTGAGTTGCATGATGTATTAGAGATCATGTGACTTTGGTTTGGGAATTCCCTTCAATATTGCTAGTTATGCATTGCTCACTTACATGTTGGCAAAGGAATGCAATTTGAATTTGGGAGAATTTGTTCATGTTTTAGGAGATACTCATATTTATAGTAATCATGTGGAGGCTTTAAAGAAATAAATTGAGAGGGTTCCTTATCCTTTCCCACTTCTGAAAATCAAGGGTAATAAGAGTTTGTTTGATTACACTTATGAAGATTTTGAATTGGTTGGATATAATGCTCATGATAAAATAGAAATGAAAATGGCTGTTTGATTTTTACAATTTATCCTTAAAATTTTTATTACAATTCAATTTAAATTAAACTAATTTTTTAATTTCCTACTTAATCCCTTATAATGTAAATTAACTAATTGCCATCAAATTGCAAGGATAGATTAGCAGATCTGGAAGCTCGTATTCTAAAGAAGCCTAAAGTTGAAATATTGGAGGCTTTCCAAAGAGGAGATTCTTTTGAGGTTTTTTCTTCTGAAAAGGAGCGCAAATTGCCTACTAAATAATTATCTTTACAAGGAACTCCTCGTAAGAGTTCTAGTGATCAAACACTCTTTCGATAATTATAAATTACGTAGTTTACAAAGAATATGTAGAGGAAATAAAATTATAATAATAATTTCGATTTAAACGTGGATGAATTATAAAATGCTGAGTAGACATTGAAAGAGAAATTAAATGCTATAGCCATATAGGATATCCGCATAAAGGAATTGGAAGCAAGAGTTACTGAATTGAATTAAGAATTATAAGTATAATAATGTAATAATCAATAGGAACAAAAGGAGCAGCAATTCAAAAGTGAGAATGCAATAAGATAATTTGTTATAGAAGTAGATTAATATGAGAGAATGCATATGATAATGGAAATAGAGAAAAATAAAGAGAAACTAGGAGAATACTCTTATTAGAGAGAGAAGACTTAGATTCAGGAAGTGTGGGTGGATGGAAAGGAAATAAAGCAAATCAAAGAAAAGATTAAATTGATTGAAAACTAGAAAGAAGAAATAGAGAATAAAAAAAAATAATTTTAGTTTCAATCTTCTTCTTAATATCTGAAATATGTGTTATTATCTAAAGAATAATCACTATTATAAGAGTAATTAAGTCGCTTGGAAAATGAAAGACAAATCTTTATAAAGTAATTAAGGAGATAATATGATGAAGAACATGCTCGATTCAAGAAGATTAATGAGTATAGAACAATAGGAGAAAGATATGTGCTATTATAATTACTAGGTAGAGGAGGCTTTAGTGAAGTATATAAGGTATGAAATTTGCTTATTATTTTACTAGGGATATGATTTAAAAGAGCTTAAATATGTTGCTTGTAAAATACATCAATTGAATCCAGATTGGTCAGTCAATTCAAAATCAAATTATGTTAAACATGCAACAAGAGAGTACAAAGTACATAGGGAATTATAACATCCTAATATAGTGAAGTTATATGATTCAGTAGAAATCGATATGAATGCATTTTGTACAGTTCTAGAATATTGCGATGGCTGTGATCTATCAATCTATATCAAGAGATACAAGTAGTTTCAAGAAAAAGAAGCCAAATTAATTATCTAATAAGTGTTAAATGCAATCAAATATATTCATTAGAGTAACATTATTCACTATGATATCAAACCATAAAATATTTTATTTCATCAAAATGAAATCAAATTATCAGATTTTGGATTATGTAAGGTAGTTGATAATGATAAATCTAAAATGGAATTGACATCATAAGGTGTAGGCACCTATTGGTATCTTCCACCAGAGTGTTTCCATACCGGGGATTAACCTCCCAATATCTCTAATAAGGTTGATATTTGGTCTTTAGGAGTAATCTTTTATGAAATGCTTTATGGAGTGAAGCCCTTTGGACATGGATATAGTCAAGAGACTATTTTGAAAGAAAAAGTACTTTGTTTTCTATTATTTAAAGATTATTTTAAAATCTGAATGTGTAAATTTCCCCGCAAAACCTGTGATTTCTAACGAATGCAAGGATTTTATAAAAGGATGCCTCAATTATTCTTAGGCTGAAAGATTTGATATAGTTTAAGCTTGTAATCATTAATACATGTAACAGAGAAAATGAAAATAATTATAATAATATATTCTTTATATTTATTCATTGAAGATGGCTATTAAGCTATTAAGCAATCAAGGCCAATTTTAAATCTGCTTATCTAAGAAGCTATTTATTCTTTGACCTAAATTTCGAGAGTATAATTACCATGAACAGTTGATTTGATTGCTGTGAATTCAGATTGATTCTAATACAAATGATCTGAAATATATTTTAATACATTGTGATCGCTTAGCACTAAGAATTTCTTTATTACATAATTTGCATATTGATGATTGGATAAAACAACGAAATTGCTTGTGCTATTAAGATATCATATGATATTATGTACTATTGATTAGGACTTCTGCAAAGTAGCCATTTCATAATAGAAACTAATTCTTGTTTGCCTATGGCTTCCAATGCTCGTTCAACAGTGTTACTGGTAATTTTAAATAGTAAATGTACCTTGCATATTTATTAATGCTGAGTTGAAAAAACTGTTGTAAAACTAATTGAACTAAATGGAACTTCTCTTGACTTGGAATCCAATATTAGAGAATATGTTGTAGTACATAATTGCCATATTCAGTTTAACTTAAAATATTGTAATTTTGGACTGATAATCTAATAATTTTGGTAATCTATTGTTGAGAATATTGCTAAATAATTTTATGAATGATTTTGCAGCCATAAATTTGTTGTCCCATATAATTGAACTATGAATATAATTTATATGAAATACTGATTCTTCAACTATAGGGATCATAAATTCCATTTTAAATTTATCAAAGGTTTCAAGCATTTTAAAAATGACATAATTTCCATTCAAATCATATACCAAAGATCGCATATTTGATTGCAATTGTTATAAGACTAAGATTTGGAGATCATTTCGATTATAGGTGTACTCAATCAATTTCTACATGACTCTGCATCCGAAAGCATTTTTAGATAAATCATAGAAATGAGGTTTCAGTTTAGTGAACATTCTCTATTGCAATTTATTATTGGCTATTTTGATAATATAAACAAGTACTGCATTCAAAGATCTTTTATACAACATAATTGCCGAATATGTCTTTCTCCACTTGAGGACTAACTCGTTCCAATTTCTACACTATCAATTCCTTTTAATCATTTGATCCTGTCTCCAGCATCTTCTGCAATTTCCTACTGACTATCTGGTTGCCCCACAATGAATCCTAAGATGGAAAGCAAATTCTTACCACCAGACTTGTTATATACAAATCCATTTCAATATCAGGTTCATACATAGGACTATTACAATCCATCAAAGGAGTATAAATGTTTAGAGTAGGTATTTTGTAATCAACAATTGGTATTTTTTGATCCACAATCTCTTTGAAGTATTCAGTTTCACTCTTCTCTGAATTCCAGAGTTCCTTGATAAATTTCAATGTCTGGGCATTCATTGAAGATGTGTCTGGCGATTGCTGATCTGTATGAGTCTCTAAGTTTTATTCTCCTAATTCCAATTATGGCACTGTCTATTGTGGTTGATAAGTCTTGTGCTTTGGCGATTTCCTAATCTAATCTTTAGCCACCTTGAAGCTTTGATATTTCTGTTATATATAGAAGAGTAAATCTACTTATAATTTGCATTTATTTTCTTCTTATTCATTTATGGTGTCAATATTTTCATAATTTTTATGATTCACAACACTCTCCTTTGGTGAAGTGTCCAAAGTTATTTGTTCAAAATCATACGTCAAAGTGTTACTCATAGGAGTCATCATGCCCAAGTTCCCCAATCTGTAATATATTAAGTTTAGATTACTTCACTTTTTACTAATCACTTAACTGTCCCTCTCCATTTTCAGTTCCTTGAAAATCATTGGGTAAAGAAGGCAGACTATCACTTAATGTAGTATTCATCTTGGGTGATTAATTTAATAAATCTTTTATATTTTTTTAATTCAAAATCTTCCCTCATTTAGACTATTTTTTATGTAATAAAATGGTATGATGTTAAAACATATTATAATTCTTTATTAAATAATTAGTGTAATATTGATCATATTTTCAATCTTGTACTAATATGTATAAGTAATGATGTTGAAGTTATCATTCCACTTATCCTTTTATGTTAAAAAATTATCAACAGAATTATGAGTTTATCTGAATCTTAACGATATCATAATCTGTCTGTTAATCTAGATTATAGACTGTGTATTATTAATTAACTCAGACTAACTGCTACATAGGTTTATTGTAATAAACTATAGACAGTCTAACAAAGATTAAATATCTTAGGTATTTGCAATAAGTTTAGAATACTGTTAAAAATGAATCCACTCCCTTTATTATAAGTTAACTTAGCTCTTTTTGAAACATTTGTTTAAATATTTTAGACTATATTCTTTATATATCTATTGATTTGAATTAAGTCTAATATAATTACAATTATATTAAGAATAAATTAAAGAATGCATTATCGATCTTAGAATGAATATTTCAAATTTTTTGATATAAAGACGTAGATATCACCAAGATAGATAAAGATAGAAACACTTCCATCTACTAACAGAAAGATATAAAATTTCTCATTAACGAACAGATCGTAATAGAAAGATTAACAACTTATATATGAGATTGAGGGGAATTCTAAAATTAATCGTTCGACATATAACCATTTCCTCAACTCCAAAAGCAGAAGACCTACTAGACATCTTCAAAAAAATGGGCTTTTTCAACATGGTATCTTAAAGCAATAATAAAAACCTTTGGAACGTTTGCATTCTCAATCATATAGATAAACCTAAAGTTAAAATAAGAATAGAAGTTAAAGAGATATTTTTTTGAATACAAAATTCTTTCTGTCTCCTAAGCATTTGCACAAAAAAATAAAACAGGAAACATTTCATTAAAATTATTAAATTGAGAAATAGATTGATCTCCCACCGAAAGAAAAGATTCCCTATTTGCAGATTAGTCAAACTGATATTATGCCACTTGTAAATCATAATATCTGTTATAATAACAAAGTAGGAATGAAAAATAAGTATAAAATAATTTCGTATGCAAAAAAAGATGATCCTCAACTAATCTCATCGAATAGAGATAATGAAAATATCGATGATGATAATTCTGAATTCTATTTGGTGTTATTTAGATCAAAAAAAGAATTATGATTATCATTATATATAGATTTCTTTTCTTATATTTAATTTTACAATTACCTCAAATAATTTTAATGAAACTCTAGCCAAAATATCCTAACTTCTATAAATTACTCTATTGTACAACAATTATTATGCTTTGTTACACCTTTTAAAATGCAGGAAAGAGCATTTCGTATAATATTTATAATTCGGTATTGTTTATTTTATATACAGTAAGGGCTAACATTCCTATATTCAATGCAGTTTACAATCAATTATTTTATATCCCCTATAGCCTTGTTGTTTATGGATGCAATCATCTCTAGATTATCCATGAGCACCATACTATATTTAGGAAGCTTCAATGCCTTTGCATTTTTATTAGGTGCTTTTGTTGTATCCTCATGCCAATAAGCAGATTTATTTTATTGCAATGTAAGCACATTAACACTTGCTATTGCAATTGAAACTCTGTTAGGAGGAGTGGCATCATGTTTACTTTTTGTAGGTTATCCTGTTTATATCAATTCCATTTCCAATCCTTAGAATAAATCGTATTATTTTGGCATTGGTTATTCCATATATTCAATATCTAGCTTTACAGGAAACACAATTGGTTATTTTACTTCAACAAAAATAGAACCATTTTATTATTATTCAATTTTAATAGTAGGATTAGCAATTACATAATTATTCCTCTTTAGAGTAGAAGACTTAAGAGATAGAACTCAGATTGTTAAACAATCATTTTCGAATATGTTCAAACAACAGATTAAATAACTAAAGAATGCATTTAATAATAAGGATTACTAAGCATTTATTCCATTTCTAATCTTTTGTAGTATGCTATAGGGTTGCTATTTCACATTTTTACCTGCTCTTTTGAAACATGTACAAGGTGGAATTACTATAAATGAACACACTTTTCTACTTTATTTAATTGGCGGGCTTGGAATGATGTTAGGAGGTATATTTGCAGGGAAATTGTCTCAGAAGGCAAATTTATTTATTGTAGGATGGTGTTAAGTTTTCTTTGCTATTTTATTTGTAATTTTAGCAATGACTTCATATTATTGGAAAATTCTAAACACAACTTATACTACTGGGTTCTTCTGTGGGATTGTATTTACAGGAACAGAATCCTTGGCTGCTATGATTACAGGTGTCTTGGTATCAGATAAGAGTTACTACTTTGTTGCAAATGACATATTGATAGTATAAATTTGTTATAATTTTAGTGCTTAGGAATAGCTCTAACATCGAGTATTTCTTTATTGTTGAGCAAATCTAATTTGTAAGCTATGGTCTATGTGGTAATGATGATTTTGATGTTGAATATTGTTTCCCTGATTTATGCATAAAGGATTTTCAAGACTCCTAACAAGAATTCTAAAGTGTAATTACTAAACTGATAAAAAAAAGAGGAAATTATAGTTGATTATTTTGATATTGTGATATCAATATATTATATAATTATAAAACGAATAATGCATACGCTTAGAACAAGCTTACTGTTATGTATGTTAATTTATATTAATTATGCAGGGTATGTTTGCATCTAATCTTAGATCTGAAGCACTGAGCTTATTGAATCAAATGAAACCAAAATTCAAGGAGGAATCAGATCTAGGCACAGAAGACTTAATATATAAGAAAGTCACTGAATAATTAAAACAATAACAGCCTCATTTCGATACTGATGAAGAAGAAACAAAGAATGAAGTCTCCTTTAGAGAATTTTATAAAAATGTACGATCAGGTAAACATGAGTTAGTTGATGATGAAGAAATCAATATTATAGAACCAGAACATAAGGAAATTCAAATTCAATCCTACTTATAAGAATTGAGTGATGGACTCGAACCATAAACCGAAACTATTGCAGAAACTGAAATTTAGACTGATCCTGAAAAGTTAGGAAAGTTTAAAAAGTACTTTATTAAAGAGGATGAAAATAAACAATAAGTGAACATAGAAACCAACATTGAAAATAGTAATCCTATTGAAAAGAAAATGACATTGAGAGAGAAATTAGAAATGAAAAAAAAATAGGCTTAATAACCCCCAGTTTTAGCTGCAATCTAGATTAAATAAGAAGTAGATAATCAAGAATAAGTTGCTGATTAGAATGTTGGCAAAACAACATTAATCAAAAAGATAGAAGAATTCAAAAAAATGAAATAGTCTAAGGATACAAAAGAAACTTAATAAGAAACTTAATAAGAAAATCAATAAGAACAGACAATCAAATCAGTACCTGAGAATCCTTTGAGAAAACTCTTAAATAAAAAGGCAGAGGAGAGGAAAGAATAAGAACTCAATTAATAAATTGAATAGAATAAATTATAAATATAGACACAAGAAGCTGAAATAGAATTAAAATAAATAGATGCAGAAGATATACCATTCGACCAAAATACTGATAATGAGTAAAATATAGATAATCAATCAGAACAAAAGGAATCTTCCGAAAATAATGATGAAACCATAAATTAATAAGAATAAGATAATGATGATACCCTAAATTAATAAGAACAATATAATGATGATACAATATATTAATAAGATTAAGATAATGTTGAATCTCAATAAGAAAATAAAATTTAAGATGAAAACGATAATGATGCAAGTATTTAATAACAATAATAAATCGAATCTGATATAAATCCAAATATTGATCCTGAAATTTAAGAAGATTAAACTATAATTGATGATGAATCATAAAGATTTTAATAGGATTCAGAAGGTATTACTAACACAGATTACGATCAGCAACAATAACATATAGCTAATGAAAAATAAATTAATTCCAATGAAGATTAATCATAAGTTATTACAAGCGAAAATTATGAATAAGAAATTGTTAATAATAATGATCAAGACCAATAGATGGTTAATGATAATGATTATGAAATAGTTAATAATAATGATCATAAAGTATCAAATAATTTTGATTAAAATATAGATAATAATAATGACTAAGAAATAGTAAACAATAATGATTAAGAGCAGTAGTAGTATAATAATGATTAAGAGCAGTAGTATAGTAATGATTAAGACTATTAGAATAATGACTTAACCAATTAAGAAATTCAATAAGAGAATTAAGAATTTGAAGCATAGGAATAATAATAATCTTAATATAAATTATAATAATAAGAAATATAAACTGATAATTAATAATAAAATATAAATGATGATGACTATAACTAAGATTAATAATAAAATTAAAATGTTGATGATTATAATTATGAGGAATAATAGAATATGGATTAAGATTAAAATTTAGAAAATTAGCAAGAATCATCAAATATTAATACTTCTAAATAAGGAGAAAATAATGATATAATAAATGAAGAGAAAGTTGAAAATACATTGTCAGAAGGTTTTGTGATGGAAAATAATGTTGAAAATTCAGATTATCTTGAGGATGTACAAGACGCTGAAATAATACAAAAGAAGAGAGAAGTAGAGGAAATGATTGAGGAAGAAGAAAGAATTAAATAAAAATTAGAATTAAAAGAATTAGATGATGAGAAAAAACTCAATGAATTAGAAGAATAAGAGAAACTATTGATTAATGAAAAAGAATAAGAATAGAAGGAAATTGAAGAAGTTTAAAAATAAATTGATTAAGATTATAGTTAATTAAAAGATATTGAAAAAGGAGGGAAGAAATAATAAGATTATTAAGAAAATGAATTAAAATAAGAAGATAATTAAGAGGTAGAACCTTTGTAGGAGGCATTACAAGAAGATTTAAATATTTCGACAGATATTCCCTTAGAAAATCAAAAAGATTAATAAAAAACTCAAAATCAATTAGAATAGAATACTAAATAAGAAGAGAAAGTTGAACCCTTAGAAAGTAAACCAGTAGATGGTAGCATTTAATTATAAGATGAAACTCTAGAAAATGGATTTAATATTGATGAATATCAAAGATTACAACATTAAAGTGAAGATAAATCCGAATAGGATACTACTAATTATTCATAAAGTAGTGAATTATATCATAAAAATGAGTACATCACTTAAATTAAAAATGATCAACAAGATTAAGTAATATAATAATCAGAGCCAACATTATCAATAGATAAATAAACAAATTTCAAGGATCAAGATGTTTAATACTAACCAAAGATCTAAATAACCTAGGAAATATCAACAGGTGATAACTAAGATCTTACATAAAGCAATTAAGAATAAGAAGGGCTTAATACTACAAAAGATAACTAATTAATAGAAGAAAAGAATCCTAATTCAGATTAATAAGAAAATACTTATTTGGATAATCAAATAGAAAGCACAAATGGGAGTGACATATCTAACGAATCTACTAGTTTAGAATCAAAAATAGACGTTTCCAATGAAACCCATAATCTTTCAGAAAATTAATAAGATTAGTAATCACTCTAATAATAAGAGAATTAAATTTAAGATGATGATACTCCTAGTCTGATTCCTGTAGATGAATCAGAAAATTTAAACCCATCATATAAATTTGATCTCAAACTTGATAATGAAGAGAACGAAATAGTTTAACTTGATGATTCTAATTCTTTTGTTGATGATGAAATAAAAAATGCTGCATAAGAATAATAAATCGACCCAACTAATACTTAATTATTACCAAACCCTGATTTATTAGCTTAAAACCAATTTCAGGATACTTCAAATGTACTTTCAGCCAATAAACTTCATTCAAATTCATAAATATAATAATCTATGCAAATTGATTATAAAATTAAAATTGAAAATATTGATGTAGATATAAAAGAAGAATAATAAATTTAAGAGAATATTTTAATCAATCAAAATAGATAGTAAGCCAGTTTCTTACAAGTAGAAAAAACTGATATTGATTAAAAAGAAAATCAATTTGAAATATTAATTTCTTAAAAGAAAGAGTAAGGGTCAGAGGAAAAAAAGAAAAAAAGAAGAAAATAAAAAAGAAGGAAGCAAAAATAAAGAAAGTTATAGGAGGAATAATTTTAGTAGATCTTATAATAAAAATAATAATAAGAAATCTTAAAATAATAATAATAGTTAATTGAATTACAAAATTAATAATTATTGAATAAATAAAAGTATAAGATGGCCACAAAACAAAACAATTAAGTTATCATAGAAAGCAAACCAATTAAAAGAGATAACTTTATTCATTTATAAAAGCAATAATCATAAATTTAACTAATAAATTAATAAATAGATACTGAATTTTCCTTTTAACAGATTATTTCAAAAGTAGAAAAAGAAGAAAGGTAAGGATAGAAACAACTAAGAAGTAATACCAAACATGTCAAAAATGCTGATTTAAATTTCTTTTAATTGACTGAAAGTAATCATTTTCATAATATTAGAATAATAACAAAATAAGATTTCCTTACAATCCTAAGATTTATTTGAGGCTATTAAATAAGAGATCAAAGAATGTGATTTAAATAATTACACTATTAATTTGTGCTAATTATGTTAAAGTGATGTTGTATACGAAATAAATGATGATAATTGGTACCTTATTGGAATTGCATATGGATTAAAGTATCTAAATTTTTTAATCAAAATAGGAGACATTTCTAGAATCTATTGAATACTGTACAATATCATTTCAAGAACTCCAAGATATATACCTCTTTCAATAAGGAATAATAAGTTTGTCTCACTTTAGGAGATCAATTTGAAATTGAAAATTTAGAGGATATCCTTAACTACTATAATAATTAAACTCTCCCTAAGAATTCATAATTTTTGAGGATACCATAAAAAGTAAATTATAATTTTTCTATTTTTAGATCAAAGCAAACTTCGCTTAAATGAAAGTTGATTTGAATCAACATAAATTTATGAATTTTAGTTTGAATGCAGCAATCAAAATTTAAGAAAACTATAATGGATTTACTGTTTCAGAGTAATATATTAAGATTTCAAATGATTTTGATTACTCTTAATAAGGTAACATATTTTACCCTGGGCAGTCTATTCCCTATAAATTGATTGTTTAATCTAATGGAATTGAAAATATGCAATTAGATTTGAATCCTTAAATATATGAAAAAGTCTTAGAAAGCTTTTTAGCAAAGAATTACTTGCAATAGATTTAAGTTACATATAGAGACAACTTAAATAGCAACTTTGTAGTTGTGGATAATGAAGACCTCTTAGAAATTGAGATTACAATATAAAAATGAACTAAAGTAGTCTTTGAAACACATATTATTATTTATGAATTACAGTTCTATTAAAGTGTATCTGACAATCCATAGTTTTAGTAGAATTTTTCAATCTAATTCTTTGATTCATACTTATTATACTTATTGAGGATACATTCATAATTATTATTAAAAACTATCTTAATAGTATATTAAACCATTAAGTTTTAATTAAAATATCGAAGGTAATTCTTGGTATACACTAAGATAAGAAATGATATTACCAAAAAATTCAATTAATTAAAAAAACTATTAAAACAAAATATATATATATATCATAATTCAAAATTCAGCCCATTTTTGAAAATAAATAACATATTAGTTCTTTATAATTATTCTTAGAATATGAATAATTTGATGAAATCTTTATTGAATTGATCATAATAGGACTAATATATTAACATAAATCTTCATTTAAACAATTTCTTTAATTAATGTAATTAGATTGAAGTCTTTTATTGATTACTCTCTTATTCTTCTTGATTTAAATCAATTCCATATGATTGATGTTTTTGCTATTCACTCAGATCTTATTTCAAAACATCAATAACTCGATCAGCCAAGAATGTCAAGGAAGGCAACATTTGTGACTATGGGATTAAAAATTCTTTAATGTTGAGTTCCTTTCTTAAAATAAATGACTATATTACATTTATCTAGCTTATTTAGCTAATTATAATCGTCTATAAACATTTGAATCAAGGGGTGCTGCATCTTCAATTATTGGTTTTTCAGGTTGTTCAGCTTATTCAAAATGAGCTGTCTCTTACTCATCCATCATTAGGGAAGCCTTTCTCTCTGTGCTTAGAACTGTTAAATATTTGTATTAATTATTCTGGTTTATGTAAGAGTATAATAAAGTTCTAACATTAGATGAATATAGTAAACCTGCCATTTATAGTTGCTGAGATTAATTTCTGAGAAGCAATTCCATGCTGAATTTTAGACTATTTAATATCTACAATCAACGCCTATTCATTTTCATATTAAATAGCAATAAAATGGTCATTCAATTTACTGATTGATTTAGCCTTACCAAATTAAGTGATTATCTATTTTTTAGTATCCTAATAGAATGTAATTGTTCCACCATTACAAACTAAAGCACCTGATTAATATATATGAGCAACCTCAGGAGTTGTTTGATCCAAAGGCAATTCTTTAATAATGTTATTATTTTTTGTATTGATATGCAATATACTAATAGAAGTAACGATGACAATGGTGGTTTCATCTTTAATATATGCTGTTAAAACGTTTCTTCCTTTGTATCCATGACCTCTGAAAACACAATTCCAATTGAATTATCCTTTTGTTTACTTAATTTATCTCCATATTCTAATTTCTCCATTTCCCCAAGTGATTATTGAATTATGTCCTATATCCATTCCTTCAATATCATAATCGGTGGTTGTTACAAGATTAAATTCAAAATTATTAACATTTTCAAAGATTGATAGTGTTTGCTTAAGATCAGAACCCAAAACAACAATCAAAAATCTATCCAGCATGGCAAACTATAATTTAAATAATAAAAATTACTTAATTAATTGTGGTTCTATCTCTTTTATATGAATCTTCAATATTAGACACATAATTTCTTTGTTATATAGGAATTATGTTTAATAAACTACCTTGTGTAGGATAAATAACTTATAAGGTTCCATTTGCTCCTTAGGTAATTAATTTATTCTAATAAGTGATGAAATTATTAGGGTAAACATGATGAATTCCTTAAAAATAGGGTAACTTATTCTAGCCCATTAAAGAAATCTATTTAATTTGATTAATTCCTTTTATATTAATAATGAGATTATCATCATTACTACACATAGCTACAATTTCTCCTCCTTATCTTGGAAAGAAGGCCTTTCTTGCAACTCTCAAATGCCATTATACAATGACACCTTCCTAACCAGCAGAATATAGTGATGCTCCTGCAAATAGTAACGCATTAACTTAATGAGCATGCCAATGATCTTATTATACAATGATACCAGTAGAGAATTATAATAAGATCAATTAACCATTGTTTAATCCACAAGCCAAAAGATCTTAATCATCATCTAATTACATAATCGTTACTGCAAGTCCAAATTCTCTTATGATTCTGTCTTCATTAGCAATCACATGAATCTATTTATCATCAGCAATAATTAATTATTCTTTATATGCTGAATATTGAATGCAGTTAATATTCGTAAATGATTATGCATCATATATTTTAGAACAAGTGGTTCCTACTCTAACAATGTTATTTCCATCATATGCAATAAAATGATCATTATGAAAACAAGCATGCTAGAATTGCTTTCCTTTATGGTGTTTACTCTATAATTATTTCCCATCTACAGAATAGACAAGAAAATGAGAATTATGTGTCAATATAAAAATGTCTCCATTAATAGCAAATGTTTAAATGGATGCACCTACATTGATTCTACTATTCAATTTCATTGTGTCCTTTTCTAAAATTAACAAATCTTCTCCAGAATAAGTGTAAACTAAAGAATTGCAACAAAATAATTTATGTCCCACTTAATCACCAAAATTAATCATAATTAATATAACATATTCACTAACAATATTTTTAGTATAACAAAGAAATTGTAGGTTATGAATCTAAAAAGTAGGATAAATATTATATAGAGAATATAGAATATGAATATTCATTATTTTATCCAATCCAATAATTAAATTGCATCATACCATCTGTAATCGGTAGATTTACAATTTAATAATACAATTATATAAGAATTATTATTATCCAAATAATATTCGACAACACAAGGTCCAGCCTCCTTAGTCTAGCCAGTCTTCACTCCTTGAAATCCATTGTCTAATAATTTATTAGTATTTTCCCAAAGGATTTCTTTTATGTTACCAAATTTATCTATAATTTCACTAAAATAGATTTTTGTTTTAACAATGTTAGCAAAGTGTTCATTTTACAATGCTTGAAAACATAGGATTCCAATATCAAGAGCTGAAGAGTAATTAAATTTATGGTATAAACCTAATGAATGTTGAAGTAATAATACCATGAGGATTCATATATTATGTTGATTTGAGACCAAATTCTTTTGCACAACTATTCATTTCATCTATAAAATTGATTCCTGTAGTTTATTCGAAATTGTGTTTTAAAGTGACGGCTGCGTCATTGCCTGAAGGGAGCATGAGTCCATAAAGTAGATCTCTTAGATTCAATTAGTCCCCTGTTTATAGTTATGCTGAAGTACCACCAACATTTTCAGCCTATGTATAAGTAGTTTAATACTGCTTCAGGGACTGTGAAATAAGTGTTATCTAGATCTAGTGATATTAATGAGACGAATTTGAGAGATAAAAAACATGTCATAATTTTAGTGATGGATGCTATTTAACATTTAAATTTTTCATTGAAACCAGCCAAAAGTGATCCATCCTTCCCATTTATAATACACCAACTCTATGCTGTTATTGGTGGACCAAAAGGAATTGAAGGAGATAATGGAATATGTCTAGGCAATATTCTTGGGTTTCTCTTAAAGGCAGTTTAAGGTTGTTGAGGTTTTTTCTATTTTTGATGATTGATAATAGGATCATAAGTGTAACTGAGCTATTAAATACAGGTGTTTGCCCTAGAATTTTTCTAAGTGAAAATGTGGAATTATTTGGTGTCAATTGACATAGTATTGGATTGAGCAAAATTAGTTGGATCATAATGTTAAGATGAAGAGACTTGGGACATCTTACGTAGCTAAACCTTTTCTATGAGTGATTTATATCCATTATGTACTTTTGATGGAGTCCGAGATAGATTTATTGGTTAAGTCTAATTAATAGGTTTGTTTTTTAGCAGTAAAAGGCTGTATTTATAGTCTATAATCTGGAGGGTGATGATTGAGACGAAGAATGTACTATCTAGGAGTGGTTGCATCAATTTTCATTTAATATATAATAAATGCTAAAATTCGAGGCATTCAAGAAATAACAGAGACTCATTGAGAGATCACCTTAGTTTATTGTACAATAGTTACTGCAGAGGAAGATTGTGTTTATTCGCGAAAACTTCAGTTCCAAGGAGAATTTCATGATTCAAGTAAATATTAATGACTAACAACCTTAGAAATAAGAATCATAAGAGATTATATATCTTAAGCCAGAATGTGGTGATCAGGTGATGAATGAGTTGACCAGAATAGCAATGTCTGAAATTCCAGAGAACGAATAATTAGAGTACCATATAAGGGCATAGCAATTATTAGATTACTTCACATAGAATCAGTATGCTAGCATACAATATTTTATAGGATTCAAGTCCAATACACAACAGTTTTATTTCATAAGATCAATTATGCATTGGCTTTGAGAAAGTATGGATTGACTGAGGAAGTCATCAATTTATTACTGGATAGCGATTAGATTCTCAAAATCAAAGGGAAACAATTGAAAAAGCAACCTCTTGATATCCAATTATTAGCTAGAATTGTATAAAACAAACTAATGAGATTGCGTATCATCTTTTAATGCACTTTATTATTTTCAGAAAGCAGAAGGTAATACTATCTAGGATATAATAATAGAAACAAACAGGCATTGGAATTGGCAAAAAATGCATTAAAACAATTGAAGGCTATTTATGAAGCTACCATCAAATTATGTTAGTAGATGAATCTAACCAATTTAATAAATAAGAAATAAAGAGCCAATTCAGAAATGAGTCTAGCCACCATGACATCTTAGCAACCCTAAAAATTATCCTATAGTTAGATTGTCGAAATGGTATTTAAGGAAATATTGGCACTCATCAAGTGTTCAATGCCACAATCCTAATTCGAAGATAAGAGTACTCAAATCATTAGAAGTTATCAAAGTAGAAGTCAATCCTTAGATAAGTACAGCGAATAAATCTCCTTTGGCAACACTAGCAACTAAAATAATAAGTTGTATCCAAACATTAATGATAATCATCCTATGTTACAGATGCAGATCCTAGGTTTGATTTAAATGACACAAGTAGACATAGAAGAATTGTATCCTATTAGCAATCCTGAAATGGTAGTTACAGAAGAAGTCGTACTAGAATTGATTATGTTGGCTGGATTAAGTTTTTATAGTATATCCACTGAATTGAGATTCATTAACTCTAATTTTGATAATCGATCCAATCTTGAAATATGGCTATGCAAGAGTCTCGAAATCTATTACACTTATGTTCCTCATATGTCATAGATTTTTAATTAAATTTACCAGGTTTACAAGAAACTCTATGGTGTAGACAAACAAATGATACCTGAAGATTAAGAAATCACCCACCTAACAAAGTTATTGCGACCACACCAATTTAATAACAAAGCTACATTAGCTAATAAAGTAGTTATAGTAATTAAAGTGCCTGAAGGTCCAGGATCTGCAAATAAACATGCTAATACTTAACAGAAAACAATACCATCTAATAAAACAAGCAAAAAGTACAATAGATTGAATATATTATAATAGACACCTTTTAACCTAAGTTGAAGATCAAGAAGATACAGGAAGATCTCCTAGTCGCATATTTTTAAAACCAACAAAATCATAATAGCCATTGGAAATCAAACAAAGGGTTGATTTTTTAATGAATCACATATTAACTCAATAAGCTAAGTTAAGTAAGGAGAAGATGAAAATTATAAAGAGCCGTCTTAAACCTGATCTGAGTAATGGCAATGTTGGTATGACTGCCTCTACAAATACCACTAATAATACTACATAGAATACAACACAAAATTCAGCAAAATCACCACCAAAACAATTGAGCCGTTCTCTCTCGAATTCTCGTAAGGCTAGTCAGTGTATAGTACCTGCTTAATTAAATATTCAGCAAGCATTGCAATAAACAAGAACAGCATAATTAAAGTACAGATATCGAAATCAATTTAACACTTTGCCAATTGAAGAGAGTCCCACATAATTTAGTAGCTAAAGAAAACAAGGAACTCTGGATTCTGCAAAAAAATAATACCAAAATAAATATTAATTAGTACTTTAATAGAAGCTACAGAACCTCAATTGATATTATAATTTATAATTATATAACTGATCGGTAATGAATTTATTATGGAACACAGTTAGACAATGAAGTTTCGAATATACAGGTGTAGAATTAGTAAGAGTGTATAATACTTTCATATGCTTCTTATTTTTATATCCCCACATAATATACATATCATTTAATATTTTCATTTCTGAACCATGGTATGAAAACACTTACTCTCTTTTATTAGATGTAATATTTGGGTCTCTTTCGTAAAATATGTTTCTCCATCTCTGGAATTGAATAAAATAGAAATAAGGATTGCATTATGACTGCTCCTATTATTGTAAACCAATATTAGAAACCAAATGATAATGTCATAATAAATATTCCCCACCAAAACATGCATTCGCCGAAATAATTAGGATGTCTTGAATATCTCCACAATCCTTCATCAATAAATTCTTCTGTCTTTTTAGATCTCCAAGGGAATAATTATAAATCTGCTATAGTCTCTATTGTTAAGGCTGAAAATGAGAAGATGACTCCGAAATAAAAGATAAATGGGTTGTAGTCTTGATCACTATCAAATAAGGCATAATATGTTGGAAATAATCCAAAGTAGACCATTAATGTAGGTCCAACATGTAACCCTAAATAACTGAATACCCAATATATAAATTCATTGTTTAATTTTTTTCTAAATACTGGATACCTAAAATCTTCGTATGTTAAGCCCGGCCAAAATGATAGAAAATTGTAATTGTGTCTAATAAAATAGGCAAATGGCACAATAATCACCCATATGTTTGGTTGATATGGTGTTCTAAATACCCAATAAATAATCAAATAAAATCCAGGAATTTACCAATAGAAATCATATATCGAGGTATTACTAATAATTGAGATATTGCTTACTTATATCTGTAAGATTGAATAAATACAATAGAAGTTGCAATCAAATCAACAACAAATGTTACAATCAATTCATTTTTAATGTATTATTCTACAAGGAGTGTCAATGGTATCCTAAATTTATTATTATTATTATTACCATAATGCAGTAATTATAGCATATGGATAAAATACTATCCAACATGATTAAGAATATGTGTAATGGGTGGGCTTTTACATTAATATTAATAATATTAAGGATTCTTAATACTATTTATTTATTATTTAAATAATATCATTTTTTAGCAATTTTTGGTGGCCAAAACTAAGTTAGATTTTCAGCAGTTCCTAAATACTTTTTCTCTAATTGATCTTATGGAATTGCTTCCTTTAATTTTTCTAAAGTTTTCTTTGTCAAAAACACATTTTTAGATTTGCTTTCATCATCCATAAATGCAGCACCAGCTTTCCAAGATAAATCAACTCCTGTTGATGGATTTAGCACATACATTCTATGTAAACATCCAACAAAATTAAGAGCCATAGTTTTAATTATATCTCCTAATCCAGAGGGTAATCCAAAAACACCAATATCTTTAGTATCAATAATACAAATCCAATTCTCAACTTTTCCAGGCATCATCATATATTTCTTGACAAACCCCAAAAAGAATGACAACACCTAGATCATAAAGTCCTTTGGATACTATCATTAGGAACAGTAAATACTTTTTTTTAATCTACTCTGTATGCCTCTAAATAAATGACAGGTCTAAATTAGTAGTCTCTTCCAAATGTGTATAGAAATCCAGCATCTAAAAATTCTTACATTTATTTATTCAATGTATGCATATTAGAATTAGCTCTCCAACCTAAGTGAAGTGATAATCTCTATAAATGATATAATTTATTATTACCTCAATGCAATCTTTGATCTTGAATTTACCATTATACAAAATTTTGAGAGTGTCAGTTTAAGTCCAACTAAAGGTATATACACATATAAATACCCATCTGGTAATTATATTCCTTTCTTTTTGATCTCCTCCTCTAATTATTTAATATGCTGCATCTCAAATAAATCAAATTGAACATCTCCTCCAAATATCTTTCTATATTGCTTGTCTTTTTCTGTTTTTCTGATATATAATTCTAAATTATAATGCATAGTAAATACATTCATGTTGGATGGCCATGGCTTCAGCTGGACATTGTAGATAAGAATATTCTGATTAATCCATTTATAATTTTTAATTAACAGAAAATGATAGTAATGAAAAGATCATTTTCTCATCCTATAAAAAGAATTACTACTTTTTATAAGTCAGCAAGATTAAGATCAGAATCCTGGATTCCATCACCCATTAGAGTTTCGATAACTTAGTTTCCCATCTTAAGAAGCAGCCTTCAATTTCCTAATTAGAACCACTAATAATATTGCCATAATCATGTGTATTTATATTTTTAATTTTATAGATTGATAATTGTAATGATTTAATGAAAAATGAACTCCATAGCAAGATAGAAGAAATTGATGTAAGTAATTATAATACTAATATAGAATTTGAAAAAGAAAATTATTATTTCATTAGAAACAATAGAGAAATAAGATGAAATCATTTAGGAATGGTAATAGAAATATTAAGAATAAGAAAAATTGCATAATAGAGAAATCGCATAATTAAAAAGTAATCTAGATAATTCAATATTTGATGACCCTTAAATTGATATTATAGAATAGCCTATTGATAATAGTCATCATAAAGTAGTGGATGATTTATAAATTATTTAAGAAGAAAGCGAATGTCCTTAGATTAAAAGTCTAAACTAGTCTGTTGCATAAAATTTAAAATTTTATGAAATTATTAATGCTCTCAATAAGTTCAATTTAGATGAATCACCAGTAAGAGAATAATTAGAAATTAATGAATCCTATGTTGTATAAAGAATCAACACATTAATAGATTTTATTCATAAATTAGAGACAGAACTTGATGATTGGAAATGTAATTATTGGAATCTTGAAAAGAAACTCAACTCCCAATTAAAAGATAACTTCATTTAATAAGGATCTCGGGAAATTGAAATAGAATTTGATTTTGATAAAAATTAATTGGTTAAAGCCATTTAATCAAACAGTAGAAGATCACTGTAAGCTGAAACCTCTGCCTTGTAATTAGAAATAAAACGATTGCAAGAATTAAATAGTTAATTATAGTATTAGTAGAAGAGTCAAGCTAAATAAGTTTTAGAATCTCTAATAAATAAGCAAAAGAAAACAAATAGAAAGAAGAATTTAACTCACATTCCGGAGCCTTCAAATAAACATTTGGCTTAGGTTTCAATTCCTCATAAAAATAGTCATAATAACACTCAAAAGAAGAGTCATCCTACTTAATAAGGATCTCCATATTAATAAAGAAATAATCAATAAATTAATTAATATTTCAGTCATTATTTTTAATAGCAAAGAGTTCAACCTACACAACATTACTCTCCAATAATTTTGACTAAATTTTAATAGATAGCAACTAAGTAACAAATAGGAATTAATTATCTTAAAGATACGTCAACAGATCATTACTATAATGTGAACATTCATCAGACTCCAATCGTAGTTAAATAATCTAGTTTGAGTCCTTACTAAAAATCAGGAAGCAAATTTATTTAATTTTGAATTTATATATTATCTTAAATTAATTTGACTTTTCAAATCTATTTATTGAAGAAACTAAATAGATTGACTAAATCAAAGAAGAGAATACTTTGATTTAAAATCTCTGGTATAATTTTAAGTTGGTACAAATGGAAAAATATCTAGAGATAGTATTATTTGCAATAAATTAATTTAATAATTTTAGTCCATAAATAGATTGGAATTAAAATAAGGTTAATGATCCTTTTTTCTTGTTAGAATATTAAATAAAAAAAATTATAGAAAAGGCCTTTTAAATCTATCATAACTGATTATAATCTAAAAAGTAAAATCATAATTGATATATTATAGTGATAAGTAAGATTTAGAGTAACACCAATCGTATAAATTTAAACTATGAAACATAGAGTAGCCTAAATTCCTTATGGCTATTCTTCAAAATATAGAGTTTTACCTTGATTAGAGATTTGTACTTAATAATTTCATATATTTTATGCTAAATTTTGCAAACAAAGTTCTCAGGACTCTCCTGTATTTAAATATTATTAGGAATATATTCTCTTCTTCATCGTAAGATTATTGTAACAGTCGCTAAAATAATTAAAAGACTGTGATTCAAGCATACTTATAAATGTTTTTTAAAGAATACCAAATAGAATCAGCATTTTTATTTTAATTTACCTTTACTTGTATCTAAGATTAGAGTACTATACAAACATATTTCCTTATCTTGGCTTGATATTGAGACCATTAATCATCAAGATTGACAAACAGCAATAAAGTCTTTCTAATTTAATTACTGATTTTTTTCAAAGAGACAATTACTATTCCTATATTCATAATAGATGCTTAATCAAAACGGCCTTTATTCCATACTAATTAAATCGAATCTGAATTCAATTATTCCCGAACTAATCAGATACTCTTCAATAATTTCAAGATTCTACTCATAGATAACTTTGATGAATAAAAAATTATACACTAAAACTGGATATTTAGCTCAATATTCTAAACTACAAATAATTTCAAACGAAGACTTTCTTATATAGATACCCTTAACATAAAAAGATTTCTACATTTATTCATGACTAAATTAATGAAGATAGATAGGAATTTGTAATTTAAAGTCCCAAAAGTCAGGGTGATACACTTAAACATCAACATTCTAATTAATTTAATGATGATAAAGCTTTTTTATTCCTTTCATTTCAAACAAATGATTTATTGCACAGGAAAAAGAGGAAATTTGGATAATTTAGAGATAGCCAATATCTATTAGATAAGATTCATGAATTAAAATAAAAAAACAAATATTTAAGTCTAACATTGTATTTGGGATTAAGAGAAGCCTTTATGATATCATTAAGAGATTTAAGAGATCAATAAATGATAGACATATTGAACGATGAATTAGAAGAGAGTAGAAGGAAGAATCAAAATGAGTATTAGGTCTTAGCTACTGTGTTCCATGATTTTAGAACTCCTATGAATGGTATTTCAACCATAGTGGTAGCGATGGAAGAGAAATTTGAGATTGATTTATGAAGGGATACTATTTGAGAGTCATAAAGGGAAATGTATATTTGATGTTGTATTAT